AAAATGAAAGTCTCCACCTTTCCTTGTTTGTCTCCCAAGAAAATGAGAAGAACTAAACACTTAAATTAAATGAATGTGAAAGTAAAGTCTTTCTGATCAATGCCTGTCACGCAAAGAACAGAAATATAAATTAAATGAAACAATAACTAAAATTAAAAATGCAATGAACTATATTGATCACAGCCAACTTCCTTCTAAGATCCCCTCCTTGTTTCCTTTACTCTTCAGCCTTCTACCTTGCCTTTCTGTGCCTCCTGGCCTCCTGGCCTCCTGGATTCCAGCCCACCGCCCTCCTTCCTCCAGAGGTGCAATGAGCCTCCTTTTATCCTTCCTTAGATCCGAAAACCTCTCATTTAATTTTGATTTAACCGCTTTTCCTTATTTTTCGTCTTCAGTCGTTGACTCTCGTTTCGTACTCCAATTCCTATCCAAAACGACATTTTTAGAATACATAATCATTATTTAATAATTAAAAAATCATCATGTCAAATTTCAGATCAATCCGACAAGTATTCACGCAGAAATCACGATTTTAGTATCATCGTTCGTTTAGTTCTGATTTTTCCCGATTTTTCGGCATTTTTCCGATTTTTCCGGTTGGCTCCCCGCGCGACAGGTGGGTCAACGGTCAACCGGTCGCTCCCCCTCTTATTATTTTATTATTTTTATCATAATAAATTCACGAAAATTCAGAAGAACATCTTAAAAATTTGGAAATTTTCCTTCAAATTCAAAATAAAATCCCAAAAATTACATAAAATTATAAAACATATCAACTCGTTCCAAAATTCTAAATATTAAAATTTCATATATTAACCAACATAATTCACGATCACATTGACCTTTTATTTTCAAATAAATATCAATAAATTAATGTAAATATATAAACTGTTTTTCTGAAAATTATATCAATATTTATATTTTTTAATAAATTAAAACGTAAATACATATAAAAATGATATCCTTAATCATAAATTCAGAGAATTATCAATAACATACTTAACAACTTCTTTGATCTGTATAAATGACAAATTTCTACCCTAAGAGGTAGTGTTTCTACTTCATGGTGAGCAATCTGATCGTCATTATTTTTCTCTCATACATTGTTTTCAATTTAATGGAGTAAGCAATGGGCTCTCCATTACTGCATGAGAACAGCACCCACCCCACAATTGGAGGCATCTAATGCAAGTTTGAAAATCAAAGAACAATTGAGGAGAGGAAGTACTAGAACATCGTCAAAGTTGTCTTGACCTACTAAAATGTTTGCTCTACTTTAGAATTTAAGTAGAAAGTGTCCTTTTTGAGCTATTGGGCGAGGACCAAGCCTTGGTTCCATATCTTGCAATGAACCACCTACAATACTTGGCGAGGCTAAGAAATCTTTGGAGCTTGTGGTGGCAAATTGGGGATGGCTGCATGACAGCTACCATCTTTTCTGGTTCACTATGACTCTTTCAACTAAAATCAAGTGAAGTAAGTAAGAGATTCGGGACCACCCAAAGAAACATTTCTTACAATTAATATGTAGTTAATGATCATGTAGAGTTTGAAACATCAAAATTTGATGATAGTTTGACTACATATCTATTTTTTAGAAAAAATTAGGCCCTATTCAACTCATTTAGCAATTCTTCTACAATCAGGCTTGAAAACTTATATAAAATTGTCACCTTGTTTAGAGTGTATTAATTAACACAAAGTTGCCATGATTCATCATTTTTTCTGAATGAGAAGGGCTGGACTTAAAAACTGGCTTTTAAAATGTTGGATTGTTCATGTGGATAGTATTTCATACACAAATTTTCTAATTCAGTTTTTTGAAAGTACAAGTATCTAAATGTTGGATTGTTCATGTGGATAGGATTTAGAACTGGGTTCCAAAAGAATGATCTAAGTTTTGATTGGGTGGAAGCCCTTCGATGTCATTGAAAACTTCAAGGAATCTGAGTTGTATCCTACCCTCTAGAGGGAAGGAGTTTTCCTTAGGTCCTTGTTAAGTGAGTTAAAATAATTCATAGTAAATTTCCCCTTGTTGAATGTCGCCCATCATAATCTTGAGTGCGATAAAATTTCTATTTTCTAGAGTCTCTATTGTCAAGATTACTTGCTCAATTCTTATTTGAAAAGATAGCGTACAATGTTTGAAATCTAATTCAACCTTTTTTCTTTCCTTCATCCACTGAATTTTGAGGACAACATCAATAGTGGCTAGGGGCAGAATTAATATGTCTTCGCATATGGTAATAGTTGGCAAATTGATGATGACTCCTTTGTAAATTTCTAATCCAGAAATAGTCTCCCCCATCCTTGTGATCACTTGAGAATTAGATGTCGAAAAAATTGGGAGGGTAAGTTCTATGACTAATGAAGTTGTGGGTGCCTCCTTTATCAACTAGGATGATAACTAGTTTTCTGTTGACTTCTCCTTGGAATCACATAGCTTAGGTAAAAAGTCCTTATTGAGTACAAGAATTGAGAGATACCTGGAGGTTAGCTAGTGTGCTGTCTTCACTCAAGTCATCAATGACCTCTTCCTTAGTCCCCACTAGTTCTAGGTAATAATCATAGTCTACTAGGGTGAAGAATATATGTAATTCCCTTAGTCAATGATGCCTAGTGGAGAATTTATTATTGCAAATGAAACATAGCACATGTGCATGACAAGCTTTAATTTCAGTTGCTATAAGATCTAGTTTCTTTCGCTTGTTTGATGGATCGAGTTGGTGGGTAATTGTTTGAGTTATTATGGGTCTACCATCATCTACTTGATGAGGTATACTAAACTTAGTCCCCTTTTGTCTTCATAACTGAAAGTTCCCATTTCCAACTTCTGTAGGTTGGGTAGGGCAATGTCAATTGACTATCCAAAAGTCAATGAGGGTATTAATTTTCAACTCTACCCTTTGAGCTGCCTTCATGATGGCCTCTAGTCAAGTTAATTTCAGTACACTAACCTCAAATTGAATGTACTTTTGCAATCCCTTAAAGAATGTGCTTTTCAAAAAAAATCAAAGATATTATGAATTAAAACCAATAGGAGTTCAAGTTAATCTTTGTATTCGGTGACTATTGCCCTCCAAGTCAACTCTAGGAATTGCTCATAAAGGGTGTTAGATTGCTTGGGGTTGAATTGTTCAAATATTTGATCCTTCAATTCTTCCCACTTGTGAAATGTTATTCTTTGTTCCACCCATTAGAATCATGATACAACCCGATTATCAAGGTTAAGATTGGCATCTGATAATTTTTCAGGAGTTGAGGGTCAATAAATGAAAAAATATAAGTCGGCACGAAATACCCATCCTTTCAAATACAAACCATTGGATATTAGTAAGTCCAATCATTACCAAGACTAGGGAACAGGAGGAGCTCAATGATGATTAAATCCTAATCGCATTGGAGGGAGGTGTGGGCTAAGGGTCTTCTAGACTTTCATATTTTCTTTGGTCGTAATTGGGCTATATATGACTAGATTCACATATGGGTCAATCTTCTAATGTAGCTAGACTGAATTTATTCATATTGAGCTTGGTGGAAATGAAACTAATATGTCAATGAAGTCCTTCAATCGTCCATGTGAGAGCTCCCACTTGTTGCCAAAGGTCATCTTGATCACTCTTCAACTCTTATCTGAATTCTACTTTGTATATTTAGTCTGTTGTCAATCAATGCCATACCTACTCTAGTTCTTTCTCTAAACATTCTCATATGGGATCACTTGGTTTAGGAGCCATATAAGATTATGGAAAGTGCTCTTACTTATCAATTTGATAGGTGCTTAGATATGACAACAAGAGGGGGAGAAAATTAAACATTGATGCTAACTCTAATAATAGAACACTTGAACTGAAGAGAAATAGAGAAACAATGATGGAGAACAATAGAAAGGATAACTTGAAGGACCCTTGACACAAAAGAATACTTTCTTCCTTTTGACAGACAAGGTATCTTCTTATAGCCGTGAGTGGCCTCTTGCTCTTTCTGTTTCCCAAGTGTCTTTCACTAAGCTGTTGGGTACCGGCTTAAAGGCCCAACCATCTCTATGGCCTTTGGTTGTTTTCGGGCTACTGCTAGTGGTCAAGCCTGAAGTTCTCGGCCTTAGAGCTATTGCTCCACATTGGGTGGGACTTCTTCTCACATGGGCAAGGGCTTGAGGTTAGTGCCCAATGAAATCCTTGTCCCCTATCCCCTATCATTCATGTTGGTTGTGAATGAAAATGCTCCAATCTTATTAAAATTCGTCCTTCTTATGTGTTGATATCCCACAACCCTAAATCAGTTGACGACAACCCTAGAGATTTGATCCATTTACTGGAGTAGACCCACCCATATATTTTAGCTATGAAATTTATTTTATTTTATTGCCTCATTCTATGGGCCGCCTTCCCAAGATCTTCCACAAGCCATTGGCAGGATTTTTATCGCTTAATTCTTGACTGATATTCCCCTCCATTGACTAGTGCCTCTATAAAATCAACTGCTCTGGTCCGAGTTTTACCTAATGTTTCCACGAACACAAGTTCTCTTTTCTTTAGAAGAGACGAAACACTCTTTCCGTGAGTGTTAACTACCATCTTCTCTTTCTCGGGTTTCTCTCCTCCTCCAATGACTCCCTTCCTTGAAGCCAAAGCTCTGAACCATCTTCAAGCTTTCCTCTCATCTCTCTCTCTCTCTCTCTCTCTCTCTCTCTCTCTTCTGTGTGTCATCTTGAGGTGATTGTTCCCCTATCCTTGGAGGGTTACTCTTCTTTGGCTCAAATCTAGGTGTCTGCAGCATCATCTACGGTGCCGCCGCCCTCGCCGGCGAGTCCGCCTACACGTACCTCTGCTCCCACGGTGGGCCTCAGGAGGTGCTTTCTTCCCTGCAGAAATCCCGGCTGGGCAAACCACGCGACGGCGCCCTCGCAGCCGACAAGAGCGTATGAACCAACCCAAATCAAAAGTTTTACCTCCCTTCTAGAGAGAGAGAGAGAGAAATGAACGTCCATGTCTCTGGTTTCAGCGAGGGGGCTGGGGGATGGCCATGTCCATGAAGCTCCTCTTCGCGAAGGCCAGCCACCATTTGTTGGGCGTGCCGTTGTGTCTGTAGGCGCAGCTCAGCAACCTCCCGCTCGTCTCCTCCCTGATCTGCTTCAGATAATTCCTCAATAACTCTGCAACAAAAAAAAGACCCCCCATCACTTCCAACCCACAGACACCAGACACCGTTTAGCGAGAGAAAGAGAGAGAGAGAGTGCCTGCTTCTTTCTTGGACTGAGGAGGAGTGAACAGGCCGCTGAAAGGGAAGCCCTGTTCTCCAGGGACAGGGACGGTCTCAAGCCCGAGGTTGATGATGGCCTTGGTGCCTTCGGCTAGGGTTCGGCAGCCCTCGAGCCGCTTCAGGGCCACGTTGATGTACAGGGTCAGGTAGACAAGGAGCTTGTCACCTGAGCTCTGGACATCGAAGTTTTTGAAGAAGACGTTCGCCCGGAAGAAGGTGATGGCTTCGTCCACAATGTCAACGGAATCTGAAAGTCAACGAGCAGATAAGAACAGCCGTCGTCATAAGAGCCCCTCCTTACCGCATTTATTACCTCCTTACCTTGGTCAGCGCTCGGAGCAGGACCCTTGATGTGGGTTTTCAGAGGAAGGAGGGGGCATCCACAGGCTTTCTTGACGCCATCTTCGTTGACGAAGCATGAGTGGTACATCTGCCGTTGGATGTTAAGCAACATATCAAATGAATAGAGTTCATTGTGGAATATACATAAAAAGAAATAATCAGAAGACCAGAAACTGGGTGGTGAGATCAGTAGAAAGGGAGAAAGAGAGAGAAGATATGCGCTGATTTGCTGTTCATCTCAGGATAAAGATCCTAAACATACATGATCTTCACTGAAGAATCATTGAACAAAGGGAGTACAAGACATGTATTTGTTGGACTGTATATTTGATTCAGGACGTGGAGTGAAAAAGAAACTCCATTTAATAGAAATTAACTGGCACTGAACCAGGAGAATCAGCGGATGCAGTTCTGAAGAATAATGGGTGTAGATACTCAAATATTAGACCCATATGAAGACTTAAATCGTTCGACAAAAACGCACCCGTCAGATTCACAAGTCAACCGACTGCCAAGTGATGATTAGAAACAAGAGGTCAGCAGCAGATTTTCCAGACTAATAATCTCATTTTATTAATTACCTATCTTTTGAAGACGAAATAAATGAACGAGAAATGAATCTCGTGGAATGGGTCAGAAGGCATAAAAGTAGATAACAACTAAGATAGATAGCTGTTTCCCATATATCCCTAATGGAAGAAATTTTGGACTGAATTCCTGTAAATTGTCAAAATTTGATACGTTGAGTCACCCAGATAAGTTATGCTCCAACATGTTAATTATTCAGTGGTTATTTCCCTCACACCAAGAGAAACCTAGAAAAATACCAGAAGCCATGAATTTTCTTATCATAGAAATATGAATTGCATCATCAAATCAGGCTTGTACTTGGACCATATTTTACACTCTTAAATATATACGACAAGGACCCAAATACACATTCAGTAGACAAATTTTACAATGATACACATGAAGACATGTTATCTCCTTTTGCCATTTTGATGTATTCTACTGCGATCATCTTTGTGCCAACCTGATAAAAGAAAAACAACATTTCTAAGAATATTTAACCATTAAATATACAATTCGGAGATACAGCATAACCAGCCATCTTTTGGATATGCGCAAGATGAAGTTTTTGACGGAAGAGGGAAATCAATCATAAGTTCTTTCGGTTCATATGATGTTTAAAAGCAAAACCTATGCTCTTGTACATCAATCTAAAATCATGACAACCACCAATAGTTGATAATTTTTTTCAACACATCATCCCTTTACAATCACACAGTTTTTGTTCCAACTTGTGAGATTTATCTAAGGACGGTTTAAGTAAGTATTCGACAGAAGATTAATCAACCTTCACTATTCAATGAAGATGAAACTTCTTTCTGAAGAGGTTAGATACCTTTCTGACATGGTCTAAGAGATCGACCCCCAAATTCCATTCTCATTATTTATTCATGTCAGCAGAAGGTTCACAACAAGTGCATAGAGATCAATGTTTTGTTTAGGCAGAGATACAGAAACAAATGACAATTACGGGCCAAGAATTGTTCCATAAAAAGAAACGTGAGACTACAGGGCAAGACCCTCAGAGAAACCTCGGAGCGGGCACGAATGTATTTCAACATTCTTCACTCACATAGGAAACACCTTATTGAAGAACTCATTGAGCCTATAGGTTAAGGCCCATAACTTATAGACCCAAGGGGGTCCCACTAAACATGTGGAGACCCCCTCTCTCCCATTTTTCTTTCCACAATACAACACATTTCCCTTCAATCGGCTGCTCCAAACTAGGAGGTTTTCCTTGGGGGGTTTCCTCTAGTCTCTTAGCCCAAGTTATTTTTGGCTTTTCTAGGCATTGGGAGAGTTTCCTGCCCTTGCTCAGTCTCTAACCCCCCTTCTCTTGGTCCGCTCCTACGCCCCTCCCCTACAATTTCTCTCCTCTCAACACACTCATCCAAGATCAACAGAGATACTCCAAGATCCCTCACCTGATCCCTCTTCGTCGTGATCAGGATCTGCACGGGTATCCAGCAGAATCCAACAGCCATGTCCAACTGCACCCGCCGTGGCGCCTGGCATTATCTCTGGAGGAGTTGCGCTGAGGATTGCATGCCGGCCTTCACTTCCCCTCCACCCACCCCAACCGATTCGCCTGCATCCACCACATCTTTGGTGCCAGCAATGTCAGCAGGATGCTTCAGGTCCTTCTATAATTAATCCCCTCTTCCTCCAGAATAACATCATCTCTCGTATGTGTACATATACCTGCCAACAATGGCCATCATTTATCATTCCCTTCAATCCAACTGATGCATGTTGAGGAGAGGAGACAGGCCGACGCAGGACAGGAGCCCCTTTTGGGCCCCTCAATTTTTGTAGGAATTTCGGGCGCCGTGCAGCCAGGACTTGAAACAGCCGTCCCTCAGATTACTCGAAGCCCGCCCGTTCGACCAGCAACATCCTCACGACCCAGAAGGTCGAAAAACGCAGCTTCCACAGTCGGAGGCAAATCCGGGATTCCTCCACCGCTCCCGACGTCGTCGTAACCATCTGGATTCTGACGACTTTCTCTATTTCTAACGGATGGCTATCTTTATCTCTATCTTCGGAGCCGTAAGGCCAAGATAGAGTATTTTGAATGAGATTCCACCTTGTTTCGCTCCGGTGTTGGGAGTTGGTCGCGAGGACCCCGTTGCCTCGGTAGGGTTGATCGCGAGGAACCCGTCGCCTCCGGTTGGAGCCTTATCTCGTCGATTTCCGCCTCCGCCCACTAGCATCCGACTTCATCCCCGTTTTCCATCATCCAGCCACCGTCTGTCCGCCTTCAATTATTGTCCATCGCCGTTGGTCGCTGCCGTCCGCCGCCACCGCCTTCCCTTTCTCCGCCCGTTCCTCCGCATTCCCTTTCTCCGCCCTCCGCCCGTTCGTCTTAACCTTGAGGATTAAGTACCGAACCCCCCCCCCCTTTCGCGGGTCGTGAACCCCGATCCATCCACAGCCCAAACGGTCCATTTCCGTCGAGCCCAAACCCGCTCAGCTGCCTGGTCTGAGCCAGGCTGCTTCGCCGATCCAGGCCATTTCGGGCCGCGGGGTCCGCACCGGACCGCTACACCGGTCCGAGCCAGTCCGGACCTTCTGGTCCGTGCCGGTCCATACTACCCGGTCCGTGACGGTCCATACCACCCGGTCCGCGCCGGTCCGCGCCGGTCCGTTTCACCGGGTCCGAGCCATTCCAGACAGCCTGGTCCGCGCCGGTCTGTTTCACAGGGTCTAAACCATTGCGGACCGCCTGGTCCGGTTACCCCGCCTTGCCTGTTTCGAGCCAGTCCACCAATCAACCAGGTCAGCTTGTCAACGATCAATTTATTGGTCAATCGTCAGCATATTTTGGACATCGAATTTGAGTTTATGGCTAAACTCAAATCATGATTCAGTCAAATTTTAGACATCTTGCTTATATGCTTTCATGAAAAAACAATTGACTAAAAAAAACTAGATCTTTGACTTGACGTAACATATTCTCATAATATATAAATCATTCACATGTCTTATTCCTTGATTTTATCAATTTTATCATATTTTTTACCAATTTAACTTCAATTGAATAATAAATGACTTTTGACTTACTTGTGTTGACCTTTTTCTCATCTATGTTCATCATGATAAAATAAGAGATTGTTGGCTTGTGGAGTCAGGAGCTTTAATGTGGCAAAAAGGAATGAAGGGTAAAAGGGTGATTTTACATTATAATATGTATTTCTCTATGAATTAAAAATAATCTGTTTATTTTTTTCTAACGTATGAAAAATTAAAAAAATTGAGATCAATTGGATGCATTTTTATTAGAACTCCCATTTGAGTCATACCTACTTTATTAGAATGAGGAAGTAAAGAAGAAGAAGAATAAAATAAGTGAAACATGCCCTAAATAGATGCAACTATGATTAACCACACAAAAATACTATAATACCAATATTTTGTACCATTAACAAGCTGATAGGTTTTCGCATGCACTTTGTTGAATGGCTAGAGAAAGATGCATTTTCGGGTATTGTAGCTTAGAAAATTCAACCAAAATCATTTATAAAAAGTGAAATACTACTATTTATTACCAAGCCTCTTATAACATTTTCATATGATTCTCAAGGAATTAATTGAAGGAAAATTTACTTTCATAAGAGGTTTAATCTTGCACATTCAAGTTCATACTCCACAAAGCTCTAATTTAGAAGTTGTAAAGTTTTTAGTAATATTTACTTATTTTTAAGGGTTTGTATTGTAATAGAGGACTAGCAATAGTAATGAACCCTTGTAAGAGTCTATAACCTTGGACATATTAGGAGAAACCTCAAAGTTGAACTTTCAAATCCTAAGGCATTCACAGGTGACTTGTTCTACTGAATTGCCTCAAGTACAGTTTCATAAATTTTCTTATATTTTATTCACAATGTCTGCTATGGAAGTCAAAGGATACCAACATGTACCTATTTAGCACTATGCAGAGATGAGCTGACAAACATGACAACTTAACTCTTCCATCCCATCTCTTGGGTCATTCATTTATGGATGACAATATTTCAAACTTTGATCCATGTGAGAATCTCATGAAACTCCACTATGTAGTAATTATCATCAACTTTGGCTAATGGGCCTATTTCATTCCAAGGAGCATTCACATTATGCTCTAGTTTATGGCTGAGGTTTGTAGCCATAATAATGGGTGTATCCTCCTCTTGGAATGGGCCGGGCTGGGCCGGGCCAGACCAGGCGGCCCGGCCCGGGCCTGGCTGGGGTTTATAATTTTCTGTCCATTGATGTACCAATAGCCATGAGAGATGAGGATGGCACCTTGCACTGTAAATATGGTAGCTATTGGTCCAAAATTTTGGGCCCGCTCCCCAAGAGGCACTGTAGAGAGCACGTGGTAGTATTTAAGATTACCCGTAGAGAGCACGTGTGGAAATAGGGGAGAACAAGGCCGAGTGAAGACAGATCAATGGGTAAAAGGCAGTGGCTAGCCGACAAGCAGCAGCAGTTCTATCCTGCTGAGCTTTCTCTCCCACCTCACATCAAAGCACCGGAGGGGAAGAAGGGGAAGAAGAGACCTTGAGGGAGGAAGAGAGGGTTTCACCGAATGGAGTCTGCCGCGGCCCTCCTCCCGGCCATGTCCGTCTTTACGGTCTCCCGAAGCTTGAAGATTTCCACCGGGACCAACGTCCGCCGCAACCACTCCTGCAATCTCCGCCAGCTCATCTGGAGGTTACCTAGGGCGTGTCATCCGCAGAGGCATTGCATCCGCAGTGGGTTCTCCTCTTCCTCCTCGGCTGCCATTTGCTTGGGGAGCGCTGGCAAGAAGCTGCCCAGAGAATTTTTCTTGTTGTCATTCGCCGGGAGCATCATTTCGGGTTCCCGACGCGGTACAGCACCAGGGCGTCTCCCTCTGGCGTCTCTCTCAAGTTTATCTGCGGTGCCTTCCGGGTCAGGAGGGGGTGGCGACGGCCTTGGAGTTGGGAACGGAGGGGAAGATGGCGACGGCGGGTCGAGCGGTGGGGGGACGGAGACGAAGTCCATCTCCGGAGAGTCTGAAGATGTGTCGAATTTGGGGTCCGACGTGATAATTCTCGACGTTGGAGTAAGTGAGCTTTCAGTATCTGTCGGTTTTCGGCGTCTCTGCTGCATGCTCATACCTTTTCGTTCTTTCAGGGAATGTCGTGCGGCGGCTGTGCGGCCAGTGTGAAGCGTATTTTAGAAAGTCTTGTAAGAATTCGTCCTCCGTTGACCTTTGCGTATAAATTTCTCCCAGGATCTGAGTTGATTTTCCAATTTCTAGTTACTTTTTTTTTATTTCCCCATGTGTTCTCAACCTAACGAGGTATGCATTCGACAGCCTCAGGTGTCCTCCGCCAACGTGAATCTTGCAACTGAGACCGCAGTAGTATGGGCCACATCTGAAGCCAAGGTTACACGCGATTGGCAGCAAGATCTGGGCCAGAAACTTGCTAGCCACTTGACAACCTGTGGATTCCAGTCTAATCTTCGAGGTTGGTACCCATTTAAATCTGTTTCCTCGTGCCTCTTTACGATAGCTTATTGCTCAAAATATATTATTTTTCTGTTTGAGTGTCAATTGTATTTAAATTTTTCCTTGTATTAAAAGAGATGTGCTAAGCTTAGGGAACTAGTTATTTTCTAAGGTGACAGTTTTGTTTGCCATTTGTGATGGAGGTCGGCCAATGTTTGGAAGATACTTGAACATGTGATTCTGCTCTTGTGACATTTTTTCTTGCTTTGGTTTAGACATTTTCGCAGCATGTGGCAAGAACATCAGTCTCTCACATATCACTTTGATTCCACTATTTTTATGCATTTATTCTGTCCTAGTGACGATACCCCCTTCAAATGTGTTCTAAACGTGGAATGAATAACTGAACTTGTTGATCATTGCTAGGTTACGCATAACCGAAGAAAAACCACTGAAATTATAGAATTGGGTGAACACTGGCTCAGTTAAGCCCATTTTATGTCAGTTCTAGGTTCTCGGTTTTCGGTTTAGTTCAAAGCTTTACTTTAAGTTTCACAGATTTTGTTGTAATTAAATTGGGATATTTTTCTGTATAATGGCATTCGGTTACTTATTTTATATAATTAAGGATGCGTACATAGTTGTCGTATGGTGTATTGAATATAAGATGTAGTAACCTGGTGGAAGTAATGAGTGGAGCACAATGAGTGGTTTGGTGGGGAGGAGGGAAAAATTCTAGGACCATCAGTTGATGTAATTGAGTTATTTGTATTTCCTGAGAACTGATCTGGAACATTTCAAGCAAGACATTGTGAGTGATATGAGATCTAAGGATGACTTTAGATGAAACTGAAGGAGTATCTTTATGGAATGAGTTGACCTAATGGATGCTTCCGTAATGAACATCTAGGAGTGGGTATCTTCTACAAATGGGAGGTTAATTTCTCTGCCATTAAGTACTAGAATCTTAAGGGGTTCCCACCCCATTTCGTTCACCTGGAGGAGGAAAAGACAAGAAGAATATGCAAAACTGGGTTAAGGCATCGATACATGGTCTAAAAACGAGAATGTCCCACCAACACGAGAAGGTCCTCACTTGTGTTGTCAGCAAAATCGGCTCCAGTCTATATTTTTCTTCCTCTTTTCCTATTATACTTTTTCTCTCTCCTTTCATTCTTTCCTTGACTGTAGCAAAATTTGCAGAAATTTTTGGAAAACGTAGCAATCAAGTTCATAATGTCCGTCTAACTTAGAACACTGATAACAGTACGAGCAAAGTGATTTGATTGCCTAAGGCGTAAGTTTACAGGTGGATCAATTTAACCCTGTCATAAACTGGACAACCATATAAAACATGAAAACTAACAGAATGGAGTATGCATGCTAAAATTGTCGATGCATATTCTTTATTGATTGGATGATGAGTTTAGAAAGGTATCTGATCTTTATTGGGATCAGATACCTTTCTAAACCTTAGTGGATATAGTTGAATTTGAAAAATGAAAACTTGTCTAACCAGAGAATTTCCTGTTTGACTGTAATAATTTTTATTTATTTTAAGTACAGTTAAATTTACCTTAAAAAGCTAAAAAATGTGGTCCGCGCATATATATCTGCTTAATCCAATCTGATTTGCACTCTGATGAATCTTTTTGGGCTTTATGTCACCTAGACTAATCCACTTGTAAAATCTAGTTTATCCTAAACTAATCCATTTTTATGCATTTGCGTTTATCCTGGGTTGTTTGGTTAAATATCATAGTTCAGTTTCTGAATAAGTTTGTCCAGTTGTTTTTGGATGCCAGATCCCTGGCAAGTTTTTGCAATGCTTTGTCAATTCCTCTTAATTAGTTTGTGGACAGTCTTTGGGACCTTGACCATCAAATTTGCGTCTATAACCACAGGCATATTATGCGTTTGTTTGCCTGGTCATGACTTTCTACTGGGAGTCAGTATTTTTTATGGTGAACATACGAGGTGCACTCATATGTTGATTGAGTGGACCATTGCCTGTGAATTGTAGCCTCCATTAGTTTCTGAAATTTTTAAAAAGGGGATCCGATATGCAAAATCTTGTACTCCTTAGATAGGGCATGAACATTGGCAACTATGTCAACCCACGAGGAGAACATGTTGACGTTTCTCTTTGATATGTTGAAGATTTGGTACTTAATCGCAGGTAGGAAACATACAGTTGAAGGAGATATTCAATCTTAAGTATGCAAGAGTGCAGCTGAAATACTGGTTCTTCAAAGGAATAATTGGTAAGACTTTGATATTTGAGGTGTTTCACTCTGAGACGAATATTTTTGAACTCCATTTTCTTGGGGCCACTATTCAGATGAAGTAATGGATCTGTCTCTGTCCATAGGTGATCTCCAATGCTGCAGCGGGTGGTTCAAGAGAAGGCATCTTGGAACGTTTCCTTTGTTATCTTTTTTCTGTCTGAGGTCTCCTGGAAGGAGTAACAGTTAGTCAGTATTTGACTCATCAATGTAACTTGACAGTTTTCACTGTCCCAAGTTCATATTAATTATTATTGTAACTTGTAATCACAGAATCTTGATGTATCTTGAATCCATAAATATTATCTATTGGAGTATTGAATTGAAGTTGCAATCCCTGGATTTCACTGACATGAGGTTCATTGGATAGAATATGGCAATGCAATGGCCATGGTCTGGTTACCTATGCACCAAGGGAACATTGGTGACAACTGTTGGTATTAATTGCACTAACATTCATAGAATGGATGTTTTGTACTGACCAGGTTGCTTAATGTCAATAACCTTCAGAACAATGGTACAATGCATTTTTGTCTGAGATCTCCACTTAGCCCAACCATAGATTGCTTAGTAGATTTATGTATGCTGCTTCGACGTCAATGTGTCTCAACTGTTTACATTTCTTTACCTTGTGGAATAATATTATTGTTTTTTTATTTTATTATTCTAATGTAACGAGCCTGATTTTATTTCAGTAAAGATATATTGTTGATGTATTTGGCATTCTTTAGATTGTATCAATTGTAAAATCAGGCATGCCTGAACTGTATGTTTTAATTCATGATAGTCTATCTAAGATGTAGAAACATAAATAAGAAAGGTAGTTGTCTAGAATCTTAGACATTGCATCATTATAATTTCACTTGATGGTTATTAAAAATGTGGCATTTTTTCCTTATAAAGTTTCTAATAGTTAGGCTTGATAATTGTAGATTCCTCAAGAAAAGACTTATACAGGATTTTTGAAAAGAAGATGGATGAAAAGCTGGTGCGTCTAAAAGAAAGTGGTATGGTCTATTTTTATTTTCCTCTCAAACTGAGTTTAGCCTATTATCTCGTATGTTTGTATTTAATGCTTGTTATACTATTCCTTGGCCAAAAGCTGACTGAAGTCTTGTGCATTACTGATTTTGTTGTCATCTATCGGATTTCTTATTTCCTGATTCATTTATCTTTGAAAAAAATTATGGTGCATTGTCTGACATTACAACTGTTTGTATCTTCAAACAGGTCGAGGACTTGTTGTCTCATGGACATTATGTGCTGTTTGCCTTTTGGGTCATACTGCGCATTTATTTCAGGCGAATGCACCATCATGGTTACATGCATTGCATTCAACTGGTTTCCATTTGTCACTTTCCTTTCTTACGTTAATTGGTCCAGGTCGTCAGCTTATCCTAGATGGGATAAGAAGCCTTTTCAAGGGTTCTCCAAATATGAACACTTTAGTTGGCCTGGGAGCTTTATCATCTTTTGCTGTTAGTTCAGTGGCCGCTTTTGTACCTAAACTGGTAAATAGATACTCTTATCCCCATAAAGTATGATTATTGAATTATGCTACTCTGATATGACATGAAATATTGTAGTTTGGTTTGTGTTTATCCATCTTTGCGAATGTAATTTTTTCCATCACGTCATTAATTCTAATATGTGACCTATAACACGAAAACATTGTGTTGAATGATCATAGGGATAAAATGAGACCTGGCTTGTGAAGGAATTTGAAAGCAAAATGTTAAAGAGCATATTTATTGTTTCCAGAACAGAAGAATGTTGTTTTATCATGTTTTATATTAAACAAAGTCATCAACGTGATCTGCTGAAATTACCCTAGTTTGTCCAATGATTGCTATTCCATGGGATTATCCATGTCTAGAGGAAAAGATAAACTCTTGCGAACATTCACTTTATTATCCTGAGTAGTTGGAATAAATCTCACAATGTACTTTAATATGAAGGAACATTGTTTTTCGTATTTTCCTTTGTTCTAGTTTGGGCCATGAAATGGATATTTTTCTTCTGTGGAATGGAGTTTTGTGGGTAGAGAGTAAGCATCCTTGGGACAAAGGTTCAATGAGCCATCTAAGAATGGATAAAAGTAGTGATGATCATCTAGTTTGGCAGTTTTCTTCTTGGAAGTACCATGAATTTGTAAAAGTGTTCTTTGCTGGGAAACTGGGCTGAGCCACTTGGTTTTCTTCCGATTTTTCCACCTGAAACTAGTTCTTTGAGTTTCTGACACTACAGTTATTTTAATTAATTGGGAACTTTTTGTGGCGGGAGAGGAAATACAGAATGATTAGTCTTCTAGTTGGGAAGAAGGTAGGTTTGGCATTGTATCAGATCTCTATGATGGTGGCAAATTGACAAAAGTTTTACAGCTGATGATGGAAGAGAGAATCCGATAATAACTTCTTCCCAACATGGAGCTTAGTAAACCAAGGAAAAATGGGGTTGGAGAATACCTGATGACCACACTTTAGTAAATGGACATCGCCAAGAGCGAGAATCTGGGAGAGGACTAGATAGACTGAAAATGGATTTAAACGATTATAAATTGGAAACCAATTTAATGCAAGTAGTTTCAGGATGGTGGCCGACAGGATTCTAAGTGAGTTAACCATGTTGGTAAATATATTTCGTCAGAGATCAGTTATTATAAAATTAGTTGTCAATAGTGTAACTGAGAGGCGTGAATTATAACTCCATACTGTATATCAATGTCTGATGAGAAAGATCCGATGGTAGCCCACAGAGAGCCAATTAGCGCTTAGGTACCATGACTTGTCTTTCTGAACAGTGTTAAGATATAGCATATGAGAATATGCCTGGGTTCATGCAGCCACTTATGAATGATTAAAATGCACTAAATTCTTGATAAGATGCATAATTGTTTCATGATAGCTACAAATACCTTGTGAGGAATTCAGCTGGTAAATGCTCGATAGTTGAGCTCATCTTGAAACATAAAATAAGAGGTTCTTTTTAAAGGAGCATTCGTTAATTTTTAGGTGTGGGTCAAATAAGGAAGTGATAATTTTTCTATTTACAAGCGTGATTTGTAAGTATGCCCAACTCACCCCAGCTCATGCAGCCTGGCTTGTTTTTTCAGGTTTCAGAGTCCTTTCTGTATCCGTATCCTCTGAGTAGACCATCCCATCGTTGGTTAAGCCCAAAAGTCCTTTTTGTTTAGGAACTGGGTCAACGAGTGTTGACACTTTATTTTTTAACCTGTTATGACATATCAAACAGACCAGTGGTACAACCTGAGCCTTCTGGATGATCATGAGCAGGCTCTGTGCTTGAAAGAGGGAAGTGACATATGTGGCCAAAGAAGCAACATCTTCATTTTTTTTCTTCTTCTCCCTCTTTTCCCCCCTTTTTCTCTGTAGTTTACTCCTGTTCTTATATTCAAAATGTGCAGCAATATGCCTATCAATATCTCCTGGATGTGGTTTTTTTTCACCCCGTTCCTATTCTCTGTTTTCATCCAGTTTCAATAGTTTCTCTGCTCAAACAGTCTTTGTTTCAGTACCTTGGAATCTAGATGAGATAGGGCTGCGTTTGAACAGGTTTCTGGGGAAAAAATGCAGAAGTGGAAGAACAAGAAGAGCAACGATAGAATAAATTTTTCAAAAACATAACCCCCTGTAGATCGGCACCAGAGAGTGCTGCTGAAATACATCCTGGGGAAGTGGTGAGTGGTGCCGGCAGGTACGACTGCAGCAACGGACCCTAGAGGACAGTGGCGGGCAGTGCTGAGAGAAGATCCCTTGATAATTGGAAACGGTAATGGAGAGCCATTAACCCTCGTCTCAAAAGATATAACTGGCCTAAAGATCCCTAGAAACGAGGGCTTTTGGTCTTTTGATGGGCCCCACTTTTCTGGAAGGGGAAGAACCAATACATGATCTCTTGTGAGAAGCGTTACCTAACTGATTCGGGCCCCTCTGGCAATCTATAACTAGAAAGATCTGCTCTACACTCCCTGCAATTCTTCAAGGGCCTAGACATTTTAAGAAGCTGAGAATATAGAGAATTGCAAAAGAACAGAGGATATTTCTCGAATAAGGAAACTTGAGTCTCAATGCCCATCAGACAAATTCCTACGTGGTCCAAGCACCAATTGGATAAATTAGTGACCAATTCTGCACAAGCTTTCTTGTTGACCAGTTCCTATTGTTGTTAGAAGCAGAGGACGAACCATTTGAAGGATACTGCATCAGATTTGCTTGAGTCTTAGAAGCCCCTTTCAAAGTTTACATGTCAGGGTATAATAGAACTATGACAATAACGCCTGTTTTGTATGCTATAATAGAATAGCCCCAATATCTCATGTACACGACTTATTGTGTGATACGTCCTCCAAATCATTATTTGGGTACTCTACGGTACTTAAATAGTGCTCAGGTTGATTCAGAACGGCAATTCTTTGCGACTGTCGAGGGTTTAGTTTTGTTTTCTATCCCACCTATTGCACTTTGACTCCTCTCTCCATCACCTTCTATTATCTACTGTCTCACAACATTCCTCTATTTTTTGGCCCCTCTTTCCTCCACAAATCAGGCTTCCTATTCTACGACTCCGTTCAAATAGAAAGGTCGATTTCTATGATTGTAAAGTGTAAAGTGAATGAATAGTTATCTGCAGGGATTTCACGAATGGATGCTTTTGCTATTTCAAAAATGGAGGATCCACTATTCTTATTCATGAAAGTTAAGGGCCATTGATTTTATTTCATAAATGAAAGTAAAATTCACGAATTTCTTCTATCCTATTTTTTTGTTTCCCTCTTTCTTTTTGAAGATTCACATTTCTATTTTTCAAAGTTTTCAATTCATGTAATCATTATTGAATTAAGTTCGACTTGTCACAGGGCTGGAAGGTATTCTTTGAGGAGCCAATTATGTTAATAGCCTTTGTCTTGTTGGGAAAGAATCTTGAACAGAGAGCAAAACTAAAAGCTACAAGCGACATGACTGGCCTAATGAATATTCTGCCAACTACAGCTCGACTTATGGTTGATGGTGATGTTGAAGAGTTGACTTCAATTGTTGAAGTTCCTTGCGGTAGCCTTTCTGTTGGAGATCGTATTGTTGTTTTTCCAGGAGTGAGCAATTTCAAGCATTCTTTCACAATGTATTTTTTATATTTTTCTCATAGAAATACGACATCACATGCTACTTCTTTCTTTCAATGCTACAAGAAGTTGTTTGAGAATTCCTTTTTTTTTCTTGATTCTCATATTGACTGGAAACTTTGTGTCTGAAATGTATTTGTCTCTAATTCAATGAAAAGGAATGGTTTTTGAATCCCAGTATGTATAACATCTTGTCTGAGGAAGATTGCTGGCAATTAGTGGGAAGTGGATAAGAGAATAGAAGGGACTATGCATGATCCGTTTATGTTCTGAGAAGCTGCTATTATTCACCTGTCATTGCATTATAGATCACGTCGGTTTTACGAACTAAGGATTGGCGGTTGTCTTTTTTTCGTCCCTGAGAATATCTATCTATTGTATAGGACCGTGTTCCTGTTGATGGTACTGTCAAAACTGGAAGAAGCACAGTTGATGAATCAAGCTTCACTGGGGAGCCACTTCCAGTGACAAAGCTTCCTGGGGTAAATTTCTGTCATGATTCTTGTGGAAGTGTTGTTTCTTGAATGGGAAATTTTTGGCTTCACGTGCCTTAACTTTCTTAAAACTTACTACAGTGAAAACTTGATTTTGTTAGTCATCATTTTATTTTTACTTCCATGAACTTTCCATTGTTTTTTGAGAATTTTATGGGACTTTCCAAGTCTGAAGTGACAGCTGGAAGTATCAACTTGAATGGCACTCTTACTATCGAAATCCAAAGGCCTGGCGGCGAAACTGTTATGGGAGACATTATTAGAATGGTGGAAGAAGCACAGTCCAGAGAAGCTCCTGTTCAGCGTCTGGCTGACGAGGTAATAATTGTGGATCTATTCTAGGACATACTTGAGGATTTTATTTCAAAAATGCAAGGTATAGCTTGCTTCTAATATTTGTCCGTACTACCGTGCTATCTAATATTTGGTTCATTGTAGATTACGTCTTAATGTAGAATACGAGGATTTCGTACACAAGTGAAAGACCTGACTGAAAGAACTAAAAATCGTGGTCGGAAAGGTTATAGCGGCACAAACCATTGGAACTTATATTTTCTATAATGGAATAATTGATGTTTTATTAATTGAAACGGGGGAAAAGAATTGAAGGCTAAATATTTGCATTCTGGTTTGGATGGAACAGTTTCTTTTGTTTTGGTAGACCCAGTGACACATTCATCACACCCCTTCATTTTTTGTTTAACCGAAGAAGGCCCTTTTAGTTTCTTTAATTCAATTAATGCTTTCCGTTGATCAACAATAAGTCTTGGCTGATTCTCATTTTATTTCCTATGGACGTGTTTGCTGGATAAGGCAAGGCCTTTGACGCTTCTTTTTGCGCCCCCCCCCATCCGGAATCAAAAAGGGTACTTACTACCCCAGAATGCTGAAAAGGGTGGGGGGAGAAGCAAGCTGGACCTCTGATCAACCCAGAAACAAATAATTCTCAGCGTCACCCCCATGATTTGCTTGTCCAAGGCAGTATGCCTTGCCCGGATCAGTAGATTACCTCATAGCCTATAATACAAGTATTGCCATTGTGAAACTGCTTATGGGGCCAGCGTCCAGTTGTTCCAGTTCACATTTCGTCCTGGAAATACCTTGTTCTCATGTATGCTCATCCCAAGAAGTTCCTTGATTAGCCGACTGGGATGGAACAATGGTTTATCCTGATTAAAATTGTTCTCCACTTTACACTTCAGAATTTCGGAGCTCTGATCCCAAAACCTGTCGATCTAGATTGGGAATCACTCTTTATCCAGTTTGGACTTGCTGAAAGGTCACAACAGACTTTGACACCCATGGTTCTGCCACAAATTGATGTCAATACTTACCAAGTGCTTGATTTTCTCATGAGAACTAAAATTCATTCTTTTAACCGTGGAACTGAAAGGACCACTAAAAGATAGGAACCGGACCCTACCAAGCCCTTCCTATTTAAAGGAGAAAGGAAAATAAGAAAAATGGGTTCTATGAACGCTTCAGCTTTAGTTGGGTGCCAAAAACTTTGCTTGTCCCGTGTGATGATCACTATTGTTCAAATTACATAAAGTTCTGTTTTCAAATTACATAAAAGTATGGTGTCATTGGTTTTTATTGAGTGCTATAAATAATTGTTTTCTCATCATTTTAATGGTTTGACAATGCTTACTATAGTCCATCAGAGGGTAATGTAGCTCTTGGAATGCAGGTTTGTTTTCTTATTGTGTTTGAGTCATCAAAGATGACCGTACAACTTCTGAGCTTGGATGTAATTACTGTAATATTTATAATTCGTAAATTGTGGTTGCAGATTTCTGGGCATTTTACTTATGGTGTTATGGCATTCTCTGCTGCTACATTTATGTTCTGGAATTTGCTTGGGCCTCATCTTGTACCAGCTGCTCTGCAACAAGGAAGTCCAATATCATTAGCATTACAGCTCTCCTGCAGTGTCTTGGTATATTCTTTACTGTCTTCAGAACACAACTAAGTGACTTTCTTTATATTTCTCTTACTAATCCCCCATTTTTCTAATCCATCATTGTCGTAAATTCATGCACATAATTGGAACGATGAAGTCACGTGCGTAATAGTGACTGTTGCCAATAAACTAATATAATGCGCAAGTCAACGAGTGATTGTTCACCTATCATGCTTGATAAACCCCAGATAGAGAATCAATTCGATGCAGCCTCTGACATATAAGAGGATTCAAGATGATTGTTGCTTGGCAGGGCATTTTTCCACTCTTCTAAAGAAGAAAAACAGCACCCAAGCTATTTCACACATCTCTGATAATACATATCGAGTACCATTTTGTGCTATTAGAAGTACTGAGCATGTGTTATGTTATGTTTCAATGCATCCACCAGTGTATTTGATTTTCAAGTAAGGTTTTCTTTCTCGATGAGTTCCATAAGGTATGAAGTCTTCGTCCTGTTTGGTAAAAAGGACCCGTTCAGTGAGATTCGTTTGTTAGGAAAATTATTCCTAATTTAAATTCTAAATGATGGGTTGTTCTCATCTTCTCATAAAAGAGGAAATGTCCATTGCTTTTATTTTATTTTTCATATTTAAATATTGAGAAAAAGAAGGCCATAGAGTGAAACAACCGGTCATCTAAAATTTTTACTAGTAGAAGTCTGCCTGCAAAATAAATCTCACTTCTTGATAGAATTGCTCTCTTTCTAGTTAGGCTTTTTTTTGTACACATCATTGTTGCTTAATCTTCTTCCATCTTGTGAGGGTAGTCTGAGAAGAGTTCATTGATTTAGTGCTTGACCTTAGGCATGCATCCCTGACGTCAGTCTTATTTATGGAAGAAAAAAAGTGCCCGCATCTTGGCTGTTTAGTTCTTCCATGAAACCTGTGATGAAACTTGTGTTAGGTTCTCAAATGTCATGGACAAAGGATAACCTAGTTTCCAAAAGAAGGCAAGTGGATAGCGAGATCTGTATTTTTCTATTTAAATGCTGAATGAAAAATACGATATTTTATTGGTTTTATCTAAAGTTACAAAGGGGGAGCTTCCAAGGTGGTCAGTATTTTTTTAATGCAACTGAGCCACTTGTCTCTTCCAACAATTAAATACATTTTCCCCTCACTAGAACATTAGGGTTTAGTGATTGGGTTTAAAGAGAATGTGTCTCCTGTAAGATGATAGCTTTCTTTTCTCTGTCAAAATCCATAGTGCTAAAATGGTGGAGGAGCCCATTGGCTCTTTTAAAATTTATACAGACGTAAACGAGGTTGTAGAATGTGGTCATTTATGAGAATGAGATTTTGGCTATTCAGATCCTGCAATCTCAAGGTTGAGCAGTTCTATGAGTTCCCATTTTAATATATTTGATCTGTTTAATACAGTATGATTTATGGCATAGCTATAATATGATTTGTATGATTTCTAATCTCCTATGCTCAATTTGTAACACCCTTGATGACTTATTACCATCTGTGACGAATTCACATGATTTTTTTTGCAATGTATTTCGTTTAGATGATCACATGACTATGATAGTAAGAATTATCAACTATGATTATTACTGTGTTTTGAATATCCCAATGTCATTACGTGGTTATGATTCAATGCACATTTTTTGCTTTGTTCTGATCGATGAACTCAATGGAATTTATGATTTCATCGGAAAGACTCATGCCCTAACTTTGTTGGTTGATAGGAATGGTATTTATTTACTTTGTGTGCCAGTGCAGGACTTGATATTCATCATTTGTGCAATTAATGTTTCTGTTTTATGGAATCCAACTTAAGTCGCTATAATTCGTAAATGTATGACCATGTAAAACCTGGAACTATTATGTATACTAAATGTAGAGGCGCCAAATCAGGGTGGACAAGATGATATTTCAGACATCATGTGCATTAACAATCATCAAAATTTGTATGACATCTTGCAACACATGACGCTATGCTCTTTTTTATTTACAGTGGGAGTAGATGATAATGCATCTAGGTGGTTGCAGCCTGTGTCTGTTGCCGTACCATAATCATATTAGCACTTCGGAAAGTATATTATGGCATTCCTAATATACATCCTTGGCTGGTTAGAACAGAAAGCGGATCGCTCACATGATTACACTTCCTGACTCACTTCTGCACTAATAAGTGGTCCAAGTAAACTTAGCATATGACCTCCAATTTTATCTCCTAAATTGGAAGTCTATAGATTGTTCAAATCTTTGAAATACGTTTGATTATCATCAGTCACAACCCTTTTAGGATTATTATCGATAAATGATCAAAAGAAGGTCTGCCTGTAATTGTCAACAATTTAGTTAACAATAAGAGCATATATTGTTACGGAAAATTACTGCAAAACCCACCCCGCTCATGTCTTGCAATAAGTGACACTTGCATTATAAGCATCTGTAGGTATCGAAAAATACTTTGCACAACTAGGTATTGTAAGTTTCAATGTTCTCTGGAGATGATTTCTTGAATTTTTTATAATCTCTCCTATGTGATAATGTTTTAAAAGCATAAAGTGATCTGTTGTAGATTGAGCATGCTTGTCGTTGTGCTGGCTTCAGAAGAGAAAGGAGAGACAGAGAAACCATTTATTATAGGACAGTTGACAGATTTGCCTTATTCACTGCTGGGCAGTGAACATTCTGTGATTTTTTAAACCAAATCTTGCTAATGACTCAGTTAACTTTTTACTACTATTGAATTCATAAAGGAGATATCCAAGTGATTGAAACTCCTGGTTTTTTAATTTTAGATGCCCCCCACTTTTCCCAACATGACTCAATTCTAAACGTGGAATATCAAGCAAACCACAAGCATTGTCTGGTGTGATTCAAATGCTTAAGGCTCGTTTTTTATTAAATTTTTTAATACCTTTTCAATGTTACCTTTGTGCAGTAATATTAACTTCATTTCACTGAAATGAGAATATCAAAATTCTGATCCACTTACCTGCCCTACCTTTGATTGTCAAAATCATCTACAGGTTGTTGCTTGTCCATGTGCACTCGGCTTGGCAACCCCTACTGCTGTTATGGTACTATTTCAAATTTCAACTCTATTTTAATGGGAGTTAACTACTACTCGTGAGAAATTTAAGATGATGGTGTTATACTAATTCTGATCAGGTTGGAACTTCAATAGGAGCTACGAGAGGGCTCCTTATTCGTGGTGGGAATGTCTTGGAGAATTTTGCTGGAGTCGATACAATTGTATTTGATAAAACAGGAACCCTGACAAATGGGAAACCAATGGTGACCAAAGTGTTGACCTTCGAAAGTGAGGGTAGTGAAAATACGGGGTAAGTTTGGCTTAGGCTTTTTTGTTTCTGAAATAGTTGATTGTTTTTCATTGGATTAGTGACGACAGTCTAGCTCACACTAACTTAATTCAGGGTTTGCCTTTTACTTAGTTGTTTTCTTGCATGAGTTAGATTAATGCTCAGATTAATGTTTAGTGAGTTTCAGGGGTGTGTAAGGCTCGATCTTGATGGTCAAAGGTAGGTTCTCATGTTTCTTTCGAGATTTTTTATCTAGGTTCTTTTCTATATGGTATCTCCTAATGGGTAACTTCGAAATCTAATACACGGAATAGTGAATTATGGTAAACAAATTAGAGAAGTAGAAATGAGAAGAAAAAAGAGCCTGGGATGGATGTGAACTGGAAAAAAATTAGGGGATACTTCATAAATACTACCTAGATACAGAAATCAAGAATGCCATGGATTTAATGGGTATTGGCTGAGATATTTGATCTCAGTAGCCCAATAACTTAAACCCCAATGAAAATAAAATGTTTTTACAACGCTCCCTTTTAAGCTAAACATTTATATTTTTTATCTTCAACTTAGTTGAATTCTCTAGGTCTTTAGATGTTCCTTGGTGAAAACATCAGCAACCTGATTTTAAGACTGAACATATGGCACGCAAAGTTCTGCAGAATTTAATTTCTTCCCTGATGAATGCTAGTCATCATAGTGTGCTTTTTCCTGAGATCTTAATGGGGTTATTTGCGATATTTACTGCTGTCTTGCTGTCACAATATGAATGTCGAAAGACTTAACAGTAGTACAGATTGGCATATGATGGGACTTGTTCAGGTTCCTTAAGGGCCCTACATCTTCTTGAGAATAATCTTAACATATGAGGACAATTACATTCCTTCTCTTAGAGTAAGCCAGCATTTATTCATCATCAAACACAGCAAATAGCACTTTGATTACGAGCTTTTCTATCGAGTTTAAGGAGACAATAATGTCCCCTCATGGAGCAGAAGTAACATCTTAAGGATCTAGTTTTTTCTAGTTTAAGGATGAAGACACTTGTACCTCTTTTTTCTGGATGACTGGCCAAGGTACCTTTGAAGGCATGAGGGTTCGATTTTGACGAGCCAGGTTGAGTATAGATTGTAAAACAAAGGCATCCAAATACTTTTGATGATGGAGGTAATAATTTTTGGCCCAGAAGAGAAAGAGTGTATGTGTGGGGGCAAGTTCTCTAAGACCCTATATAGCATTTTATTCGTAACCTAGCTGTTGTGGGTAAAGTTTTAACGTAAACATCTGTGGTCGATGTTGTTGAAGTAATTATGCTCCAATGATCTCTACAAGGTCAAAATTCTTCCTTTCAACTTTCCATTTTATCTAGTGTACAGACAAACGATGATCCATGTTGTATTTCTTTATCTTAAAAAATGATATGTAATTTTATGTCCGATTACTTGACATTATCTAGTCAGGGCCTCACAACCCTTTTTTCTGAACTAAGTTTCTATCATTTTGTAGAGTAAATGAATATAATGTGGGCAGCTTCTTGAGCTTTCATTAGATAGATCCAAATAAAATGTATGTACTTACCAGTCAAACTTGTAAAATGATAACTTTCCGTAAAGTGTTTCTAAACATCAGAATGAACAAGATCTGAAAAGAATAAACTCTTCTACTATTTGAGCTAGAAAATGAACCTATACATTATTTTGCCTCTTTACATATACGAAACTGGAGAAACTCGACTCAGATTGAAGTATAGAAAACAAAAACAAAATTAGGCAAACGATAAATGACCAAAGGGTAGTATGAGACATCATAATTATGAATCCTTCAGCAATAAGTGCTTATTATCCGTTCTTGAATTTATCAGGCTTCACTTAAGATTATTTTACCTCAATTTTTTTTTAATGATTGTAGTGATTACAATATATTTTTTCTTTCCTTTCTCACTCTGTTCTCCTTTTCCCTCCTATAGGAGAAGTTGGGGATAGACCTTAATTGCCCAGCTGACTCCACCAAGTGCTAACATGGGGATGACTCCATGGTTTAGTGGATAGCCTCATTCTTCTCCTCTGGGCTAAGAACTTTAAAAAGCACATGTTCTAATGAAGGTAGATATGTAAAGTATATTGCAGCTGGGCAAACTCTGCAGTCCAAACTCTAGATTCAAACTAGGAAGGAACTTGAATTTTCTATTCTAAATATATTGTAGCTGTCACTTTTGATCAGCTGCAACTATGTGGGATAATAATTTGAAGGTTGCTTTATCGTTATTTGATGAATCCCACTAGTCAAATGATAAGTTCCAGATGCATCATCTTAATGTACATTTTTTCTAGTAGCGTTCATACTTTTCTAGTTATCGGTTTTCCTAATACGGGGAATTGATTTGCGATCCAGACTAAACTGAGGATCCACGACATAATCATTATGTTATCAAGTTTCTACACACCATATTTGGACCATTTTCCACCAGGGCCTTCAGTTTTCCATTAATATAGTCACTTAATACGCCTTTTAATTTAGATCCTGGGGGTACTTGGCTGCACTGTATTATTCCTTCCATCAACTTTACAGAAGTCATAGAAAGGGTAAACATCATGAAGGCCCTGTAGTTCCTTCATGAGCTGCCTTTACAATGCCGGGACAACATTCTCCAGAAGTGACTCTGAGGGCGTTTCATTGCAGGAAGGAGGTAAATGTCGGATGAAAATAAGCCAAATGGGGCCTTCATAAGGTCGACTCAAAGCCCTTCAACTCAACAGAGTGTGGGCTGAAACCACCAGACCAATGGCATCATAACTTAATCAGCTAACCTATTATTCCCTTCCATTCAGCTTCTACTCTTAATTTGGAATATATTGTTTATTTCGTTCTTCCCTAGCCTAGATTTATTCATTAGAAACTGTTGACAATTGATCTTGATTGAGATTCGTGCAACTTGGAGAATGAAAGGAGTTGATCTTGACGATCCTCCTCTTCCAGGAAAATGAACCAGTCACCACTTCTTGGAGCAGGGTTTCTGCAATCCAAAATGAATCCGTCAATTATCATGGTTTCCCGCTTAAATATGGGTTACATGAGTTAATGGGCCAGGCCTATTCCATTAGTCTTCAAGTGGATCCGTTAACAGTCTAATGGATCCACTTAACAAAGGGCATGACGGGAAAGGACAAAAATACAATAAAAAGAAACAGGTAGAAAGGAAAACAATCTTAGAAAGAGTTCAACACCCCCCCTCTCAAGTTGGGTATGGATGTTTCCCATGCCCAACTTGGACACCATCTTTTGAAATACTGGTCTTGTGAGTCCCTTTGTCAATATGTCAGCAATCTGTTATGATGTCCCAACATATACTAGATCTACATCTTCAGTTTCTACTTTTTTTTCATAAAATGTCGATCAACCTCAATGTGTTTAGTCATGTTGTACAGGATTTCGAGCAATAGCCATTTCTAACTAGTTGTCGCAAAACAGTTTCATATGATTTGATTGGTTGATTCTTAGTTCATCTAGCAGACCTCGAATCCATAAACCTTCACATATCCCTTGGGTCAATGCCCTGAATTCTGCTTCAGCACTAGATCGTGTGACTACTTGTTGCTTCTTGCTTCTCCAGATCACAAGATTTCCACAAACAAGTGTATAAGATAATGTTATTTGCAGGCTGTATCTAATAAGTGTCCAATTTACTCTTCCTCCAGGTTACATATTTAATTGTGCAAATAACATTACAAGTGCAAATAACATTCTTCCTCCAAAGTTCCGTGAAGAAATGCATTTTTCACATCAAACTGATGCATTTCCCATCTTAGATTTACTACCAATGCTATGAGTTTTTGGATAGTATTCAACTTTGTAATAGGAGCAAACGTCTCGATTTCATAAGATTGTGAATAACCTTTAGCCACCAACCTTACTTGTATTTTTCCAATGTTCCATCAGTTTTATACTTCAGCGTATACACCCACTTATAGCCAACCAACTTTTTTTCTGAAGGTAAAGGGGCTAAGTCTCATGTACGATTCTTCTCTAGTGCTTCAATCTCTTCATCCATGGCATGACTCCATTCGTTGTGTGACAGGGCTTCTTCTACTGTTTTAGGGATAATAATTGTCTTCAAGTTCATAAGAAAAGCTTTATATGATGGTGTTAACCTATCATATGATAAGTAGTTGACCATAGGATAGAGTAGTTTCCTTATACAACTTCTCTTCCCTTTGCATAAAGCAATGGACCAATCTAGTTGCTCATCATCATTGGTTTCAGTGAACTAGTGGTCCTCTTCTTGGTTGGCATTATCAATATGAGATGTCTCTTATACTTGGACTAGTTTCTCCTATTGATTTTTTCTCTGCAGTGTAGGTAAATCATTCATTTCTACTAGCATCTCTACTCTAGGTCGTCTCTTGTATACTTTTACTTCTTTGATTCTAGGAATGGGTGTCTTTTGGATCATGAATTCATTTATGTCCTATAACTCAGTATCAACGATTGAGTTCTCTGTCTCTTGTGGATTTCTCACCCCATAATATGACTCCAACTCATTATAAGTCACACTAGTTGAGATGAAGTTTTTTTTAGAAGTGGGATTATAACACTTATAACCCTTATGTGTAGTTGAGTACCTAGCAAATATATATTTTATAGATCGTGGTTCAAGTTTTCCCACTAGGTTCCCTTGAGCATGATCATAGGCATTACATCCAAATAACCTTGGATGAAGGTGAGTCTTTAGTTTCACATGAGGATAGAATCTACTCAATAGTTCCATAGGACTTTGATATTCTAGAGTTTTAGCCTAATATTTATATTCATAAGATGAGTACTAGTGAGGACAACTTCACCTTAGTATTGCCTCGAAACTTGTTGTTGAAACAAAAGAGCTATAGCTGTATCTAATAAGTGTCCAATTTTTCTCTTAGCCACCCTATTTTGCTGGGGCGTATTGATATAGGATGACTCATGAATTATCCTTTTCTGATCAAAGTAGGAGGACACAGCTGAATTGAAATAATCTCTAGCATTGTCTGATCTAAACTTCTTGACAACAGTTCCAAACTTATTATAAATCATTTCACAAAATGATTTCACCACTTGGATGGCATCTGATTTTGATTTTAGTGGTAAACCCAAGTAAACCTGATACAGTCATCAACAAACAAGATAAATCACCTACATCTAAACAAGCTAGTCATAGGTGATGGTCCCCAAATATCACTATGTATGCGATATAAATGGATTGTACTATGTTCACCAATATTTCTAGATGATGAGCATTTATGTTTAGCCAATTGGCAAGCCTCACACACTAGAGTTTTAACATCAACACCTTCAAACATAGAAGGAAACCATGTTTTTAAAAGATCAAAGGAAGGATGCCCAACATGGCAGTCTTGTAACAGTATATTATTCTTTTTGTGTTCCCTGACACCTCCACTCTAAGGTGATTGTTGTAAAGACATCAGTGCATGATCATCCTTTTCCCAATAGAGCAAGCCATCTCCTTCCTTAACACGTCCAATCTTCATCCCTGAGACCTTGTCACAAAATGAATATCCATCATCCTTAAGAATGAAACATCAATTAATATCTTTAACAAGTTTCTATAGTGAAATCAAATAAGTCTTCAATTTAGGCACATGTAAAATATTTCTTAAAGTGCCTAAATGATCTATTTTCAAGCTCCTAATCTCTTCAACCAGTAGAATCTCACTGTCAGTAGTAATAAATTTTCTCTGCCCATCACATTTCACATAATCAACAACTTTACACATATTTGAGGTCATATGGTCCATGGCACCAGAGTCAAGTATCCAGGACAATTTAGAAAAACTATTGAATGCATATGATTTGAAAAAACTTTATTCTCACTTGACCAAACCAAGGACGTAGAGCTCAACATACATGAGTTTCTCTACTTCCTCCCTCAGTCTTTCAAATTCATCACCCTTGTGCTGATTACTAGGATTGGGAGGTTCCTTCATTGCAGATTGACCTTCTATAGTCTCTGCTGGTTGCAAAGTAGCCACATATGCCCTCCCTTGTTGAGGTGGTCATCCATGTAGCTTCCAACAGTTTTCTATTGTATGATGCTTCTTCTTGCAATATGAACATCAAAAGTTCTCTTTGTTATCCCACTTTTGGTATCTTCCTTGTGATGTAATGTTTGGGTTTTGATTGCACTCTTTCTGTTCTCATTGATTCCCCTGATTGGGCAATTCTCTGGAATGAATTGACTGATTTTGCTTGCTGGAGGCAAGGCTGTTGACTCATTCTTCTCAATATTGATAGACTGAATCTACTCTCCTCTTCCATAACAATCTGAATAGCTTCATCTAGCTCAGGCACCTTCTCACGATGGAGAATTTGACTCTTGAGGCTTTTATAATCAGAGTTCAGTCCCATTAGCAATGTATACATTCTGTGTTTCAATGTATCCACGCACTCCGAGTTGGGATTCTTTACTGGCCAATGATGATCAATCTCCCTCCGTATAGCCTTTAATTCACACGAATATTCCATAACATATTTACTTCCTTGCACTAAATGTGTTGCCTTCGCCACCAGGTCATAAATCCTCTAATCATTGTGTTTCTTTGAGCAACTTTTGTGAATTTAATCCCACAATTCCTTCACGGAGTGCATGAACATGATATTCTCAGACATCTCTGATGTCATTGTACTTAGCAGCGACGTATGGATAATAGCCTCTTTTGATTTCCATCCTCTATATTTTAGATCTTATTGTTTCAATGGTTCTTCTATAAGGTGATTTGTTAAGCCTTTTCTAAGAAGTGTCAGATCAACAAACTGCTCTCACTGATGAAGATTTATCACATTGAATCTAAGTTTCTCTGAGATATTTGAAAGAATATGATATAGTCTCTCTCTTTCTCCAGTCGTCACTGAAAATGATGTAAGTTTCATAGGTGACGAAGAGATTTCTCCTGAATGCATTCTGAAAGTCTTTTTCCTTCGTACTTTCCATAATGCCTTAGTTCACTGCTTGCGGAAGGTTTCTTTCTTCCTTGGTGTTGCTCCAAAACAAAAAAAGAAAACAAGATTCAAGAAACAAGAAACGAGAAGTATCTGATCCCACCAGAATCAACACTGCTCTGATACCATGTTGACAATTGATCTTGATTGAGATTTGTGTAACTTGGAGAATGAAAGGAGTCGATCTTGACGATCCTCCTCTTCCAGGAAGATGAACCAGTCACCACTTCTTGGAGTAGGGTTTCTGCAATTCAAAATGAATGCATCAATTATCAGGGTTTCATGCTTAAGTACATGTTACATGAGTTAATGGGCCAGACCCATTCCATTAGTCTTCAAGTGGATCCATTAACAGTCTAATGGATCCAGTTAACAAAATACAGTGAAAAGAAACAGATAGAAATGAAAACAATTTTAGAAAGTTCAACAGAAACAATACAACAGGTTGACTATCATGTCATATAAGGAAAATTAGATTATGGGAACCTATGTACTACGTATGTTCAGAAAATCAGCTAGCTGGTATTTTCACAAAAGGATGGCGACAGTTTATCATCAGTAACTTCAAGCAAGTTGACTTTGTGAGTCTGTGATGGAAAATTAATGTTGTTGATTTGGAAGTAAGAAGTTGGTAGCATAAGACTCATATCACATGTAGTACACTTTTGGTTCTTTCACAATTCATGTACAGTTTATGATAAGACATTTTTCTCTGGTGCAGAAACGTCTCTTCTAAATTTTCAGAAAATGAAATTTTGAGGTTAGCAGCCGGAGTTGAGTCTAACACAATTCATCCTGTTGGGAAAGCCATTGTTGAAGCTGCTAAGACTTCTGGTTGCCACAATGCGAAGGTATTGTAGTTGTAACAAATCATTTCTCGTTTCCCGAAGTCAAATTAACATCATAATATCAAAAGATTTAGCAAAAAATTAGTTTCTAGAAAGAAGAGTACGCAGAAAGTCCTTGAAATACATATAGATAATTTTCCTGACATTAATGATCACCCATCGTTAAGCCAGGCTGGTTTTGTGTTTCATTCGTGACCGTTTTGAAAACATCTTATGATGGTATCTTGATTTCTTAAAATTTCATGATGTTGGCTGCTTTTGTAATTTTTAAATGTCGTAAATATATATATTTTAAAAATTAATACCTTACAGGAAGGGTTCTGACTTTCACAAGTCATATTCTCTATTCAGTATTTTATCACCGAAACTCATGAGCATTTCAGCATTGCCTAAAAGGCTTCCCTTTCCAAGGAAATATAAAATGATATTCGTTAAGTCTTGATCATAGAAAGAGTTGTGAGAAGTATAAATGAATGAAATTCGATTAGTTTTCTTTTCATTAATCCTAAATATTATATAATATTTGACGACCATACATTAGCTTTGGGCAATTATCAAAGGATGATTACAACTTGTGACCAAGAAAAATGACATTCTTTGTTTAACACCCACATTGATTGGAAACTGATTTTCATTTGTGATTTTCCACTCAGGTGGCAGTTCTTTCAATTGCCAGCAAACCCTGACGACCTCAATGTCATCCAGACGCTAAGCAGATAGGAGCCCTTTTCTAAGTGGATGTCATTGTTGAAAAAATTAAGTGATCCCACAATATATTTAGCCTTGTGAGCTTGCTGACATCCTCAAGTAACAATCGAAACTACAGGAAACTAAATCAGGAATAGATTTCCCGTCTGCTTCAAATTACAATCTTATCCAAGTATGACATTTGATCTTCTCAATTCATAAAAAGAATATCCCTTCCCTGTTCGCCTATCCATTCCATTTCCAGAAGTTCTTTTATTTGACAAATTCTTCCTCACAGATCCTTAAAATTCAATTCCAGCTGATAGCTGATTCTAGATAATGAATTAAATGTTGGGGATAACTTGGTCACGAAATGTTCAGTTTAGAGTTCCAATGAGAAGTGACATGTCAAGTCTCTGTCAGATAATACGGCTTGGAAACATGGTGTACATCAATACGAACATAAGAATAAAATGGTGATGTAAGAGTTTTGTATTTTCATTTTCAAGGCATCATCAAATTATAGAGATAAAAGAACTGCAGAGAAGACTTCCTTTCTGTTTCCGATTTCATTTCGCCTCTGGAATTATTTTTTGTTTGTACTGTGTTCCATGTTAGTCAATAAATTCCTATCAGTCGAAGATGAACACCTCCCAGTTTTTAATGGCTCGCTTTCTGGAATATGTTATTCAGGTTGAAAATCCCAAAGAAAATCTCGGCCGTACATGTGAGCTTTAGCGGTAACTTTTTTCACTAGAGTTCAAAAATGTTTAAAAATGAAATTTTAGTGACACAAACAGCTTCAATCGTGTTATGCCTGATCTTTTATTGTGGTTTTCTCTTCCTCCTCTTTAGATACTCTAGGAATCCAAGCATTGAGTTAAAGGTTGACTTTTTCCCTTGCTCAGCTTAGTTGCACCAGTCAATGTTTTCAGTGGTATGCATTAGTTCCAAGTCATTTGATGTTTTGTCACCTTTGCACTTTTACCATAGAAGAAATTAGCTCTTTTGCCCTTGTTTTAAAGAGTTGGCTCCCGTGGATAGTGGAATCATACAACAGGGTAATCGTAAATTAGGCCACAATAACCTGAGATGTGATGTCTCCTCTAATTTCCTATGTTCAATCTTCTTTTATGACAACCTTTCCTATCCTTCCAAAAAAAATTTAGCTTTTTTGCAGCTTTAAAAAACTGAGGCAAATGCCTTAAACTTATTCCTAATGCCAAAGACTGCTCATTAACGTTAGTATGAAATTCTTTTAAGAGCCCTGGAAAAGGTGTGACAGGGAGACTGCATGCCAATCTCTGACTACTCTTAAATAATGGGCCATTTCAATTAGAGTGTCACCAACTGAGGGTACAATTTTACCTCGTCTGGAGACGATGCATGACTGGAATCAATTGATTTCATGTCCAATCCACTTATCCTTGATTGTCATATTCTCTTTAATTTTTGAAAAGATGAATTTGAGTTTAGTGTATTGAATATAATATGACAGGTGGATGAAGGAACATTTCACGAGGAGCCTGGATCCGGTGTAACAGCCATTGTGGAGCAGAAACGGGTTACTGTTGGGACTTCGGAGTGGCTCAGAAGGTAGTCCATTTCTGTACTCTAATTATTTGAAGATCAATGGAAGTTTTTTTAACATCCTTCAATTCCAAGGAATCATATCATTCATTTTCAGCTTCATTTTTGTCAGTGTGCTTCCTCGATCCTTAATGATTGGAGCTATCTGATTGGCAATGATTTTTTCACGTCATCTTGAGAATCATCATGAATAAAGCAAAAATTGAAAAAGGATTACATCGATTTGTCGAGTTTATATCTTTGTTGTAGTGGGATAATATTTGACCTAGTTGCTAGAAAAACTGCAAATTTCATATTTATGCATGAAATTCACTCGCATTCTTCTGTCTCAATCTGAATTCTTGAGTGATCTTCTGGCTGCAGACATGGAGTATATCAAAATCCACGTCTGGATGTAGAAGAACTTGAAAACCAATCTACTGTTTATGTTGGAGTTGACGGAAACCTTGCTGGCGTCCTCTACTTTGAAGATAAGATAAGAGAAGATGCTAGGCAAGTAATCGAATCTCTATCCAAGCAGGGAATAAGCATATATATGCTTTCAGGAGACAGGAAGAGCACTGCTGAGCATGTGGCTTCTGTTGTTGGAATTGACAAGAATAAGGTGAGAACTCCCCTCAGATACTGTACAAAGTGTCTTTTGTATGCAGATTTCTCTGATAGAGCTATCCTAGATAATGCCAGAACATCCCTTCTCGGTAATTCATATAATGATTTTATTAATGATAGTGGAATGAAATCTTGTGTGCCCGCTACAAGATTAAGATATCTACCTTCTGGCGTAAGGCCGCATACATAATTGCATATTTACCACGCATTTTACAGTGATCACCGGTAACTCATGTATTGTTCTGTGGAGACTGCATATCCCAGCAACAACCTCATCTTGATTATATCACCAGAAAATTATAATTTTTTGGTGGATTTTCATCAAACTCCGATATTGGCACTTCGGTGCCTCTTCCTAGTTTTCATGGCGTCAGGGTCATTTACTGCTAGTATTCTAAAATTCTGCATGTCTTATCTCATCACTGTTTCTAGTGAAACCAAACCAAATAGAATTTTTTGAATTTTTTTGCCTTTGACTGACGAATTCAATGATTTGCAAAAGTGATGATAATAAAACTGAAAGAGGTTGAGATGGGTTAATACTTGTTATTTTTGACGGACTCTAATCTGGTAGACGTAGGGAAAAAATGGGATGGGTTGTGTTCGTTTTTATAACTGATTCACAACCTAACAGATTGCATGAAGTTTTAGTGCTGGAATTTTATGCGTCTAAGGTGAGACAAGGAAACTAGCCCGGAGAAATGGCCCTACAGGATATTATACCTTAATCATTATTAAAGGTTGATTGAGAATTCATTGTTCAAAGGAATAGCTGCATCTGGTAGCTAACCCAAAACTGGGATTCTTTTTTCTGTGGGTAAACTGAGCTGAACACATATCTCACAAATCATTTGAATTCACTTATATCCAATGCAAACAATGCGCATTGGATATGCTGAAAAAAAATCCCGTCCTTTTAAAGCCATTATTTTTTTTAGTTTTATGCAGTCATCATCGATGCTGTAGTATAGGATGAAAATGAATTCTGTCACTCTATGTCAGCCAATGTCAAAGGGAGATTGTCAAACAGCTCCCCGTGTTAGGAAGAGATTTGTATACAGATGGTAATCAACTGTGATGTTATTCCGAATTGGGTTTTTCCTCGGGAGGTTCAAATATTACCTCCTGTAGAATTGGAGATAATAACGTCATTTGTATAGTCATCATCATCAGCATCAGCATTAAAAATAAGGCCTGTCTCCATGAACTTGTGTTTAGCTTATGACCGAGATGCCTAGATCTTAATAACTTTGAATAAGATGAGAGGCGTGGTTCCCAGTCAGAAGCCATGCATTAGTCTAATCTTCTGGATTACGCAACAAAAGGGAGGAGTGGTTCTGCTGGCTCTGAGTAATCCACGCCTCCCTTTTCTTGTAGTATGATTTGAACGGTGCTAACTGGCAATAGAGGAGAGCCCAGGGAGAAACAACTGGATGGGATAAACCTTTATCCCTACTTTTATCATTCAGTATCTTAGGCATTAAAGGCTATCATTTGAGTATGCATCCGATGCGAATCTATCATTTGGCCTCATGCGTATTTACCTCATAAAGACTATGCATCGTTTGTGTGATGAAAGAAAGTATTTTTACTCTTATCGTTTCCGATCCCAGTTGGTATGATGCTGTGCTGCAATGATTTTGGTTTCCTGCGCACTAAATCACAGGTTATTTCAAGTGTAAAACCCGATGAAAAGAAGAACTTCATTAGAGAACTTCGGAGTAGTCATAAAGTAGTGGCCATGGTTGGGGATGGTGTCAATGATGCTGCAGCCTTGGCTTCAGCAGGCGTTGGAATCGCAATGGGCAGTGGTGTTGGTGCAGCCAGTGATGTATCTTCGATAGTGCTCATGGGAAACAGGCTATCACAGGTGATTACGACTTGACATAATGTGATCTAAATTTATCATCACTTCAATGTTTAGTATTCCTCACGTCTGTTGCATGTAAAGAAATACTTGAAACTTTTTTGAGTTACTAGCATGATCAGCAATCTGGGTCAAGTTCAAATTTCTTTGTGACCTCCTAGTCAACTGATTTTCTCGTAAAGTGTTATTTTCTTCATCTTCAGAGATACTTTCCAATCGTCAAACACTGTATCTTTGATGGGCGGGGGAATTCCGATATTTAAAGCGTTTTTTACTGGATGGTTCGTTCGATACTTACAACTACACCTTAAAACCTCATCTCAGGCACTTCCGACAGGCTTTTATGCCTAACACCATCTGAGAAATAATGTCTGGTGAATGTCAATGCTTGAGTCTGGATGGTTCAAGATTTTCCTTATTCGAAGCCAAAAAAGTATTTTCATATAAAATTCTTACAGTTCAATGCTTGGGTGCCATTTTCTCTTTCCCTGTGAAAGCATCAATGGCGGGCTAGTATAATGTTGGAATCGATGTCAATATGTGGATATTAAGAGGTTTTTCAGGATTATACATACTGTTCAGACAATTTTTTGCTTCATCTTTTTCTTCTTTTAAATTCGTTTTCAATCAACGCAAACATGTGCAGCTGCTTGAGGCTCTGGAACTGAGCAAATCGACTATGAAGACAGTGAGGCAGAACCTTTGCTGGGCATTCGGATATAACATTGTAAGTGGCACCTTCACAAAACCGTCACGTTTCTTAGTTTTTTTTACATACTTCTGCAGAGTTAAATTTTAAAAAATATATTAAGAATTTATCAAAAAAATGCACTGATTGACCAGCGCTGAGTGTCAGTACTTTAGTCAGATTATATAAAGTTTCTCTAGGAAATATCGATTATTTGTGAAGATCCTGGACCAGCTTTGATAACACACGGCATATTCTTATAATAAAGCAGCAATTTTTTTCATTTTATATGAGGAAAGGGTAATCAAGGGCAAACCTACGAAAATTCAGATTTCTTTATGACTCCAACAACAGCAGAGAAAAACCCAGAAAAATTACTTTTTTCTTTCTTTTTTTTTCTTCCTTTTACACAGGTTGGAATCCCGGTCGCTGCCGGGGTGTTGTTGCCGCTGACCGGTACCATTCTCACTCCATCCATCGCCGGGGCTCTGATGGGCTTGAGCTCCGTGGGAGTGATGGCGAACTCACTGCTTCTTCGATTCAGATTGGGATCCAAACGGAAACCCAGCCACCAAATCCGGCCACATATGGAATCCGAATCTCCCTCCGGTGCTGAGGAACTGGCCGAGCCTCAAACGCCGAGATGGAAGAAGACTTGACAAAACATCAGGGAACAGGAGCAAAGACGGGTCGATTTTACAAGTGTGACTCAAAAAAAACGCGACTGTTCCCGCCACTGCGGGCAAACTCCAGCTAATAAATGTCCACTGGATGATGGTCCTCATACATCAGGAGACGCCTGAGATGATGGGAGTAATGGCCAGGAGGCTCTCTCACGGTAGCAGGCAGGCAGGAGGCCACAGCCACCACTCGTAACGACGGCACAGTCCTCTCATGAGAAATGAAAGGAGAGAACCGTCTCGCCCCCAGATCCGTACTCTTTGATGTTGGCACGGACTTTCAGCTGTGTCTAATGATGGCCTAACAACTATCCATTCGGGGTTTTTTTTTACCCTGATTTAAACCAATATATCATTCATGCTTCATGATATTGTATAATAGCTTCATGATACTGTCGAAATATATTCAGGGTACCCAGCTAATAATATTCAGGGTATATTATCACGGCGACTAGGCATCCGCAGCATTACTAGCATTACTAAAAGAATGGCCAATAATTTCTACCTTCGGGATGAGCCATAAATTTCCCTGATGGATGGTATTTGATAAATAAAAGCTACAACTACGATCTATATATATATATATATATATATATATATATATATGTACAGCTCTAGTCGAATTTTCAGCCATTATACATTATTGCAATAATACAGAGATTATCTTTCTTGGTGTCCAGGGTGTTGAATTCTATCGAAAAGGATCGTCGTCGTCATCATCATCGTCATCAAGAAGAAAGTCAACATCATCCCAAATTCACGGTCATCACCAACATCACGACAACAACCCCTCATCATCCATCTGTGAATAAAAAAAACATGTAGTGTGCTGACAAGAAGCAAGGTACAGAACAGCGCTGTAAATTAAAACAGAGGGCGGGCACAAACTGAAAGTTTTGAAAGTTCACATAATCAAAAGCCTTCAAAATCATTACCATCAGTTTTAACACCTAGTTCCTTGCGAGAGAATGCTGCCACGACTATCAGCAAAATAAAACCTGCAGGAGGATCAACCTGAGCGACCCGATCCACAGCTGAACCAACACAGTTCTTCTGTTTAAAGTTTCCACAACAAAGAAGCGCTCCTCTGATGGGGTGGCAAAGCTCGTGGCATCTCCATAGATGCAAAGCCAAAGGAGCCCTCTCTCAAGTCTGCAGGACAAAGGAGAAATGAAAAAGGAAGAAACAAACCAACTTGGGAATGGCACGCTGAACGCGAGAAGCTCAGTGAATACCTGGTCCGAACTGTGGGGAGAAGGGCTTCGAGAATCTGCTTTTTTAAGCTTAGGTGAGACACTTCGAACTGGGGATCGGTCACCATCACCCTTCTCAGGGCTATTTTCACCGGGGCTCTTGCGTGGAGATAAACTCCTCTCAGGACTAGGACTGCGCCGAGCAGGTGATGCACTACATACAAAAGTTATGCGACTGTCAAATGGAAGCTATGGGAGGGATGGTCATTTTAAAACGACCGTCTGAAGCAGAAAATTATTGTGGGTAATCAATTTCTTATATACCTATCAATAGATCGACTCCTATTCCGCCGTTCACCAACCTTTCCTCCACCACGACCCTTATATTCACCGGGACTCATGCTCCTGCTTCTGCTTTGACTCCGGCTAAGGCTCCTGCTCCTGCTCCGACTCCTACTGCTGTGGCGCGGATGATCCCTTTGCCTAGTACTGTATCTATCACGCTCATACCTGCCTCGGCTCCGACTACGGCTGCGGCTGCGGCTACGTCTTCTGTGATCTCTATCTTTGTAATCATCTCGGTGCCTACATGTAAACATAGTTACTCAACCAATGTTAATGCTTGTGATAGAAATCTTCAGAAAAAGAATAAAGATATTAAATTTGATTAATGCTGTCACCCCACGTTAGTCCATGACTACTAGGATGATGAAATCATGTGTACAAACCAAAAAAAATACGTCATGAAGTACATTAGGCAAGGGACAACATGAAAAGTGAGACGAGGAAATGGCCTTCACCTTGGCCTAGGGCTACGGCTTCTAGATCTTCCCCTTGATCGGGAAAATGCTTCAACGATCCTTCCTTTTTTGCTACAAAGATGCAAGCACATGGAAATAAAAAGTGTGAATGTAATCTCACAGTCAAAGATAACTGAGAGAGAAATCTCACATGGGCACATAAATAAGGCAACTAATGGATGCATAAATTATCAGCTGGTGAGTTCTTGAAATGTTGAAGTACAGCTGAACCCAAGGGTGGAAAAGAAAATTTACATGAATAATAAAACAAATGAAAAAACGACAGAGAAAGCGACATAATGCAATCACATCTGCTTGCCGTGACAGCGTGAAGAAACTAAATCAATATAAATGGAAAAAAGTATGCATATATTTCAGCTGTTATCACTGAGGCATCAACTCAGCAACAATGCTAAAGGTCCACCAGACATCCGCAGTTCCGTTTTACTCATAAAACAATCAGATATACACAGCTTGATAGCATATCACCTTTAGCCACGACGAACTCATAATGGCTTGATGATAATGATGAGGTCCTCTATGAGGAAGAAGGCAAAGAGGAGACTTCCTATGTAAAAAGAATACTGATGCATCTACCGGGGTCATAGGCTCCAAAGAATACATTTTTCAACACTGAATGATAGAGAACAGGTTTGATAGGAGACTCTCGTGATGAAAGGACAGAGCTGTATCGACATAGGAAGGAGGACAAGGTAGCGCCGTATCAACATAAAGATGATGGCAAAATGCAAAAAATATGTGTTCTACATAACGAATAGGGCTTTACCCAATAACCCAAAATGAGACTATCTAGGAAGATAGAAGCATCCGCCATGCAGAAAATGTATAAAGAATGTACAGCTCCTCCCCTATGGACACAACTTCCACATTCCGAGAAGAAAACCTTCATAACAGACTAAGTGTTTGAAGAGAAAAAGTCTTCTTCCTAACTAAAAGTAAGTTTACGATTTTCTAAGTCATCCGTGAAGAGGCCTACCTCTGTCTGCTCTCCGCCAAATAAAGCTAGGTATCCAACCAGTCAAACGAAGAGTTGCAAGAAACCGTTCCAAAAAATATGTCCGCCGGTCATCATAACCCAAACCAGTATAGTCATATTCAAGCGATGAATTCAAATGCCGAAAAGAAATTAATGAAGTTTGCTGCCCAGCTCAAGTAATAAAAGTACACATCGGATTAAAAATACTTATTAGTTAGGTAGCATACATGGGTTCTGCATTGGGCCCATACTTCGCGAACTGGACCATAATATCCCGCCCATCGACGGTTCTTCCTGCATTTTCTACACAAGAATTAGAGAAAGAAGGAAAAAAAAAACAGAGGAAAGGCCAAACGGACATGTGAAATTGAAAGAAGCGGGAGAACTAGCCATCAAGCTTTTCCACTGCTCTCTGAGCCTCTTCGGCATACTTGTAGCGTACAAACGCGAAACCCCTCGATTCCCCGGTCCTGCACGCCACCGATCGCTAATTAACCGCACAAGCCCACGATCTCACGGACGGAGTACGAATCGGAGCGGCCGCAGCAGGAACAACAGGAGGAGGAGGAGGAGGAGGAGGAGGAGCAGCAGCGGCGGCGGAGGCGGCAGCAGCGGCGGCAGGAGGAGGAGGGGAGGACAGGTTACGTTCTTCATGTCGCCGAGGCGTACCTGCGGTCCCTTGGGATGAAGATGTCTACCACCTTACCATACTTGTCGAAGAGCGGGAAGAGGTCATCTGCTGTCGTCCCTGCTCCAATTCACACAACCAAACAAGAAATAGAAACCCCAGCTGAGAGCAGCGGATAACGAACTGTCAAGAAAGAAAACCCTAGACAAAGGCAGTCGCCCCCCCCACTCACGGAAGGTGATGTTGAGGACGAGGAGGGAGTAGGTGTCCTTGATGTCCGGAGGACCGGATCTCCCAAAGTGCGACATCCCGCCGCCAAAGAATGGCCGCACCAAGCTCCACAGGTAGAGAGAGAGAGAGAGAGAGAGAGAGAAGAGAGAGAGAGAGGGAGAACGGGGCAGGATGGGAGCTAGGTTTAAGGCCACACGTACCAATTTACGTAAAACCCCGAAAGAATCCACTTCTGTCAGGAATTAAATAATACTTTTGAATCTTACTCCATTGGGCCGGCCCATGAACTATTAATGGGCTCAATTTCCTCGGGCTCGCCATCAGAACCAAGCCCGGCACTTCTTATGTGGGCTTTTAATGGGCTCCAACCCATAAAATAAAAGAGAATCCATGGGACTCGACCCCAATCGACCAAGCTTTGTTCGTAAATTCACAATGAAAACAATTTTTTTTCCATTAAAATTTTATATATATATTTTTTCGCTAATTAATTATGTTTTACCTCTTCGTTTTTTTGTGGCAAGCCATTCCATCCTGGAGTCAACCCTCCATCTTCATAAATCCATAAATAGTAATAAACCGTGCCCAAACTTATAGACGTGCCTAATTAATGATATAATAAAAATAATATAAAAATGGGTAAATAAAAAACGATATAAAACCCAGTTACAGTCTAGTTCGCGGAATAAGCCTCAATATTTTTTGTTCTTGAATTTGTGATCTCCATGCACGATTCCCAGTTCTTGATCCGAGTTTGTTGGGTCTTCGCCCTGATATTTCCATTTTTATTAGTCCGTCAAAGAGTATGCATGATCAATGAAACTAAGGACTTACTAAAAATAAGCGCCGTCTCATTTAGTACAATATAATGAGGATGGGCAGATGAGTCGCCTTCATTGATGGCATCGGTGGATGGATGGGCAGATGGGTTGGAACGAAGGTGATCCCTGACGGAGGATGGGCACATAATGCGGCGAACTTATAATTAATAATTACATTAATTTCCTCTAAGTTGGGAGTCGTACGATTTTATGTAGAGAGAGAAAGAGAGAGAGAGAGAGAGAGAGAGAGTTTCACCTTTGACCCAGTGGGAGCCCACTGAGTGGTGGCTTCTAATCCCCGGAGAGATGGAAGCCGGGAATGATGAGGGCTGAGAACGAGCTCTTTCCTCGCCAAGTTGTTGCAATAAATAACTCCGTGAGAATCCTCCGACCCAATCCAGAAAGAAAGAAGCACTAAACAACGTTCACAAGCATCCTATGCTTCATGCCCACATTAATGAAAATTTCACATAGTTCGAGAGAGAGAGAGAGAGAGAGAGGGAGAGAGAGTGTGGGAGGGAGGCTCTTCAATCGTCTCTGCCGCTTATATGTACAAGTAGATCCATGGATGGACGGATGGATAGATATATAAATAGATAGATAGATAGGGAGAGAGTTGAGAGAGAGAGTGTGTGTGTGAGAGAGAGAGAGAGTGTTCGTATTCTCTACAATGTCTCCATTAGACGTACATCATCATCTACAGCTCTTCTTCACCTCTCTTCCTACCACACAGTGGCTTCTACGCTTTTATCCTATTACCACTCATCTTCTTTCATGGTTTCCTGTTTTTTTTCTTTCTTCTCGATTAAGGGCTGGCGATCGACTGCATGAAAGAACTTGGAGGACCCGTCAATGGAGTTTCTCCGCCTTCGAAGAGCTCTCGGCAGACGTCAAAGCACGAGGGCTCTCGCCTCGGGCTTGAGCAGCGCCGACGGCGGCATATCCTCCGGTAGATGCGAGAACTTGCAGTTGGGGCAGGAAGGGGACAACCTGCTCATCATAACCAGCATATGGCACCGGCCACAGACCGCAGCCACCATCTCGCCGGCGCCGGTGTCGAGGGATGCCCACGACGGCGCCTTGCAGTGGGCGGCGCCGGCGGCTGCAGGGCCTTTCTCCGGCCGTTTGTTGACCCATACGCCGCCGCCGCTGGGGCAGCTCGGGGGGGAGGTCTCGCAGGTGAGGTTAAGCTCGAGATCGAGGCTCACCGGCGGTGGTTCATCGGCGGCACTCCGGCGAGGGTCCCTCGAGGTTCTCCTCTGCGTCCTCGTGTTGTAGAAGTGTATCTTACCAGACTGAAATTCATTTCAAGAATATCAGAACAATCGAATAATCTTTTTTATTAAATCGGGAAGTTTGGAGATAAATTGGTCGGAGGGGGGAGTTTCTCTCTTCCAGACCTGGATGTCGAGGCAGCGCTGCCACTCTGGCGGCAGCGGGGTATCGAGGTGTAGGTCGACATCGGAGGAGGCGACGGCGGCGGATCCGCTGTCGCCGCCGCCGTCGTTCCAGAGCTTCAACTCCTTGGGGAGACCTTCTCCTTCTCCTTCTCCCTCTTCCCACTTCCGCTTCCTCGACGACGTGGGGCTGGCGCCGGGCCTGCTGGTGGGGCACGCCCTCCTCTCTCTTGGGGACAGTGCCCCTTGCAGGGAAACCATTGGAGCCTTCGAAAGATGAGAACGCTCTCTCTCTCTCTCTCTCTTTCTTCTATCCTATTGTGTCTGGCGGGGCATCTGGCCAGTGCCAAGGGCTTGGGGGATGTATTTATAGGCGAAGGAAGGAGCAGCCGCCATTAAAGTGCACAGAAGACTGCACGCATGAATCTAACGGAGCCAGTGACTTAAAAAGGAAGAGACCTTGGGAAAGGCTCTCTCCCCAACCTCTCTCTCTCTCACTCACTCAGATCGGCTCGGATCGGCTCGGCTCCCCCCTGGCCGGCGTGTCTCACCCCCCGTCATCTTCTCCCACACTTATCGCATGGTCGTAGGGTTTTGCATGGCGAGGACGGGCACCAGCTTCTACGCACGTACTGCCCCCTGCATGGCGCCGCACGTTAGAAGCTGAGTAGCCGGTCAAGGGTACGCACGCAGGAATGGAGAAAGAAAATGACAGACAGGCCGCGAAGGAGGAGAGAACACGTCGATGGGGTAGAGAGAGAGGGAGAGAGAGAGAGAGAGAGAGGTGGTAAAATGTGACAGTAGATGAACGGAGCCGGTAGAATACCAGGCAGAACGAAAGAGATAAACAGTACGTAGCAGACGGGTTCTTCATAGAAGGGAGGATAGAGAGAGAAGAACACCGTAAGAGAAGAGAGCTAAACAGTGCATCGTGCGCAGAGAGAATAAATAGACAGCGATGTGTGCGTGTTCATAATGCGCGAATTAAGAGAGAGAGAGAGAGAGAGAGAGAGAGAGAGAGAGAGAGAGGTGAGCAGCTCCGCCAGTGTGGGGCGCGCCCTGGGGAGCGCCACTGCTTGTGGCGATGGCAACGCTTACCGGCGCCTAAGACTCGAATTTATTACGCCTCCCCGGCGTCTTCTTCCTATCATCGCCCTCCACCGCTGACAGCCGATATCTCACATCATCTCTGGCTCTCCAGAAGTTTTACCCAATTTTGAATAACTCACGTGATTATGGCTCAAAGTCAATGGGTTGCGTTAGTGGAGCTCTCTCTCTCCCTCTCTCCCTCTCTCCCTCTCTCCCAGCGGTGGGCCCATGGCATGAAAGCGAGTCAAACAGGAGCGTCTTGATTTTCGAGCCCTCCAAACGCGCGTCCTGGGAAATTATTTATATAAAAACAAGATATTGTTTAATATCGACATTTAGAATTTAGTAATTGGATAAATAAGTAAACAGAGCGAGAATTAAAGCGGCGTCGTCGACGTCAACTGCCCATCCCGATATTTTCGATAAAAAATATACAGGCCGACGGCGCACAGCCGGTATGCTCACCGCCCGTGCAGAGCGCCCCCCCCCCCGGCCGGTTGGGAGCCGACGCCTCGAGCCGACAGCCGAGCCGATACGAGCCGGTTCAGTCAGTGCCAGAGGGTTTATTTATGTTGGCAGTGACGTTTATCCATGCTACTTTTCAAGAGAGAGAGAGAGAGAGAGCGATAGAGAGAGAAAGAGGGGTGAGGTGGAGGGAGGCCATTGAATTGAGTTATGACGGGATGGTGAGAGTACAGTTGAAGGGGGAGGGGGAGGATTCAATGCCCCCTCCACCCCTCTCTCTCTCTCTCTCTCTCTCTTCCTTCTCCTCTTCCATAAACTCTCCAACTACCAAATCTGGTGTCATTCCACACAGACAAACTAATGAAAGCCTTAACTTCTCCCCGCACCCACAACACCTCCTCTCTCTCTCTCTCTCTCTCTCACTATGGATTGAAAAGCCAAACCACCAAGCAGCCTCAGAGGCGAAATAAAGAAGCACCTGACTTACACCTCCCCTCTCATTGATAATCCCACCCCGCACTCTTAATGGTTCACCCCCAATGAGGCAGTGAATCGTCGGGTCGCGGAGGTATATTCCATAAATGCCCCCACCAGCTCTGACCCGGATTTATGATGTACGGCCCGGGCCCATGCCAATTCAATGGCCTTGTCCTGGCCATTCAGCAATAACGTAAACAATGTGGACTTATTTGAGAAAATCATTTGCCTGAGCCGCGGTGGTGGAGAGAGGGGCTATGTTTAATTTTCCCACTTCTCCTATTCTCCCGGGGGATTTTGATCCTACGTGGCCTTCCCTTCTCACCGGTTTTAATTCGGCCTCGAGGGCCCGTTGACCGTCAGATGGACGTGCCACCATTCGGGATCTCCGTGAGGGGCCCCCGGACACAATTCCTACGCGCGACGAGGGTTAGAAAAAGCAGTTCCCCGAAGCAAGGTTCTGACTGTAAATTGCCATCTTAGTCTCATCTCGGGGAGGGGCATTTTGGGAAGTTATCTGCTAAGGGGAGAAGGGCGGGGGGGTAATCCATAAATTACCCCCATGACCTCTCGACCAGGCAGGGGCATCTCCACAAGGCTTGATGCTTTTCCAGGTAAATGTGTGTGTATATGGGCTTCTGGGTCCATGGGAGAGAACGGTGGTAATAGGAGGGGGTTAAATATAAAATCCCTGCACCCCCCCGCCGCCTCCACAAATACCAGGCAGGCGTTGTAAGGGGGTATTTTGGGAAGTGTATTCGTCCACTTTGGTAAAGTTGCATAAAAATGGGGAGGAGGTGGGAGGGAATGAGAATATTTAATATGGCGAACATCTACAGCTTATAGAACCCACACGACTCTTGTGCCAGCATTAAAGCCCGACTTAGAGATAGAGAGAGAGAGAGAGAGAGAGAGAGAGAGAGGGGGTGGTGGTCTCATCCCTCGGCTTCATCTGCCCATAATAACTCACCTTGAATGGGGGTCCGTCGACATGAATGCTGTCGGGGCATAACTCTCTTTATCGTCACCACCGGTTTCTGTTAAATGCCCATGCCCGTTCAGGCCCGGCCCGGAACTCAGTTCGCACCCTCTGAATCTCATATTGTCTCGTTGAACCCACTAAATAATATCGTATATCTAGCTGACTGACGAGAACCACCTTAAATATGGCATAGTTTCATATGATTATGCTATAATCTCGATGAACCCACCAAATAATATCGTCTCTCTAGCTGACCCACGAGAACCACATTACATATGGCATATTTTCATATGGTTATGCCATGATCTCGATGAATCCACCAAGTAATATCGTATCTCTAGCTGATCGACGAGAACTACCTTATATATGATATATGTTATGGTTTCATATGATTCTGCTGTAATCCCGATGAACCCACTAAATAATATCACATATCTAGCTGACCCAACCCAAGAGACCAATATGGCGTATTTTCATACGTCGGACCTGTATTTTGGGGACCTTCGGCCCGAAAGCCCGTTCCTGACCTTCCTAGTCGTTGGGCCTCACCTTCCACCCCCCACCACCCCCATCATCATTGCACCACCAGCCTTTGGAAGTTTTCTTTTGAGGCTCTCAAGATGTGCACATCCTTCGGACTTCTCTCGGTTGACAGAGACCGGGCATCCGAAGGCGTCTAGCGTAGAGTAGTATTCATGAGAGAAGAGCGCTCTTTAAGAGTTCGCATGCAATGGGCCTGCTAAAAATCACATCCTGCGTCACTCAAGAGCCCCCATCCTTCCATCCTTGGTGGGTAGCACACACAGTGTTCATTGAAGGAGTTTTGGACCCACCCACATAGACCATATATGTTCATGGGATTCATACAAAACCCTTTCGAAGAGCGCACGAAAGGACCCCCCGTTAGATCTAAATATAGTATTTACTTCATTATTTATTTATTTATGTACGTATTTATTTATTTATTTATTTATTTATGCGCTTGCAGATGTTGGTTGATTCGCTATCAGCCAACGTGCCTGCATGGGTATCAGTGGATTGATTGAAGGGGATGAGAGCTTTCCGAGTTCTAGCCTTATACTTCGCCGATGAACTTACTGAATGAAGGCCGCCAAATGACGCCGTTGTCTCTTCGCCCAATGGACTTCGAGACCTTCAACGCGCCTACCATGGATAGATACGAGGAGGGAGGGAGAGAGAGAGAGATTTAAGGCAATTAGTTGGGCGGTACTTGGGCTGAGCAACCGTGGATGGCTCAATAAATTGTAACTATAATATTCGAATGAATAAGGCCAACAAGTTGAGGCTTTAAACCAGGATTTTAATGGGAAGATATAGTAATGTCAAAGGATTGTCTCAAAGCCCTGCATGGGTGGTCCCATTTCGGTTATTAGGAATTGATGGAAGGGACCAAACTCCACAGTAGTCTACCTCTGAACATATTCTCTGGGTTTTTGCACGTTAAATCATGTAACATACTAATACAAAAAGAAGATCGTACGCTTGCAATCTATAAAAATTTATAGCATTGTTCTTAGAAGGGAGTGTATGCTATTTAATGGCTGGTAGGTTTTTGGTAACTTCGACAGGAGAAGAGCTAAATAGTTAGGATAACTGATGGGTTCTAAACTATGAACTGAGCGTAAGATGATGATTTTCTTCATTTAGATTTGATTGGCCTAGGTAGCCACAATTTAATTAATATGCAGGAACCAATCCACACAATCCTTGGCCCCCTCCGTCTTGACTAGCACCACCCTCTTTCAAGTATTTTGTTCTACCAGCCCAAGGCAAAAGATAAAGCTCAGTATGAAGAGTGACTTTTTTTAAATATGAAATTGAGTGTGGGTCTGTAAACGATACACAATTAGCAGCAATATTAATATTGGTCAAACAATATCTCAAGCATGTGCCTTTCTTTAGTCATATCTTAGGAATCTACTAAGTTAATCTCTAACCCAATCCCAAATAAGACTCCCAACATGTGATTGTCTACACATATGTACCAATACAAGCATCACTAAATTTGTACACTAGCTCAAAAAATAATGTGGAAAAGATATACTAAAACCTTGTGCATTATCTAAGAATGATGGTCAAAAGTAGACTACTCACTTGAAACTCGAAGATAGTATTTCAGTTAGATGTGCAGCTTCAGAAATGAAGAGATTTTGTCTCAACCTTTTTTATTTTTTTAAGCGTTGATTGATTCACATATGATAATGTATTTTTTAGAACTATATTTGTTATTAAATGTTCATTTATCAAACTATTTGACTTCACATTTTAAGAATTAAGCCTAATGAACTTTCAAAGTGTTGATTCCTATACAAGTGCCATCAAACCTGTGATAGGATGACAACTTTTATGTTTTTGGCTTTAAATACATAAACGTTATGAGCCAAGTCATTGGCATTACTATTTATGCTTTATTTTTGTATAATAACTAAGGTAAAATTGAATTAATTGTCATATGAACCAATGTAAAATAATCATTCTTGAAGTTAAAATATGTTAGTACAATTATTTTATGAATTTTATATTTAATTTGATAATTTTTATAATTTATGTGATATGAATATATTTATGAGTTTTAGTTTATATATACTAATATCATTCTCTAAGGTTTATAAATTTAAAAATAAATTTATAATTGAAAAAAATCATGAAGTTAAATTTTGAAATAAATATTTTCTGAAAATTTTCAAGGAATTTATAAAGTGATTTTCTAGTAATTTAAAAATTATCAAAATAATTAGAAAAATAAAAATATAATGATTCATGACCACATCAGTAGGAGGACATGTCAAGGATTTATGAGCCATGTCAGCATAAGTCAACAAATGAAGAGATCATCATTTTATATCACGTCATCCATATATACATCATGTTCTCAACTAACTCTATTTTGGACAGTGCAACGATCGAAGAGAATGTTGAATTTTGAGATGATTGTTGAGATATTTTTACATAAAGATCAGAAGGAAATTGTAAAGAAAAGGGAGGAAGGTTGGGAGATAGAAAAGAGGGGGTGTGTCAAGGAATTTGTAAGTATTTTGACCAAGTTCTCTCTTAGTGACAAGTAGAGACAAGCAGAGCAACAGTGAATACTTATGATTTATTTATTTTAAATGTATTTTTTTGTGCTTAATCTGTTTTCTAGGTGATAGATGATAAAATTAAACATTTAAATCTTTTTCTTACCATTTTTAGATAGATTTCACATTCAATTTCTGATGCTCTATTTTCAAGTGACAAATGGGCAAAAGTGATAAAAGGTGCTTGCAAATTTGATTTCCATTTTTATTTTATTTTCAAATTTTCTTATTTACTCACTCGAATAACAAGCAGGCATCGATATTATGTATTTTAATCCACATTTTACCATTTCTCAAGCATTTTCCATTCCATTTTTCTTTCCATCATGACATTATATTCCTTGGGTGATGACAAGTCAAGTTCATGTGTTAATTTTAATTTTTTTTAGTCATTCTTTGTGTGCTTTAAAAGTTTTTAATGAAAGTCAACTTGATTAAGATCTTTTGCATCCATTTAATTCAATGGATTACTAAAATTTTATAGGGATTTAAATCGAAATCGTTTTCCCCTTACACTACCAATGAGGAGACCTTGCAAGTAGTCATATTTTCTGTCTACTCTCCTATTTTTCCTGATTTAAGTGTTATTTGCTGTTCCTTTATTTTATTTTGATTTTTCAACTTTATTTACCATTTTTCTGAAAAAAATTATAGGAATAGAATCATCAATCAATTCTAAATATGGTAAAAAATCAAAACTAGAAGATTTAGGGCTTAAAACTTGGTGACAACATTATTGAGTATTTACAAGATCAAGACTTAATTTTAATTCTTGTTTTGAGTTCGATTTATAAATATTTGAAATTTGATCATTATGTTTACAGCTACCAAAGTAATATCAATTACATGAAATAAAATAATTGTTGACACATTCAGTCCATGGCCTTGTTCTTGATTGAAGGGCCAAAAATTTTGTGTAAGGGATTGAAGATTAACTTCAGAGTAAACATTTCTCCAAAGGCAGTAGTCTCATTTTCCCTTGTCTTGTGCTGCAACCGAGTGTTGTTTCATTTCCTTCATTCTAAACCAACCTCTTGTTTTTTCTCGTCCATTTGTGAGGCTTTCCTTGGCTTGTTTTAAAATCGTGCTCAATACAAACAATATTTGTGCAATAATCGAGGTTCTGAAATATTGAAAACTATTCTTTCGTTTTAACATGTTCATTTCATAATTTTTCTACTTAAAACAACAGATTTTATTGTACAAAGCATCATCTTTCGACCAAGTAGTGTGGTAGAAAAGCCATGGCCTTGAGGAATCAAATTTTTTTTGTTGAAATGCACGAGCTGATGAGCTGGCATAGTAGTAGAACCGGCCCCTCTCTCTCTCTCTCTCTCTCTCTCTCTCTCTCTCTCTCTCTCTCTCTCTCTCTGTAAAATCTCAAGTAGCTGGTGTCAACATCAACAAGGACAAGAATGTACAACGCCCCTAACGAGAGACATTCGGGGCCATTTATGAGCCTTTTAAGATGATGCTACATACCCGTGCAATCATGTTCACGAGAAAATACGCCGCACTTTGCTAGACCAAACATTAATATTCGCTATTACTGATGATGATTTCTTCCACGAGAGAGAGAAATGTGGAGGCAGGCAGTATAAGCCGTTATGTAAATTTTTCTGGCAAATGTTAAGAGCATGGTGGGTCATCACAGAGACTGCATAGGATTGAGGAGAATCAGATTACGAACCTGACATGAAGCCTATGAGGTCACAGTTTACCAGCTTCATCATCTGTTTTGTCAACTACAGATCACTAACCTCCAGCTTATTCTGACAGGTAGGAGGTACTTGTGGCGGGTGATCGGAGCTATTCTGGTCAAAAGCTTGGTGTAACACCAAGTCGTCAAGTTACCACCAAGTCAGTGTGCTTGCTCTGCTCTAGTTACCTCTCTCCGTTTGTTCTTGCTCTTGGCAGGCAGAACACAAGCACCTCACTCGCCAGGTGACACAAAATTACAAGGTACCTCGATACATTGCTTCGAGTAAACCATTATTCTTACCAGAAGCGGCATTTTATTCCCGATTGAACAGTGAAATTGATGGAGTTGTCTTGGAGTGAAGACCAATGGAGCAGGCGAGGAGGCTGACCCTTTTTTTTTTCTTTGTTTTTCCCAAAGGAGTTCAATGCGCTACAAGATGACGTCAGGTAGGTAGGCTTCGATGTCACCCGTTCCGAGAGATCCACCTACAGCATGAGGGTGAAGTGATTGAGCAGTAGAGCAGCCCAGTAAGATTTGGTAGGTCGTTATGTTCTATAGAGAGCATGAAAACAAACAATGAGATGCTTACAAGGCAGATTGCCCGTCATATTTATGAGATTCTTCACCCCCGCTTTGATTCGAATCAGATGAGGGTAGGTGTTGGATAAAAAGAAATTTCAAATCTTTTTGTCTCCTCTAAGATATGAGTGTGCTTCAATATTTGTGGAATTGTGAATGGATTCATTCGGCCGATTCTCTTGTGATCTCTATGGATGGATGGATGGATAGACAGGCGTGCAGACAGGTCTGATGGAAGTGGCTCACCAATTCACAGCCGTTCATTCCACATCATTGATCACCTCATGGTCATGCTACAGAAAAGCAGGAACAATCTTCAACTAACTGATCAGGAATGACAGGGAAAAATATATTCGGGTCAAATCTGCACACAGATATGGGAAAATCTGCACGATTTTGCCAATGGAAGGTCTCATCTCATGGATTCCATACGCAAAACATTGATGATTTTATGGGAAAATATGACAAGGGAGGAGGGATTCTCTGAAACCATCGAGGAGATATGCTTTTCTCCTTCACGCATTCCTATGATTTTGCCATGTTCTACTGCTGCAAAATGAGAACAAGTCCAGATGCAGCTTAAGCTTGATCATGATGATCAGGTTTGAAACTAACACCATCGAATCAGATTTTACTCCCGATTCCATGGATATTAGTTTCATGGGAACCTGGAATCTGAATGCTTCTTGGATTTGATCGACACTCCAAGAAATAGAATTGTAGGGCCAATCGTGGAGGAGAAATAGAATATTATTCTTTCTCCAGAAACAGAATAAAGGTGAACAAATAATCGAAGAAACTAGGTTTCAGAATTGTAGGGGGAATAATCTACGATGTTTGAGAAATTGACTCTTCGCTCCCAATGAATTTCCAAACACGTCCACATTTGATTTAGGAGATTGCTTTGGAGTGCCGCAGGTGAAACGTGCCATTTTTTCGTAGAAAACTTCCTATGCACGAAATCACCCGGAGTATCTCATGTGAAATCACTTGGGATACTCCCTTCGATCTTAGAAAGGGGGTAAAAAAATACTTCTAGAAGCTACTAGAAACAAAAAGAGAGAAAATATAACCTGACAATCAGTTTTTGGAAAATATTTGTCTGAATACCTGTTGGTTTCTAAATAAATATGACGCCCCAAACATGTTCTAAAAACTGGAACGTGCGCCAATATAGATGAGAGTAGCTTTATGGTTCATCACAAGTAGCATCTATAAATATGATGAGGCACATCTTTCTAGACGTATTTTACCCAAAAAAAAATACTCAATGATATAAATAATATAAAATCCTGGAGCGGAAAATGATCAGCTAGAAGAACTGCTGCCCCTCGACACTGCCACATTCTTGAAATCAGAGGTGCGATAGACCAACAGAAAGCTACTTTTCAGATAAATATATTACGTCATTAAGTAACAAAGAATATGACAATTAAATGAAATTACCAAAATCTAGATATTTGACGTAAAAAATAACTATTATGAATTATGCAGCTCATCTGTGACTGAATTCTGACAGGAGCTATTGTTTATAAACATCCAAGAAAGGGGTACATCAGAGATTCACATTCGTGCAACCAAGTTGTTCCATAATTTTATAGCACGGTATAGACTCGATGGGAGATCCAGATGACATAGATCCGATGAAAGGAACTAAAGTACCTCTAATCGAATGCGTAGGGATCCTCTGTGTACGGGTTCAAAGATGCCTCTGAGAACAGATCGCCTATGGTTGAAGAACGTACACGGGTTCCTTTGTGCACCTAGGGAGAAAGGAAAACAGTGCAGTAAGTCAATTCAAACATAAAACAGCAGAGAGCAAGAGGCTTAGTTAAAAGTATCCAGAAAAAATAATAAGCATGAAGTACCGGGTTTCTTATATTCCAATTCTACAAGGACGACCACTTTATTGACTCGACGAATCTGTGGCGTCGAGTCTGAGACTATGATGCAAAAAATCGATGGCATGCTAAATTGGCATTGATGGTTTCCGTAATAGGAATGTTCTTGGTGATGAGATAAAAAAAGAGTTTCTTCTCGATTACTACATTTAGACATTGGAATGCTGCGTAATCCTTCTAAATATTAAGTAATCAAAATCTGGACCATGTAGTTAGCTGAAACGTATGCCAAAAATTCATAATTAAGATAAACTCAAAATTGTAGTCACAGTAAAACACAGCAAATCCATAAACTATCAGTCATGTTCCACGCTTTGATGATGTGTTATATTTCCAACTATATCCTCAGTACTTCCTGAGGAAGAATTTCCCCCCAGAGAGAAACATTGTTTCCTCTACATCTGCATGTTGTTAAATCCGCTGACACTTGCTAAGGCTATGTGCCTTTAAAGACGAGATTCTTTAGGATAATTGCAAAACATTATGAACTTCAACATTGGATAATTTTTATCCATCACTAAAAAATATCAATCTCCAAGTCTATCATGCATACGTTTAAGAAAAATATGATCCTGATGCTTGGTTTACATTCATGAAAGATAAATCGTCATATATAAGTTTTATATATTTGAAGGAATACGAAGTCTTCAGTACCTTACTCGTTTTCTTTGCATCCTCGCCAACTGTAGGAGTCTTCAAGTTCACTCTTTTATGAGTGGTTGTGTCCTTCATTATAAAGACAGGAAAATAATCACGAGGAATCCATTATGGTTATTTCCTATCGTGAGTTAAAAAAATCCCGAGAGATGAGTCGCACCCCAAACATAACAGTACTCTTTGTTTTCCTGCGCTTTGTGATTGTTCGCCCATTCGACGTTTCAATTTCATACTCGTGGTGCGTTACCTGTAATGGACAAAACTCATAATCAAGATTAAGAAACATTTATGATGCCAATGACCTTAATATTTGTTAACAAATTGATCCCTGACTTGTTCATATTTCCACAGAAGTTCTTCATGAAGAAAGAGACCACGCTAAAAACTAACTACAGTCTTCAGTTCCATATTATCTAACTGTCATTTTTATTTGATTTTATATTTATCTGTTTTAAAATTGTGAAATTTATTCCAAACCGCAGTAGTTTGAACATACGTATCAACTGACAGTTCAAAACAATATTAAAGGAATAAGCACATCACCTTCTTACTGTGTTTTGGAATATTCATTGCATCCCCCTTGGACCCTTTCTCCATCTTTTTCAGTATATTCACCACAGGTGTGCGCATAACTCCACAAAGATCTGCTTCCTATAACATAATTAGAATAAGAAGAAAATCTTTGGAGACTATGAGATTATCAAAGAGGTCAAGGTGAAATGGCACTTTTCTTCCGTTTTCTTGTCTATTAAGAGAAATTTGGCTTTCGTTTACGATTTCTAGACCCATCGTTTTCCTTGATGACGCAGAGTATTCCTGCTCAAGAGAAAGCATGGACAGTTGTTGTTCAGTCTCAGAACTGACCAGAACAAGCCAGTCTATCAAGGTATGCGTCAAAGCAGCACGTAGTTCATAATCTACGAAATGGAATGAGAAGTTCTATGCGTCAAAGAAAAAACACATGTTTTTCTTTAATTTAAATTACCATAAAGATATTTTCACTGGCTTCCACACGTGAGCTTATAATTCTCTTTTATTTCTTAATGGACTCTACGCCCTTGCTATGAAAAATGTGCAATAATCGATTTCAAAGCTAGAAATAGACCCCATAATTGCCTAAAATAAAAACAAGGCGACGCATAATGACAGAGATAAAATATTAAATATATCAAATTTTAAATATCAGATAGCACGAATCAGTTGAATTGTTATCAAAGAATTTTATTAAAATCAGGAAAACAATCCAATAAAAATTCCCATCACTTCTCTCCAAAGGGGCAAGACGTTTCCTTCCTAGTTACACACTACTACTCTGCTATTGATAAAATTTCATTCTATTTAAAACCTCATAATCAGTATATGTTGAAGAATCACATCGTTGAAAATACTCCTGGCTGGAAAAACCTCATAATCAGTATATTATTAAGAATCAATAATAAGGGTTTTATTTTTCGATATAACATTTAAATCTTCTATATGTGATGTTATGCTTTCAACTCAACATTTTGTCTACTCTGCCTCTGACATGGATCGTATATTATCACCATTTTGGCCCGTCCCTTACTAACCAAAACTTTAATTCAAAGGTAGGTGAAATCATTATGAAATGATGCGCCTACACCTACAAAGGTAAATGATACTCAAATATATTAAATATTAAAAAATAACATAAATGTAATTTGATTATTCAAATTCAGATGAGAATCTTCTCCTCTAAATTGGAGATGATAAATCAAAGGCGTCAAAATAGTTATAACTTTTGAAGACTTCCAAAAGGGAGAAAAATAAAACAATTCAAACAGCGTCAAAAACATAACATAATAGGGATAGGTAAGCAAAGCCAAACAGAGAGGACTACGTCTCTAAGATATGGATATTGGGGAAAAATGCAAATGGATATATGCGATGCACAAAGGAAATACAAAGCTCTACATCTACATGCGAAATAAAGTGAATACTGTGAAAGATTGCCAGCGACAATGACTGTCAACCCTAAAATGTTTGGTATCATATGCTTACAATTCTCTAGCATGATGATTACTTTGTTCATGATGTGATTTCTGTGGTACCCATATTGCCTTTTGAAATTCACGAAAATGTATGCCGATGCATTTGACACGCATCTAATGAATAAACTCATTGCCAGGCCTCACAGGAACATAACAAAAAGTGTCTACAAAACATGGAGAAAGGTAATCCAAAATAGTTATACTTTAGCCATTCTAATTGCATAAAAGCCTCTTTGTGATACTTATTGGCAAACAAGAGGTACAAGGAAAAATCAAAATACACAACTAGGTACGCGTCACATGCACAGACATTCTAGAAGCAAACACAAAGGTTAACACATCAACCAGTATCCATAAAATTACAGGCATCAAAAAAAAAATGTGAACTAAATTAATTTTACTATGAACCTTTTTTGAGTTTACTTCGACGTCATTTTGTTGGCTTTTCTCATCCATCACTTTCCACTGTAACTGTAGTAATGTTCTCTGTTTTTCCTCCTGAAATGAAAGATATAAATATGCATGGTATATTTTAATGCGGTCCACAGAAAAAATAAATTACATGAAATCATGTACCTTTGACTTAAGAATGTCCAATTCCTCCTGGAGTTTCCTGCATTCATCCTCGTGTTGATGTCTTAGGACTTGCATTTGGATTTCGTGTTCTTTCCTCATTAATGATGTTTTCTAAATCCAATTTGGTTATCATTGAGAAAATTGTGGATACTTGCAACATAAAAATCATAAAAAAAGAATAAGCACCTCTCTTAATTCGTTGTCTGCCTGAAGTTGGATTCTTTGCAGCTCTTCGCAGTGAAAATCCCTAAGCTTTGATTCTTTTCTATCAAATTCCAGTCTGATTTGTTCCATCTGAAGATTTTAGTATAAGCCCGTGTTACAGTCCCTCATTCTACATTATATTACAAGGCCATGAGTTTTACCAATAGAACTCCCAAATCAACCTGAGGGAAGGCTTTACCCACTAAACAAAGCAACAGATGAACGTAAAATCATGAAAATAAGGCAAGATCATAGCACTAACTCCAGTAATAATTTCTTTTTTTAGTACCACATACAAACAAAAGAGTTCACGAAAGTTACAAAAGTATCCAAAGAAAATTTTAAATTAGTTATTTTTTTATGATTCTGATGCATGGACAGCCACCAAGTCTATTATCTGACAGTTTTGGTTGGATGAGAGAAATGAACTCTCACAGGTTTTTACCATATCGTGTAAATTATCCTGTAATTCAATCCTCAATAAAAATTCAAGCCAAGTGATTCCATAAGGCCTTACTTTCTCAGTTGACCGGTTAAGGATCTTCAAAATTCGTAGAATAAGCTCTCAACCTGATGCAGGGTGCTTCACCAGTGATAGAATGACAAAAAGAAATAAAACAATTTGCACAAAAATTCTTCCATGATACTGCTTAGGTGTCCAAAATTTATATCGATCTTAATTTCCCATGTAGTCACTAAATTGATTGAGCAATCAAATGATGAATCAGCCCTCATTTGTTTTTATGTTACTCATCCCATGATGAGGAGGAGATGTTTAAAAAAAAAACCAAAAGGTATATACCGATGCATCGTGCTCTTCCTGAATACGAACTAAATGTCGTTGTGCTTCTTCTTTGCTTTCTGCAAGTTTGACCTCACATTTTGTTTCCATATCGTTCACAAGCTTGTCTATCTGAAATTAAATGGAATAATAAAATGAACAACAGATTGGGAGCCAAATGATTATAAATTAGGATGGGAATACAAGTGAGACCTTTTCTTTTTCAATATTAATAATCTCCAACTTCTCCATTTCATACTTCTTCCGAATATCATTAATTGCCTATTCCAAATAAGGCGTTAGCCCTATTACTCAAAAAAGGTTTGTGAAAAGTGAATAGCGTTCATAGAATTATATAAAAAAAATGAATACCTGATCATTTCTCTGAGAAATTTCCTTTAAATGTCTAGAGAGCTCTGACTGTTTGGTTTCAAGCATCAAATCATATTGTTTCCTTGCCTCAGAAAGTCGGCATTCAACCGAGATAAGTGACGCTTGAATCTGAAAGATGAGACGTGACAGTCTGTAAGAAGACCAGAAAAATCATCCATCGGTATGGGTGACGTGATTTTTTATATATTTGAGAGAAAATATATGCAGCACATGAAAAACGAACACCTCGGATTTCTGTCCCTCCAAAAGTTTTTCCCTTTCAGAAAAATGTATATTACATTTATCCTTCTCATCCATAACCCTATTAAGCTCATTGATTTGGCTCTCCAACGTTTCAATTTTCTGTTTTTGTGTTTCAATCGTATTCTGAAGACTGGTAACGTCGGCTTTTTCCAGTAACATCAGCTGCATCTTATTCTGAAAATCCTGATTCTCAGATTCTAGTTTTGATGCATTCAGCAGCAAATCTTTCTGCAATTCAAAAAAAGAAAATACATATATCAACAGAACAGTCTATGGACATTAAAAGAAATTTATTGAATTCATGAGATATCTCGTGTCATCTGACCAGTTGACTATCAGCGAGACTGTGAACCTCTGATAAATGACTATTTTTTTCTTCTAACTGAGTAACCAACAACTTCAACTCATCGTTCTTCAAAACAATGGCATCACTTTCGGACTCAATTTTGCGGACCTTATCTTCCACTAAACGGCACTCTTCTGCATGTTGAACCATAAGAAACTCTTGGGCCTTCTGTAGCTCCACAGTCTTGTTTCTTAGTGCCTCAACTTGCCACTTTAATGAATCATTTTCTGAGATTGCATTTTCAAATTGATGGTGAAGTTCATCAAATTTTCTTTTTTCATTCTTTACCACCAAGTTCTTCTCTTGTTCAACCAATTTTTCAAAAGCTTGAAAGGAAGATAATAGCTGTACGATATTGTCTGATATATTCAAGCTGTTTCGATCCATTTCTTTTACTGTTATCAACAATCCATGAACGATCATTTCTAAATTCTTGGTCTCTTGGCTTGACCTGACTAATTGTAATGAGAAATCCTCATTTCTTGACTGAAGAGCATTCCTCTCATCCTCTAGGTTCTCCACGGTAGCTCTCAAACTTCTACAAATACTGTCTTTTGATTCCACTTTCTGTTGTAATTCCTCCACTTGAGAGTTAAGACTCCGCACGCTCACCTTATTTTCCTCAAAAGCATCTTTCAGCTGTTTAGCAATAGCATCTACATAAAAGAAAGGTTAGGAAACCTGATTCTTAGAACTCATCGTCATTAAAAACAAGTACAAAGGTATAACTACCACCCCATATCATTGAGGTCATTTCGAATGCCAGATTTAAAGGCGATTATAATGAAAAATAAATCAATTCATTCACAGTTGAGAAAAAAAAATTATTAGCAATATACGAAGTTTGAAAAGAGAATGAGAACGGAAAAACCCCACCTCTTTCCGTCATAAGGTTACAGTTCAAACGGCGTTCCTCTCTTAAGTTTTTCTCTCTTTCTCTTTTTTCGTCCTCAAGTTTCAGCATATTTTGTTTCCCTACAAAAATGTAATGTATAAATCCAGGATACATCTTTAGCAATAGATTGGACTTTGCAATTATATTCTTCACTAAAAATCAAATACAACACAACCCATACAAGAGAGATTAAATTGTTAAAATATTAGATATAATAGCTCTTATTTTGGATGAAATGTCACCGGTTACCATCTGTAATGATTTTCTCTGCGTAATCCAGCTTTTCAGAGAGATTGTTTAACTGGCAGCTAAGATCATCAAAAGCTTTAGAACTATTTGAAAGCTTCTCTTCGAAAAACTTCTTGTCTTTCTCGGCTGCCAGGAAAATGATCCATGATAAAATGATAAAGCTAAGAACACAGTTGATCGCACCAGGAATCAATGAATTTACCATCCTGAGTAACACCAGCAAGGCGTTGAAGCGTCTCTGTTAGTTGATCGCACAACATCTTCGTTGAAGAAAGTTTTGAATCTAAGCCATTCCAGAGTTTTCCATCTTCCTTGTGCTTCACTTTGAGCTTAGCATTTTCATTTATTGCCTCTCGCAATTTCACTTCTAATAACTGTATCTGTTCTGTTGATTTTTTCAGTTTTGAATTCTATACAAGTCACACGACAATATACGTCAGTCTGTTAAACAGACATGAGACATAAAAGTAAAAGGAAAAGTAAAAAGTACGGACTATTTCAGAATCCTAGGAAAATTCTCAACTTTTGAAACAAAAAAGCAAGAAAGTTGTAGCCTGACTTAGAATCTTAGTGGCGTATTTCTAAAATAGATCAGGAAGTAAAATACATTTAGAAGAGGAATACCTGAACATCTGAAATGTAGGCAAATAAAATAAAAATTATTGGAAACTATACTTCGATAAGGGACCCAAGTTAAACAATAAATATGCAATGCTGTTTCAGATGCTGCCGAAAAAATAATAAATAGAAAGACATGATGTTTTGAAATCTAAAAATGACACAAACATAAAATAGTAGGCATGAATCGAAATGGAAAATAAATAATGAGAAAAATAATGTCTAAAAACAGGGAAATATACTACTATTTGCAAAACAGCATAGAATCAGTGAAGTTTTGAGAGACAATTGTCACGTCTCATGCACGAAAATAAGCATTAATATATATTTAAAACAAGGTAAAAATCCAAGACACGGGACCGAAACAAGTGACAGAAAAAGTTGCATACATAGAAATAGAATCCACTGTTAAATCTGAGTTTCAGGAGAGACATCACGATAATTTAAGATATGTAGAATGAAAATGTTTTACCGCCATTTCAAGATCCGTTTTTACTGAAGCTTGTTCCTTCACCAATTTTTCTGAAATCGAACAAACGGGACAACTTAAACATTAAAAAGGTCTTTCAAAACTTAGACGAGACAACAGAAAGAAGATACAAGATCCACCGAAGACGCTACCGGCAGTCAACTTTAGATTTGCAAAAGCTCCGATGGAAATCGAATCTGATGAAAGCCGTGTATTCACCGCCGATACTGTTTTCGCATGCCCAACAGTTGAGCCTTTGACAGACCTTAGCTGATCCAAGCCCTTCATTCCCATCAACCCAGGCTTCTGCATTACGCACAAACTATCACAGAAAATATCCTCCTGATCCTTCTAATGACCTCCTGTCACGCGCCTCCACCAACTGGGGAACTTTGGGCTAGGAAAATTAACAGAAGTCCCCAAATCAAGCTTCTCCAAACCCTGAATAACAATGGTCCCTGACTCCCTGACTACAGATACTGAAAACTCCTTGGTAGTCCCAGCAAGAAGTCCCGACCAACACAGCAACAAACAGTCTTCCCCACCGAGCGTTCAGACAGATCCCTAGCTCCAACCGAGCGAATCCGCAATGTCCACGGCCGGCGACCTGCTCCGCGCCACGGGAAACCCCCTGCAACAGGAACTTCTCGCAGCAACAGAGACAGGTCGCCTGATCTGAAAACCCCAGGCTACGCACCAGAATTTCTCGAAGAAGAATTCCTCGAAGAGGAATTTCTTGGGAATCCCCCTCCGCAACGATGCTCGGCCCTGCCAGTTCCCCTCTCCGTTCTTCCCAGTCGAAAGCTCGAAAATGAAATCGGGCGGGAAATAGCCCACATTTTTATACCCCCCGGTCTCAACGCCTTCCGTGCGGTTTTGGCAGTTAGAGCCCTGACGTCAGCAATACAGATAAAGATCTTTTGACTAATTTGACTTTGCACACAAATAATTTAGGTGGATAGAATATTTTAAAAACCTATGAATTTATTAAAATAATTATTTTCAATGACTTAAAAAATATATCTGTGTATGCTTTATGCCTATCTAATAAATCGAAATAAGAGAAAATAGCTTATTGGATGGATAGGTAGAGCAAAGGAGAGAGGAAAATGGAGAGAGAGAGAGAGATAGAGAGAGATGGAGAGAGATGGAGAGAGATCTCCAATGGAATATACAGTTATATAAAAATTATTTCCTTGGAATGTCAAATCTCTAGGACTGAATTATAGATGTTGATTTCTATGGCTGAATTATAAATTATAATAAATATATTTTTTCTTGCCTTCGGAATCAAATATGACTATTTAACAAATCAAATGAGATAACAAACAGGTAAAAAAAAAGAAACAAGTGGAAATAGATGATTGGATTGCTAGGTAGAGTAAAAAGAATTAAGAAATAGAGAGGGAGAAAGAGAGAGAGAGAGAGAGAGAGTGGAATATATATTTATATATACAAATTAGTTCCTTGGAATGTTAAATCTCTCTGGGTGTTGATTTATGGTGCTGAAGGAGGAGGAGGATATATATGGCGACAGAGTTTTTTGAAAAGCCTTATCTGACTCCTTTGAATTTTTCAATACATAAATAAATTAGCTGAATGGATTTTTTTTAAAAAGCCGATGAATTTATTAAAATAATAATTCCCAGAAAAATTAAATAAATATATGTGTCCATGCTTTAGAATCAAACATGCCTACTTAATAAAACGAAATAAGTGAAAATAAATGACTGGATCGGTAAGTAGAGTAAAGGGAGAGATAAAACAGAGAGAGATAAAGAGAGAGAAATTTACCGTGGAAAATTATATATATAATATTTAGCTATACAAATTATATCGTTGGAATGTTAAATCTCTCCGAGTGTTGATTTCTAGGGCTAGCGGAGGACGAGGGGTCTAGATGACGGCGAAGTCTGGGTCGGCGGCGGGGAGGGGGCACTTGGTCGCGTGCTGCTGGATGACGAGGACGGAGGCGGTGGCGGAGGCGTCGGAGGAGGAGAGGATGTCCCCGATGGGCCCCAGCTCGGGGCACTCCTCCCAGTCGCTCAGCCCCGACGTCATGGCGGCGCTCCGAGCACCGCCCCTCCCCACCACGAACAGGTCGTACAGCGGCTCCATCGCCCGCAGCGCCGCCACCGTCTCCGCCCCGTTCGCCACGTACTTCTCCACGTACGCCACCCCGTCGCCGCCGCCGGCGACGTGCCGCTCGTAGAACTCCGCGAAGCACGCGTCGTCCACCCGCGTCTCCGCCTCTTGCCCTCCGCCGCCGCCGGCGGCGTCGTGAAGGAACCTGATGGCGGTGACCTGCACTCCCGGGTGCTGCGCCACCCTGCCGGCGTAGAACAGCGCCTCCCTGTCGTCGCACCCGCCGACGAATACCACTGCTATGCGCCTCGTCGCGTACGACGCCGACGCCCCCTGCGGCCCCCCCAGCCCCCTATCCACCAGTATCCCCACAGTGCATGGCGCATGCTTCATCACCTAGAGAGAGACAGAGAGAGCCAAAAGAGGGACCCATGGATTAATTATAACTCCCCGTTGCTTGAACCCCTATTGCAGCCTAGATACCGATAGATAAGTGTACCTTCTCGTTGACCTGGCGGAAGCCGGGGTGGCCAGGGTCCATGCCGCCGTCGAGGCGCTGGCGGCGGTGGAAGGGGAGGACGACGAGGACGGCAAGGGTGTCCTCGGCGCTGTTGCAGATGTCGACGTGCATGTTAGAGAAGTGGGAGACGGTGAGCAGCCGGCGGACTGTGAGGCCGCTGTCGACGGCGTAGGCCTCGAGGGCTCGCGTGGTGACGGCGCTCGACTCCCTGATGGCCTCGTCGTTGACGGTGACGGCGTCGAGGGCTCCATGATGGCCCCGCACCAGCGCCGCCCCCGCCCTTTCGGTGAGCTCCACCAGGTCCATGGCGTAGACGGCGAGAGGGCCCTGAGATTTCCCCCCCCTGGTGGCCTCGACGAGGGCTATCATGGCAGGCACGTTGTGGGGACCGTGGATGCCCACCACCACGCGGAGCTCCGCCGCGGGGTCGTGCCACTGCAGCGCCATCCGGCGGCCCCGCCCCTTCCTCCTCGCCCGCCACACGATCGCCGCCACCACCAGCGGAATGAAGACGATGGTGCTCATGACCAGCAGCAGCATCACCAGAGCGGCGTGCTCGTTGATCACCTTCTTCTCCCTGGCGAGGACGGTGCAGAATATGTGGAGGTGGCCCTTGACGTTGAGGAGGAGGCCGAGGGCGAGGGCCTCGGGGAAGCGGAAGCCGTAGCGAAGGGCGGAGAGGAGCGTGCCGAGGACCTTGCCGGCAGTGGAGACGGCGAAGAGGGCGGCAAGCATGGAGAAGGAGGAGGCCCAGGTCCAGCGGGTGCGGCCAACGGAGACGCCGCTCCAGGCGTGGAGGTCGGTTTTGAGACCGGCTGAGCAGAGGTAGAGAGGGAGCCCCGCGGCGCTGAGGTAGAAGTTGAAGTTCCTGATGAGGGTGGTGGAGAGCCGGCCTTCTCTCGGCAGGAAGAGCCCCACCAGGAATGCGGTGGCGGAGAGCTCGAAGAAGAGGCGGCTGAAGAGGAAGCAGAGACCACCAAGGAAGAGTAGCGAGAGGCTCAGGTCGAGCCCCTTCATCCTCTTCCCCTCGGGATTCCTCTCGTTGACCCACCCCATGAGCGGCGGCGCCACCTTCAGGATCAGGCACGCCTGAACGGCGAGCTCGACGGCGGCGAGCAGCGCTCGCGCCACCGCCCACTCGAGTCCCATGCTGGGCGTCAACAAGTGGGCGGCCTTCTTCTCGTCCTCTCCCCCGCCGCCGTAGGCGGCGGCGGAGAGGAAGCATAGGAGGAGGCTAGTGACCATGTCGTTGTGGATGCCGGCGTTGACCGTGAGCCGCCCGATGTCGGACTTGCTGATCTTGAGCTCGGTGGTGAGGCGGGTGAGGACGGAGGAGGAGGTGTTGGCCAGCAGCAGTGCCACGATGAGGGCGGCGGCGCCGTTCTCCATCTGGACCATGGAGAGCATCTCCCTGTGGAAGAGTGGGCGGTGCATGGCGAGGAAGAAGACGACCCCCGCGGCGGTGCCGGCGTAGGCGACGATGGCGTCGCGCCCCGGCCGGCGGAGGATGTTGCCGGCGTCCATCTCCAGCCCGTTGACGAACATGTAGGACGCTCTTGTTATCTGGGCGAAGGCCTCAAGAGTGCTCGGCGCGTGACTGTCTAGGATCATCCTCAGGATCCTAGAGTTCCCCACGACCAGACCCACCTGCGCCGCCGCGGATAAGTGAGCGCCCCCGCCGCGGAGAGGAAGAAGAAGAAGAAGAAGAAGAAGAACGCACGATGAACTCGGAGACGATCCGCGGCTGGCGGAGGCGCCGGAGGCCCAGGTGGAGGAACCTGGAGGCGAGGATGAGGATGAGCATCCCGGCGGCGAAGGCGGCGTACGTGATCGTCCTGATAGAGCTCCGCAGCCAGCACCCCTCCTCCTTGGCCACCCTCGTCGCGTCCGCCTCGTTCATCTTCCCCGCCTCTGCAACTCCTCCACCTCCCGGATCCGAGCTGCAACTCCACTGGCTGAAAATGAGAACGAGGAGGAGGAGAAGGAGAAGAATAAATAGGAGAATAAGAGGTCGTTTTTAGTTGGGGTTCTCGCTGGCCTCCCAGCGGCCGGAGGAGGAAGCGGGAGGCCACCGCTCGGTGTTGCCGCCGCTGACCTGCAGAAAAATCCAGCCTTTTTCCCCCGCCGGCGCCGCCGAAACCGCCGGCAGGCATTCGGACAGGATCCACCGCAACCGGTTGGTCTGCGGTGGCTCCTACTGTATGAAACAACGCCTATTTATAGAATCCCGCAGTATCTCTCTGCGTCCCCAAGGTTCGAGGATTGACCGGAAATGGAAACACCAACTCAGAACAAGCTCGGGAGGGCTGGAACAAACGGAGGGAGACAAATCGGGCAATGGAATAGAAGACTCCTCCTCGAGAATTTAGTTGTAAATACGTGGTGATCAACACAATGAGGTAGTAGGCACAATCATATCTATTTCGTGGCGCTTTTCCTACTGGCGAAACTAATTTCCTCGGGTTGTGAAGAAATAAAAAAAGTCAAACATGAAAATACTTTACTTTGGACTTCCTTAAAAGAGACAAGAACAGGTCTTTATTTGACCAACGACGCCTTCCCACATATCAGCCTAAATCCCAGTTTGACTAGGAATTTCTCATTTGCCACATGTAGTAAAAATTATTGGTAGTGGTGGAATACCTTCCAAAGTCAAAGTTGCATTGTTTTTGTAAAAAAATGTCAAATGTCAATATATATATTTATTTATTTTGTTGAGATTTTAATGACAAAATTCCCGCCCATTATTATAATATTAAATATGTTACGTATTTTATATGGCATAATTTTTTTTAACTTGAATTATAATTAAATAAGCTTAGAAATTATTATTATAATGTATTTTTTAAAAGATTATCTGAAGTAAAATAGTCTTTACTTATTGGGCTGATTTGGACGGACCTCCCAGGGCCGTGTGTGCTGGACTGGAGGCGGCGAATCTATAAATCCGGTGGTCCTTTCCGCCGAAGACGTCTTCATCCTCTCTAGGCTTGGTTCCTCATCTTCGCCCATCCTCCCCTTTAGGGGATCTTCCGTCGGCGTTCGAAGAAACCCTAACCCTAGAGGCCGGGCGCGTCGTCTCCCCCTTTCCGTCTCCGCGGCCGCCGAGGCCGCGTCTATGGGAGGCAAGGGAATCGGTTCCGTCCATCCTCTGCTCTCTGTCGATCTCGAGGCGGCGAGCGGCATCTCCGTCTGTATCTGATCTTGTTCCGATTCGAGCAAGGATCGCCCGCCCTTGGGGCACCCTGTTTCGGCAGTCGCTCTTGGATATCTCTGCGACTCGCGGAGCGGACCGGGTTTACCTTTTCAGGCTCTTGGATTCAGCTGATTGTCTCGGGGATCTCTCGTTTTTGCGTACGCGTCGACGGGGGTTCAGGACTGGTCTGACGCGATTTTTTTCGAGCTCGTGGTGCTGTTATCTGAGGTGCGACTGTGGAATCTTTCCCTTCGATAATCAGCCGTCGCCAGGGCTTGTCCTCCTGAACGTGATAATAGGTCCACGGTGAAGTTCGTCCATCAGCGTGGTGGTTCGTGGTTTACTGTTGCGGTTGTTGCGGAGATGCGGATGTCTGTGTGGTGATTGACCCGGCGGTCGTTGAATCCGTCCCACGGCAAGGCGCTTTGTATCTATTGATAGGACGAAATTTCTTGTACTTCAATTGTCATAGCCTAGTTGAGGCCCATTGACCTTTTTTGGGCTTCAATTTTGGTCTGCTCGTAGTTTAGGGTATCTGTCATTGAAAAGAAATATGGCCGTGTACTACAAGTTCAAAAGTGCTAAGGATTTTGATTCTATACCCATTGATGGGCATTTTATATCCGTTGCTAACCTCAAAGAGCGAATTTTCGAGGTCAAACATTTGGGCAGAGGTACTGATTTTGACCTCATGGTCTCCAATGCGCAGACTAATGAAGGTTCGTTCTTGTCTAGCTCTAATTGCATTCTAATTAGCATGGCATGGAGGGAGAGGGTGAAATAAAAATGAAAACTTGATTCTAGATTTCCTTTTTCCTATGGGCTTATTGTAAATGTTATCCAACTTCTGAAGTCCTAGATTCGTTAGCACTATGAAACAAGATTTGCTTGTCTGAAAACTGTGTCGATTCTGACGACGAGGTAGATCATGGGCCTCCGAGGTTAATCAAGATAATGAGGTGGGTATGGTGTTTGCTAGGACAGCTGAAGAGCGTGCGTGAATACACTATGGGATGGGGTCATTCATTCTACATTTGGCAGTGCAGATTGGACAAATCTCCCTCCAATTTTTTATAGATTTTCTACTGTCTTTTTCGGTTTCAGAGTATGTGGATGAAGCGATGTTGATACCTAAAAATACATCTGTGCTGATACGTCGAGTTCCTGGACGTCCTCGGAAGACAATTGTTGCCGCACCAGACGAGTACTGTCTCGTACTTCAAATCTTGATTGTCTTCTTTCTTTGTTTGTGGCTCTACTGCCCCATTGGGCTTCGAAGACTGTTTGTATTATCATCCTTAATTTATGCACAGTGTTTGAGTATGCACTGTCTGTTTGACTTTGATACCCCCGTTCTTTCATTTGGTGAATGCCTAATCTCCTTTCATGGGAGAATTTCCTAATAGCAGTCGAGTGATCTGCATGATAATGAAATCTGAAGTGCGCTGTTACTCATGTGCAGGCCGAAAGTTGAGGGTGATAAGTTAGTTGATGTTCCACAATCCAAAAGTAGCATGTCTATTGCTGATACGTCTGCTATGAGAATTGTAAGCGAATTTTTAGCCAAATAATTCCTAGGCAGCGCTGCTACATTTTAGATAGCTGCCTCTGGTTACATGTATTGCGAAAAATTCAGTAGGACCGTAGATAATCTAGAAAATCACTATTGGATGGGCTTGAGTCGGCAGCTGATATTTTTAATTGGGTCTGCAGCCTGAAGAACCTGAGTGGGATGAATTTGGGAATGATTTGTATGATATCCCTGAAGCTCTACCGGTTCAAAGTAGTAATCAAGTTGTGAATATCTCTCCTCCCAATGTAGTTGACGAGGAGAACAAAATTAAAGCATTCGTTGATACGACTGCTCTTGACTGGCAACGGTGAGATATCTCTTCCCGCATTTAGCTTGAAACCATTTACATTCTGTGCGTAATCATCATCTTTGATTGGCTCAATTTGGTTTTTTCAGCCAATTACAAGAGAACGTTGGGTCTGGAAGAGGATTTGGGCGTGGAATGGGTGGAAGAATGATGGGTGGCCGGGGAATGGGTATGACAGGACATCACATCTTTGATACATATTGTTATTTTTATTACCACGGCTTTTTTTCTGTTAAAATGTCGTACATTTAAAAGGACGCTGCTATCCATCTACTGCTCAATGACACCATCTTTAACTTCTATAATGTAGAACAAGTGCGTTGTTGTTTCTTTTAGTAGTGGAAATGCCATCTTGTGTGTTGGGATAAAGTCGAGATGCAATGTTAAAATGACAGAGGTTTCTGATATATATCTGGAGAAACAAATGGGCTAAGGTGACTGAGGTGTGTCTTGCTTTGGAAGCAGAAAGCAACGACAATTCCTGTCAGCTCGTTTTTCATCGATTTTGGTTTGTACGCATATTTTCTTGTGATCGTGTGCATTTTTCTATTGGGAGAAAGAATCCGAATATAACTTAATGACGAGGAGAGTTTCACCTGATAGAACAAGTGCCTAAATATGTCTACAATTTGGTTTACCGTTGGGTCTGTCCTATGAAGGAAACTCCTTCAAAGTCTTGTAGGAGTGGGTGCCCCTTGTCAGGTGTAAATTTTTCGTAGATTATTTGTTAAAACCCAGGTTACCGCATAAGATCATATCGCACTGCATGATCTTAGCATTTCATGAATTTAAAAGTTGGTGTTTTGTTTTGTCTTGAGATATCTAGTGATGATATTGGTCTCCAGTGGCAGATTCTTTTTCTTCACAAGGTATCTCATTTATAAACTATGTGACTTTGCGCAATATGATTTGACGGTGGTTTTTCCTTGAAAAGTACATGGGATTGGTTGATGTTCACCATGTAATACACCTTAGAGTTCAAGGTATCGACTCGTATGACATACGGTTCTTGGAAGACACAGTGGTATTGAAATTAGTTCTGCTGTCTTGTATATCTACGAGACTGGGAAATGCCAGAATAATATGACTAATGCCAGTTTCTGTGTCATGAGACCATAAATGTATTTCTGCTACTCAAATTCGTATCTTTTTTTTCTTTTCTTGGTACCATTTCATCTTGAAAGCATCACGAGTTTCCTTGAGCATACTTATTGTTCCTTCTCTTTTGTTTGTTACCGTCAATTGTTCTGAGATAACATCTCTATAAACACCAGGCTTTTATTAAGTTTACTTCAATCCTTTGTGATCATGTCTGTAGATATAACGTAATCTTGGGATGCTGTTCATGTCTCGCTGTTCTCATTCTTATTTTTTGATATGTTGCATTTTTTGTTGATCGAAGGTCGTGGTGGTGGTGCTGGTGGAGGTATGGTAAGAAAGACGCCACCACAGGGTTATGTCTGCCATAGATGCAATGTCCCTGGTACGTAGGCACTGTCTCTGATACCTTACTTTCTTCATGATGTAATGGTTTCTTACGATGTCTATGGTTTATTCATTACTTCTTAGGGCATTTTATCCAACACTGTCCCACAAATGGTGATCCTAACTATGACATAAAAAGAGTTAAACCCCCAACGGGTATCCCGAAGTCAATGCTAATAGCTACTCCTGATGGTTCTTATGCATTGCCAAGTGGCGCTGTTGCTGTCATGAAGCCCAATGAGTGAGAAGGCTTCTCCCAATTTTGTATTGTCGCTGCCTCTTGGTATCTGTTTTGCATCGCTAACTCTGTTGACCTACTACTTTAAATGCAGGGCAGCATTTGAGAAGGAAATTGAAGGGTTACCTTCAGCACGCTCCGTTACTGATTTCCCACCTGAACTACGTTGCCCCCTTTGTAAAGACGTTATGAAAGATGCTGTTCTTACGAGCAAGTGCTGTTTCAGTAGTTTTTGTGACAAATGTGAGCAATTATCTCTCTTATTCTCCATCGTTTATCCCAGTAGGTCTGGGGGGTCACTTCCCTTCGCACTGCAAATCTGTCTTAGGCAGTGACGAATTTCATCTCTACTCTTGTTTTCCTTCAATATCTACAATGCTTTTTTTCAAGATAGACGGTGTATATTTTTTTGGGGCTAAAAAGCATTGCATCCTTCAAGTACAGCCTCTGCTTCGTGATTTTCCGCTCCTCGACATATGCTTACTGCTTTGCTAATAAACGTTCTCAATAATCTCACGGCTGCAATGCATACCACCATATATCTGAGAATTACGATCGCCATATCTGTCAGTCTTTGTTTGGCACTTGAAGTCTGGAATTTAATACATTAGTTTAGGCCTTTTGACGTTCTAGTCTTCCCTGTTTAAGAAATGACGATGAACCGCTCTGTGCACACTCTCGCATAAGTTTTGTATGGACGACCGTGCGTTGACTTTGCGATACGTTCCATCGAGCTTTTTCATCATTTGTCGTACCGTGTTATTTTAAATAATTTTCTGGTTCCTTGTGTGGCCATCCATCATCACAGGCATCAGGGACTACATAATTTCAAAGTCAATGTGCGTATGTGGAGCAACAAACATACTTGCAGACGACCTTGTGCCGAATAAAACGGTCAGGGTGACCATCAACCACATCTTGGAATCAACCACGAGCAGCGCAGACAATGCTGGAAGCCTGCAGCAGGTGCAAGGTATCTATTATTAATCTCCTACCTGCTCTTGTGCATTCAATAAGGGACCTGCAACCTTATAAGATAGAATGAAGCCCAGTGATCGCATAAGATTATGCTTTTTTCCTATTAATTCAGATATGGAATCTGCTCGTCCTGCGCAAATGAAGGCGCCATCACCTACCCAGTCAGCTACCAGCAAAGAAGGGAGTAAGGCTCTTCTGGGGAAGGAGCAGACCGAGAATAGAGAGGTTGGTGAGTATGAGAATGAGAGCACGGGCGCCGCCTTGGCGGGACAGTCGCTGGAAAACAGAGCTCTGAAGAATGCGGGGTCCGAGGCAGCTGCTCCAGAATCCGCGAGTGCAAAGGAGCCGACGTCCCAGGAGAGCGGCGCCGCTGTCGTCCCCGAAGAAGAGGCCCCAGAGAGAATACAGTCTTCCGAACAGGGTAATGATGGTATAATATCAGCTGACAAGGGTTGACTTTCGATCCCCCCTGTTTCTTCATCCGACGCGCACCTTTTATTTATTTATTTACTTGTTTTTTACTGAACTTTTGCAGGCAAGAAGAAGAAGAAGAAAAAGCCGCGGCTGCCCGGCGCTGGTCAGTAGTCAGACCCTTTAGTTCCCTCCCCACTGCTGTGAGTCGGTTGACTTTTTCCATGGCTCATATCCTCTTCCTTAATTCTGCAGGCGACATGCAGTGGAGACCTTATCCTGATGTGGGGGGCCCGGAGAACTTTGGGGGGATGCCGATGGGACCCTACAATCCGGTGTTTCCGGGGGGCATGCCGTGGGGGATGGACGGGTACTTGGGTCCCCTGCACGGCGCCGCTATGCCCTTGATGGGGTACATGCCCGGGCCCTACGACGTCCCTTACGGCGGCATGATGCCGCCGCAGGACCCCTACGCCGCCGCCGCCGCTGCTGCCGCCGCCGCTCAAGGTTTTATGATGCCCGTTCTCCCTCAAATGTATGTTCCCTCAACTCTCTTCTACTACTAATACTACTTCAGTAATTGGGAGTGCTGACAAGAAGAAGAGGTGTTCTTGGACGGATGCAGGGATCTGTCGGAGCTGAGCATGACCGGGGCGAACCAGAGCCTCCCTCCGCCTGGGATGAGCAGGGAGGAGATGGACGCGAGGAGGGCGGCCGAGTTCCGGAGGCGGCGAAGCGAGGCCGACCGGCGGAGCGAGAGGTTGCCGCCGGAACTCAATTCCATTCCATTCAATTCAAATTCAGTTCCCCCTCCCTTTCTTCTTCTTCTTGGCTCCGCTCCCTCCTCCAGCTGGGAGGGACGGCTTGCTCTAGGTCTGTCTCTGAAACAGCAGGATCATCGATCGGTTGTGGGTGGCGCAGGGGACGGTCGAGGGACAGGGAGAAGGAGGACGCCCGCCGCGACGCCGACATCTCCCCCCCAAGATCCAGATCTGTACGTGTCTGCCTCTCTCTCTCTCTCTCTCGTAGCAACCCCCCAAGATACCAAGTATCTCCTCCCTCCCTCCTCCCCCCCGGCCTTCTCTTCGAATGCGGTCGCTCGTTCGGTCGGCTCGCTCAAGAACTGGAGGGTTTTTTTGCGTGGGGGAGAGTTAGTGAGTGGCTGATGACTTGTGGAGCGAAAAACGTGGCTGACTGATGTCGCGTGTACGTTGTGCCTTTTTTGTTCCCTTTTTCCCGTGCAGCGATCGGAGGCCGCGGACCGGGGGAAGGCGGCGGCAGGGGCCCGGGCGCCGAGCCAGGACCGGGCCGACAGGTCGTCGGCCAGGACCAGCAGCGGCACTAGCCGTGGCCCCAGCGCCGACCGGTCCAAGATCACTAGGACGACGAGCGGCGGGGACAGGTCCAAGACCACCAGGACGAGTAGTGGCGGCGGCGAGAAGACCAAGAAGAGCAGGACGAGTGGTGACGGCGGCGAGAAGACTAGGAGCAGGACCGACAACAAAGAAAAAGCGGAGAAGAGCCGCGAGGATCACCAGCGGCAGTCGCCGTCGCGCCGTTCCTCCTCCAGGAGGAGCAAGGCAGATGATGATCATCGCCATGATAGAGAGGGAGAGGGAGAGGGGGAGGGAGAGGGAGGGGGGGTCCCTCTCCCTCTCCCTCCCCCCCCGCCGCCACCGCCCCCGCCGTTGCCGGCGACGGCGGGGGGTGACCGGAAGCACAAGGGCAGCGTGTTCTCGCGTATCAGCTTCCCGGAATTGTCGGAAGGGACCGTCGGCGGCGGCAGCAGCAGCAGCAGCAGCAGCAAAAAGAAGAGGAGAACCCCGGAGGAGGCGGCGCCTCCTCCTCCTCCCCTGCCCAACGGGGTGAAGGAGCAGGACGACCACCGCAAGGCGCCCAAGGGTTCCTCCTCATCCACCGCGGCGGTGGCGACCACCGGCGGTCGGCGGGGTGGCGGCGGCGGCGGAGGTGCTGCTGGTGCGTCGGAAGAACAGGCTGCTGAGTCGGACGAGGACTACCACTTTAAGAGAAGGCCGGCCGCCGCCCGCCACGAGGACGAGGATGCCCCCGACCGGGTGGGGCCCTCCTCCTCCTCCGCCTCCAAGGCGTCGAGGGACCGGGACCGGGACCGGGACCGGGACCGGGACCGGGACCGCGACCGCGACCGCGATCGTGATCGTGTAAGAGACCACGGCCACCATCGTGCCGCCAAGCGCCGATAAGCTTTTACGACGACAGAGCTCTCTTTCTTGTCTCTCATCTCTCTCTCTCGATCCAGAGAGACGAGAGAGAAAGAGGAGATAGAGAGAGAAAGAGGGCGAGAAAGAGAGAAGGGGAGACGAGCACGTGCCCTTATATGCTTGGGTCTTTAAATATATACCGAACGGAGTTACAACAGACATGTAAATGTGCCCAGCATCTCCCAATCTCATATATATATCCCGCATGATGGCGGGAGCACGATTCGCTTGATGTGTTTTTCTTCTTCTTACCGACACGTTTTTATTGCCTACAAAAAACGTTGTCTTTTTATTTGAAAAGCCTCCTTTTTCTATTAATGGTGCAATGATACTATTTCTGTGGTGATGAGATGAGATGAAATGAAACGGTCCTTGTTGACGACTGACGTTTGCTTCCGTTATCCGTTGACTAGAACGGATGAATCTCGGCCGGTTGTGAGGCAGCCAGAGAGGGTATTCTCCGGATAATTCCAGACTTTTTTTTGGTGTAATAAAAAAATCGAGGTTTTGATCTTAAAATTAATTATTATTCGTCTGGGGACATGCAGTCGGATGCATGCTTATCGGTGTAGTTTGGGAACTGAAAAAGGGAATCCGAAAGAGAAACCTGATAACGGGAACTTTTCCCGCCCTCCTCCCCACCCGTGTCCAAATTGGGGAGGAAGAGGAGAGTGGCGAGGGAGGGAGGGGAAGCCCCGCCGGAGGGACCGCATGAAGGGCAAGGACGAGGGGCCGGCCGTAGGCCCCCCCAGGCTGCTGGCGGCGGTGCGCTGCGCGAGGGCGGCACTGCTGCTCTCCTTTCTCAAGTCCGCACCTCCCAGATCCGTCTCTGTCGCCGCTGCGCTGGAGGTCCGTGGGAAATCATACTTTATATCAGGAGTTTTGTTAGTTGTTGCGCATGCACGGAGATGAGGAGGAGATGATGAACTGTAGTTTCTCTCTCTCTCTCTCTCTCTCTCTCTCTCTCTCTCTCTCTCTCTTCTGGTTGACTTATTGGACTTGATGATCTCGTTTTGCCTAATTTTCTGGAACTAGGGGCCGTAAGCCTTAGATTTCATTTTAATTGCGTATGTTTGGTGTTGCTGATTCGAAACTTTTAATGAGATCTAGGAGCAGAGGAGAACGAGGGAGCTGGGGAGGGCAGTCGAGGTGGCGGACGCGAACCTGAGGGCGGTACAGGCTGGGGTGGTTCGACGGCGACAGGAGTTCCGACTCTGTCTGGTTGTGGTGGTTCTGCAGGCTCTGTTGGTTCTTGCGATCCCCATAGTGTTCTTCGGCATTTTAGCTGCCACCTGCCCGTGCTCTTCTAACGTCTACTATTACTAGAGGCGAGGAACCCCGAATTCGTACTTATCCTTGTGGTAGGAGACATTTTACTCTGTTGATTTTCAAGGCGGGGAACTCTTTCTGGCTCAATCTTCTCGGGCAGTGATGCTTTAAGGATTGTAGGAATGCAGCTCTCAATTCATCTATTAATTGGCTGAACTTTTGCCAAAAGTATACGAAGGCATGCATCATAATTTTTTTCTTTTTTTTCTTTTTGACGTGCTCTTTTCTCATTGTTCGTCATTTTAATTACCTGCGTTTTTTATTTGCCTGTTTAAATAACATTCAGCAGACCAGACTACTGGCGGTAGTAATGGCAGTGGCGATGACAGTGTAGTGATCATCAATTGATGTGTCAAGCCTAAGAATTTTTTTTGGGGTACAGTGAACATTATCTTATCTCCACTTATTCTGATATTATTATGTTATCTTTTGTAACTACCAAAGAGGTACGCCTTTTGCGTCAACCTTTTAGAATCATACCGTAGACTATTTGATGAATTCCCAAGTTCATCTTTAAGATAATCACAAATGGGTCATCATCTATTGAGTGCTCTTCTACACTTTTCTCTTTAAATATGCTCTAGTTCATCGTCACTGTGATCATCACAGGAATCCACACTCCTGACTGACTGTGCTTAGATTATTCTGTCATTCCATTCAATCATGTATGATATTTATCAAAATTCTCGCAAATTTTCGCTTTCTTCGTCCGATTTCCTCTTGGTTATAATCCTAACTCATCAAAGACAATATCTCTTCCTGTAATATAGTTTTCATGTATCCTTAAATATCTCGTTACTGAATCATTCAGACTATTTCATACCGACTTTCATGATTGAAACTTGGTTTGTACCTGGGATGAAAATTTCCCGTTAGCATATTAACAAGTAAAGCCATCTGTTGATTAAATTTTTCATGCTGTAAACTCCTAATAATGTCAGCTGTTCTATGGAAATCATGGCGATACCTTCATTTTTATCCTCGCTGAGAAATGACACCATATATCTTTCTGACCATCTTTTTTTTCTCATTCAGGTTTGGGTGAACTAAACTTTTGTCTCGTCCTTGTTTACACAGTGCCTTCTTATTGTCGTTTCTAACCAGATACTGCAGGAATATTAATTAGCCATCGGAAAGGATAAGGAGGATGATCTATAGTTCTTGGAGGACGATGACTGACCAAGATGGGTACTGCTGGGATGATAAAAATTGAGAATGGATTCTCGTCTAGAGCAGAGTTATTGGTAAAGAATCTAATGTCAACTAATGCCCTCCAGAGTCTGTACAGGACAGGGAAGTTGGAACTAGATTGGCATGTTGGCTGGATCGGATCATCCATGCTCAAAATTATCCGGAACAGTATTGGATGGAGCAAGTTTACACATCAGAAGAAATGATATCCTGGTAAATCCCTATATTTTTTAATCTGATTTTTTCTTTACCCTTGTAGAATCAATCAGGCTTAACTTAAGAACAATGGGATAACCAACACACAATTTTGCCATCCACCGGAGCTTCACATAGATGCACAGTCGACATGGCATACATCTGGGGCACTAATCTCTATGCTGATATTAGATCCTAATGGGCTCTCTCTCTCCTCTCTCTCTCTCTCTCTCTCTCTCTCTATTTTTTTTTCCCCCTATGAAAGGTAGCAACTATTGGAATCTATATAATGTTATATCCTCATCGCCATCTGATGATGTACATGCAATGCACCTGGTATGGGGCCCACCCACCATTTTTAATCCGTGTCATCGCTTCCTGCTTTAGCAGAATCCGATCAACTGCTAGGACGTGATGCCCAATTGGACTTGATGCCCAATTGGACGTGATGCCCTTATTCTCTGGGGGGAGAATATTCCCCCGAGTTCTTGAACCTTGTTCTTGCTCAAAGATGATTGATGCTCAGTAAAGAAAATGTCCCTTTCCTTTTTCGTAGAAATGCCGCAAAAATCAGGCGGGCATTAGTCATATTCTCCTGCCACATGGCTCACTCGGAGGTCAACCGATGTGGCATCCGGTCTCACCCTGCCACGTTGCATCCGGTGCCACGTGGCTCGGAGCCCTAGTTTCTCTCTCTTCACATCTCATGCTCGGTGGTCTTTCCTTCCAACTTTCGCCTTGATGAGCCCGTAGCTATGGAATGGGTGATTATTTTAATACCTTACTCTTATTTTTATTGAGACAAATGGGCTCGTTATGGTGGCACAAGTTCAGGCTTCATTACCGATTTAAAATACGCACGTGCGGTAATTGTCTGAGTTATTGGCAAGGCAACGGTTCAAGTCAGGTTACATTAACAAAAAAAATAAAATATTAGGTTACAAAAATCCAGTTTTACGGCGACAAAATGGGCCGGTTCTGATGGGATAATTTCATCGACTCGTGTTTATATGCACGTGTGGAGTACGCGTGGCGGCTCAAGTGGGCTAATCGCTCAGGTACGATTGGGACACGTGGCGGCGTGCGCCCATCGGCGCACGTTAGAACCGGGGGGAGATGGGCGTGCTCCTTGTTTTGGGTTTATTTAATTTTTAGTTTTAATTTTTTTTTTGTTGAAGTGGAAAACATAGTGGCAGCGACGGAAGCGAGGGAATCTGGGTGGTTCCCGTCGCAATTACCACGAGCGTGAGCTCGCCCCCGGTGGGGGGGAGGGCGGCGCCGGTAGAATCCCATTCTCCCTTCTCCGACAAGCTCCGCCCTCGCTGCCATGGCCGCCTACAAGAGGGGAGCCCTCGCTTCCGCCGCCGTCGTCTTCCTCCTCCGGTCGCTGAACCTGTGAGCGCCGGAGAAGGTTCCTTGAGCAGGTGATGTCGGGTCTGGAAGCGAGGCTCCGTGACTCGCTGCGATGTCGGATCCCGGCCGGCGGCGAGGCGGCGCCGGACGCCGCGGTGGTCTTCGCCGGGGGGCTGTTCCTCGAGCCGGCGGCGCCGCCGGGATTGCTGTCGTCGGTCTCCTTTCGCCGTTCGTCGGGCTCGGCTCCCAGGCTGTGCTGCTCGAACGGAAGGGCCCTGATTTGGGGGGTGAAGGGGGGAGGAGGGTTCCTGTCGGTGAGCTTGTCGATTAAAGAGGGGGAGAGGTTTGTTCGGGAGTCCACGGTGGGGTTGCTGGAACCAAATGGGGAGAAGGTCGTCTCCTCTGAGGAGGCATCAGAGGAGAAACATCAAACCAGGGAGAAGGGAGAGGGGAAGAAGAAGGTTGTCGTCCAGGGGGCCGGGGCCGGTGCTATGAACACAACCAAGCATCTGTGGGCTGGTGCCGTTTCTGCCATGGTCTCGAGGTAAGAGCGTGTACCGAGTATTGTTTTCAAATTATTTTTCTTTTATCTGCACCAATCTTCTCTGTTTTAAGTGTTTTTTTCTTTTCCTATCACCCGGAGTTTCCTATGTAATTCTTCATCACCTTTTTTTGTCAATTTATCATTTAATTCTCTCTTTTCTTTCCGATCACTATTTGCCTTTCATTCACCCGCACCAGTTAGATCAGATACTAATCACTCGTGCTATTTTCTCGGTCTGTACTTTTTTTCCACTGTCAAAATGTATGGTCTGAAGCATGATCACAGCTTACATGAGCTTTAAATGGCGCAGCTAAAATTGTGGTTTTTAGTTTTCTATTGGTTAACTGTCCTGCCAGCGTCAACTGACCCTCTACTGTCCTAACAAATAGCCTTGGCCGAGTAAAAGCCCGATGTCATGTATGAGAACTGGTGAAAGGCTCATTATCTAGTTCCTTTCTGTTGTATCTAATTGAATATCAATAAAGTTAAGAATGGAAATGGGGTTTGAAAACATTTCTATAAAACGAAGTGTTGTTCGGGGCAAAGGGACAGAAGGGGAAATTATACTGTCCACTAGTGTTGTAATCATACTGATGATAACGGACACTAAAGGATAAGTGGGGATGCTCTGCTGAAAGGGTAGAAAAAGGAAGGGATTTAATTGAATGGACCGTGTGGGTTCTGGTCCCCTTTGGTTGTAGGGGAAGAACATCTTTTGAAGACTGAAACTAGGGATCCAGGAAAGGGGAACACGTTAGGAATAAAAAAATAGCTGGTGGGTATTATTTCTGAGTATTGCAGGCAAGCGGCAGAAGGAATACCGTGAGTTTGAGTTTGATCAAGTAGGAAACGGAAGCTTTTCTGTTATGAAGCTATAATTGCATATTTCAGTGGCAATTGTGTCGAGGAAAAACTGTGTGTGTTTAAAATTGACATGCGGGCAGGAGAAGATATGATGATGTCATGGCCTAAGCCTTCTGATCATGAAGAAATAGTGACATCCCTCTTTAAGGCAGATGATATCGTCAGTGGGTACTTATGAAGATGATTTGGCTCTGGAAATAGGTTTGGCACCCTGCTTGTTGACCTATGCTTGTGAGGTCTTTTAAGGTTTTGGAATGCTGTCAAGGCTCCCTGCAGAAGTTGAACTCTGGACTTTGTCTCCTTCTCCATCGATATATAATTTTTTTCTCCCCTATTCTATGTTACAATCTCTTCATTTGATGACATTATTTTATTAACAAGTAATTAAAGAATGCAGGTTTAGAGTTCTACGATAATTTTTCGCTTTTTTTAATCTGCTTGATGTGACCTTGTCGTCTATTAGTTAGACCTAATGCCTCCCTATCAACTTTCAGTCATAAGAATCTTGACATTCACTGTTAACTTTCAGTTTCTTAATTCTCTTTTATTTAGCTTCAACAACTTTTCTCTTTACTGCGGTTTTTTTTTTCTGATTTTTGTTTAAGGAATCAGGGTTTTTTCTTCTTTTGCAATTACTACATAACGATATTTATGGAGAGGTTGGCGTGGAGTCAAGGAGATCCATCAATTAGAGTCCTTATTGTGTCACTTTAGTGTATCTTAGTAGATAAAGGACCTCATGGACACAAAGGATGGTGATCCGCAAGCTATTGGCTAAACCTGTCACTTCCAGGGGATTTGGCTCGTCTTCTTGTAGGATCTCCAGGTCATCGAATCAGATGCTGACTTCGGTTTGATGATGATAAGCACTTTATTAAAGCCCTGGCATTACCTTGGCCCTAATATTCCACTGATCATAAAATCGTTCCTATGGGACGAACTGAATGAACTCCTAGCGGATCCAGTCTCCTGTTGGTTTTCAAATGTGTCGTAGATGTCCAACTAATAATAATTGGATCTCTGTCTCAATCATGAAGAGGTGCATATTAGTAACCGTGCCCATGATTTGATGTAATTTATTCTAGAATGAGAACATGTAGATATGCATGTAATTATTTATTTTTCATGTCTGTCTATGTATGAGACTATTTCAAGGCGGTCGTTACTTCTTTTGAAGTCCTCGTTATTTATTTTAACTTTTTGACGATGAGAAATTTTGCTGAAATGAAGTCTGATAAATCACTTACTTTTTTTGCTCGACACGTATGGTTCATTTCTTCTGAAACGTGTCATTGCTCTTTCAGAACGTTCGTTGCACCTCTCGAGAGGCTTAAGCTGGAGTATATAGTTCGTGGCGAGCAAAGGAATTTATTTGATCTCATCAAGACTATTGCAACTTCTCAGGGTCTCAGGGGCTTTTGGAAAGGGAATTTCGTGAACATTCTTCGCACCGCACCATTCAAGGCAGTTAATTTCTATGCATATGACACGTATAGGAAACGTCTCCTTAAAATGTCTGGGAATGAAGAAGCCACAAACTTTGAGCGTTTTGTTGCTGGTGCTGCAGCGGGCATTACAGCTACCATACTATGCATACCAATGGACACGGTACTTTGTCTCTTTAGATCTGATAACTCTTTGGACATTAGAAAATGCTGATTATTCTTTTTGGCTGTCACATGTTCAGCCTACGGACCCAGATCTTGTTTTTCTCACTTAACTCCTTCCTGATCTTTATTGTGTGGTTTAAAGTTGGCGTTGCAGCGTTGGTTTTACATTGAGGAAAATATACGACCTCTGAATATTCTGATCGAATGTATTTGATGGATCCCTACGAATTTTTTTCTATTCCATGCATTTTAGATTAAATCATGTTCCCTGATCATTGGCACGCCTGAATCTGAATTTCTTATACATCAGAATTCTGGATGAATCACAATTTAGAATAGATTTATGTGCCATTCATTTGGTTTGGTACTTCGAGTCTCGTGGTTTGATTGCCGGAGTGGTGTCTGTTGAGACAGAATGCTCTTTAGTTTCCGCATTTAGACTAATACCACTGGACTTGGTCAAATTAATGGTCTCTCTCTCTGTCTCTCTGTCTCTCTCTGTTTTCGTACTCCTGTAGACATGACATGCCATATTCGTCGATCATACAACCCCCTCTCTCTGTCCTCAATAAATTTACTCGTTGAGTTTCATCATTCATCCTCATCCTGCACTTTTAGCTCTTATTCTCATATTTTTGTTTTGTCATTCAAAATCAATTTGGAGCGTCAACTCAGATTCGAACAAAGATGGTGGCACCTGGAGGCGAGGCTCTGGGAGGGGTGGTCGGTGTTTTCTGCCACATGGTCCAGACCGAGGGGTTCTTCTCTCTCTACAAGGGCTTGGTGCCCTCCATCATCAGCATGGCTCCATCCGGGGCTGTCTTCTACGGGGTCTACGACATACTAAAGTCGACATACCTGCACTCCCCCGAAGGGATGAAGAGGCTGTCTTCGATGAAGGACCGGGAAGGGGAGGAGCTGAATGCGCTGGACCAGTTGGAGCTGGGGACTGTGCGGACGCTCCTTTATGGCGCCATTGCCGGCTGCTGTGCTGAGGCTGCCACCTACCCTTTTGAGGTGGTCAGGAGGCACCTGCAGATGCAGGTCCAGGCGACGAAACTCAATGCCTTTGCCACATGTGCGAAGATCGTCGAGCAGGGTGGCGTCCCCGCACTCTATGCTGGGTTGATTCCCAGCTTGCTGCAGGTATCCTGCTTTTCTTCGATCCTCCACTTCTTTTATATCACGTCTGTGGTTACTTTCTCTGTGATCATGAACAGAAGTAGAGATTTCTTTTGCCTTTAAGGTAGTATCTTGATTTGCGGATTTTTCTTTTACTCGGTTGTTTTTTCTATGCAATGTTCTTTACCTTCATCTAGTTTAGCAACATAGTGCTGGGGACGGATATTTTCTTGAAAAAGAATTTGAGATGCAAACACTGTTTTTAGGGGTTTCTAGTGGATTTTATTTATGGTTATGAATTTAGCTTCAAGGGGGTAAATTGGAACTTGTTCATTCACTCTCTGGATCGCCCAATTTCGATATGAATCGGTCATGGAAAGCCTGGTTTGAGGGGGATGTGGGATGCCCCCCCATCTCTCTCTCTCTCTCTCTCTCTCTGTCTGGAAATCCTAGACCAAGGAGGTAGTCTTCTACTACTAGTTCGGATATGGAAAAAGGGGAGGGGACTGAGTTCCTTCTCTATTTCACTGAAATGAAAGTGGGGGTCATGGCTCATGCTCATATCTTGACTTCATTGTGAGTGTTTTCAGCTCTAGTTTTTTTTTATTTTTTTTTGACCAACTGGCGTTCTCCTTCTCCATCCTACGATCACCAAGAAATCTCGTTAATGAAAAATTTCCTTTCTGCCTCATACCTTGCTGTTAATACCCATCTGCAGCTTCTCATCACACACACACTCTCTCTCTCTCTCGCAGGTTCTGCCATCTGCGGCCATCAGCTACTTTGTGTATGAGTTCATGAAGATCGTCCTCAAAGTGAATTGATCTACTGATTTTGCGGTTGGGCTGTCGAGGATGGATCTCCGGTCCCACTCCGGACCTCTGCCAAGACCCTTGAACTTACCCAAAGGTCATTTTATTTAACCATTTTTTCTCCCTATTTTTTTTTCTTTCAGGAAGAGAGAGGAAATTGGGAGAACCCAGTGACGAGTTCTACACCTCCCCTCACCTCTTTTTTGCTGGCTCAATTCCCCTCCCCCCCCCCCTTCTCCTTTGGGTTCCTTTCTCTTAGTCTTCTTCAGTTCTACTCGTTTCAGAGTATCCCCCGTATAATCGACTCCGCAGACTTTAATCCGCGCATGTTCTGGAGTCTCTCGCAGTGACTGCAGTGGACTGTGGGTGGTGGTCAGAGAGAGAGAGAGAGAGAGAGAGAGAGAGAGAGAGAGAGAGGGATTGGGACTGACTGATCACTATGGAATAAAGACAACAATAATCATTAATAAGTATAGGACGGAGGGGCATTAGAGGCCCACTACAATTGGAGAGACGCGCAATCACAAAATGCTTCCCCCCGCCTGCAAGGAAGGGAGCAACCATGGGAGTTTCTCTACTTGCTTATTGTTATTATTATTTTTAACCCATGGTTGGGGAGCTCGAAATCACGAGTTCCCAATTTTCAGAAACAATAAGGTCTCATGCCGCCCCCTCCTAGCTGGACATGAACACCCACCACTTGTACAGGCCGAAGCTGTAGACGGCCGCGAGCAGGGCCACCCTCAGAGGGTAAAACCTGAATCTGCAGAGAGACCCGGTGAAGGAAATATCAAGATCACCATGAATCAATATGCCAATACTTTGACCTAAATAAATACCTTGAAGCCGCCGGCGAGCATCAAGAAGAACAGTAGAAGAGACATATAAGTAAACGTGTTGGATGCATACCCAGATGATCAAGATTCCGACTTTCGGGTTGCCATGGATCCTATTCAGGAGAGCTACAAATATGCTACCACATTTTTATTGAATAAATGCAAGTGAATCGCATCAATCATGAAATGCCAGAGATGAGCGCCAGAAATCTTCGGTGGTTGATGTAGACGCTGGCTGGGAATGTTCTTCTGTGAATGGGAAATAAGGGCATCTGGTGTAGCCTTTCTCCTAGATTTACTTGTGCTCTCATTGACCCAGGCCAAATATTGGTCAGACCCCAGATGGGCGTAGGTCAAACCTGACTTCGGTCAGACCGTGCCTCCCTATCTAAGACAATAGGAGATCACTTCCAGCAAACCTGACTTCAGTCCTGACCCCACATGGGCGTAGGTCAAACTTGACTTCAGTCTGATGCCCATATCCTTCCAGCAGCACTTTCTCTCTCCATAATCATCATGCATAATCACTTCACTTTTCTAATGAAGAAACATGCTTGTTAAGATGATCTGCTCAACCTAAAGGCCCAAAGGGTTGCAGGTTTGTGAGGCAAAATAGACGGCCGGTGAGTTCCAGAGGGGTACATGTTTTAGGCACACCCAGTGAAATAATCTCATGGTCAAATATTTGAGGGGGGATTGGCAGAAGGAATCAATCAAAGTGGTCCTTTGAGAAATCGCACACAAGCTGTATGAACACACGGCGGACTCCAGCTGCAGAGCTGAGAGGAAGAAGCCTTCAGAAGGAGTTCGATCCAAAACCAAAAGGAGCCTGGAAACCACTGGGCATAGAGAGGGGCTCTGCACAAGGAGATTCTCCTTCGGTTCAGAAGCCTTCTGGTTTGTGGTGGTTCTGGATTTTAGTGCATCGCCAAAAAATCAAATTGCTGATGCCCATCTCACCAGAAAGTGAGAAGAATTGAAAAATAAGTTCGATTTAATACTAATGAATAAGACGGTAAAGCATCGGGTTCACAGTGAACCTGTGCTTTACCAATTTAGTATTCTTCATAGAAATACTCCTCACAGTAGAAAAAAATAGAAAGAACCTGTGACATCTCTGCGTGATTAAAGTCGCATGCCCATTCGTCACATGGAACCAACAGATTAGCTACTACAGGACATTGACGTGAACCATTACTATTGCATTAAAAGGTGAAAGCGAGAGAGAGAGAGATGCTGAGGGTTAGATATTACTCCTGAAGTTAAGTCATATGCCTAGAAATCTTCATCTACACTGAAAATTATTTCTATATATATCTCCACGCATAAATGTACATGTTGATGAACCTTCATATTCAATCGATGAATAATAAATCAAGGAACGATGAAATGGTCTCAGATTCTATCAGTCGCTAGGTTCATTAACTTCAGCTAATCGGCATAAGTCCATGCTCAAAAAAGACTTGCATCTGATTGGGTGAGATTAGAATCTTTCTCCACAGTCGGGTGCCAAAAGATTCAAAGAAAAACGCAGCCTACCAAGTTCATCCCAGACTTGGATTCATGCCACCGGATGAATGTTCAAAATTTGACGGCGTAATTCTAATTTTTCTGATATAATTCCTCGTACCCTAGATGGACTTATCATCCCCAATCCAGTCGTATCACAGTTATCCGAAGACAAAAATGGTGAAGAGGATCGGAGATCTTCCGAACCTGGAGGTCTGATCGAAAGGGCCAGCAGCGCCGGTGTGGCAGTCGGCGGGCATGGGGGTGAACCACTGAGAGAAGTCGCGGTCGAAGAACTCCCAGTCTGGAAGCAGGATGCCGCAGACGGCGAGGATGCCGAAAATGTACGTGGCGATCATCTTCTTGAAGGAGAAGGTGCAGAGCCCCACCAGGAAAACCGCCGCTCCCAGGCTCACCAGGCTCGTCCTTAGAACTTCCTCTCTCCTCATCCTTCCCACCTGCAGTTCCCCGCCACACTAACCCTAGAGTAAGACCACTACCACCCTAAGCAGGGTCGGGCCGAATAAGCAGAACTGCGACGGCGGCACGAGGACAGCGTGAGGGTCCCCCCAACAGGCGCATGTACTCTTAAAGCACCCAACTCCAACTTCGAACCTCCCCACCTACTTGACCTCCTGTCTCTCGCCTCTCTCCGGAGGAGGAGGAGCGGGGGGGGGGGGGGGGGGGGGGGGGGGGGGGGGGGGGGGGGGGAGCGGGTGGCGCAGAGGGTGGTCTTCTCAAACGACGTGGCCTGAATTTAATGTCTGAAACGAGACCGCCTTAAATAGTGTGCGACTTTTGCCTGTTGTCGCCCTCCAAATTTTTTTCCCGATTTAAATATATTTTCTAAATGTTTTAAAGTTACTTTCCCACCAACCGGGTGGGGGAGGGGGAACAGTTGGATGGTTAACCAAGTTGGGGCCTACTGGCAGCTGGGCGGTCAACATATCGTCTCAGAGTAAGTAGTCAATAGTGCAATATGTTATTGGGCCGATATGCGACATTATTGGGCCCACTAAAGCCCACATTGGGTTTCGTGCTTTTATTTATGGGCCATCGCTTGAAGGCGGAAGTTTCGAAAAAAGCTCAGAATAATTTTTTTTGTGCCGGCTTGGGCCGTACATGGGCCTACTTTAAATAAACCCCTTGTGGAATTAATTACATCTTCTGCCATCTGAGCCACTGGTAAGTTACGTTGTCACAAACGGTCATTTTATTCCTGGCATCGGGAATTTCAGCGCGGGGGCGGCGGCGGCGGCGGGCACCAGAAGCTGCTGTTTGTTCCCCTCTCTCTCTCTCTCTTCTTCGATCGCAGCAGAGAAATGGAGGAGGATCATTTGGTGACGGAGCAGAGGTCTGCTGGACCCGGTCCCGGAACGAACGCAGATCCAGCGGCCACACAGAGGAAGCACGCTGCCATTCTTGAGCGCCTCTCCCACCGCTCCTCCAAGCGTGCCGCCGCCACTGCCGCTGCCGCCGCTGCTCCCGCCTTCGAGTCTGTCAGTTCCTTCCTCGACCGGTTCTCCGAATCCAGGCGCTCCGTAGAGGCCGACATTGAGCGCTGCCTCCTCGATCACGAGCAGAGAGGGGTATCTACAGGCTCCGGCTCAAAAGAGTACCTCGAGGGCATCTCCGCAGCTATCTCCGATCTCGAGAAGCTCGTCGCGGAGAACTCTTACTTTCTCCCGTCGTACGAAGTGCGGACGGCGCTGAAAGCTATCTCCGACCTCAAGGAATCCCTGGAGAAGGCGAGCGCGGCGCTGGCGCCGAGGAAGAGGTTCGCGTTCAGGAACAAGCCCTCAGAGAAGAAGAATCCAATCCATTCGCAGGCGAGAAGAGTAGAGGATGCGAGCGTTCCAGATGTCTCCGATTCGATCGCGAGCGACAGATTGCAAATACAAGTCCGGGATTCCCCGACAGAGTTCAGAAATCGAGAAGGGTCTGTCATAGTGAAGGATTTCAGAGTCGCGGAGGAAGGAACGCGAGAGGGAGAAGGGGATTTCTCCCTCTGTGATCTTTCTTCTTGTCGATTCTACATCAGAGGGAAATGCCGAGCTCTATTCATACACAGGCTCAAGAACTGCCATGTTTTTGTTGGCCCTGTTCTGGGCTCCGTTCTCATTGAAGAGGTGGAGGGCTGCGTCTTCATGCTGGCCTCTCATCAGATCCGCATCCACCAGGCCAGGGCGACGGATTTCTACCTCCGGGTCCGCAGTCGGCCTATCATCGAGGACAGCAGTAGCGTCAGATTTGCGCCCTACATGTTGACCTATGAAGGGCTTGAAGGAGAGCTCAAAGATTCTGGTCTCGCGGAGGAGACTGGAAACTGGGCGAATGTAGATGATTTCCGATGGCTTCGGGCAATCCAATCCCCAAATTGGTGTGTCCTGCCCGAGGAGGAGCGCCGGTGCCTGGTTGACATCTCAGAGATGGAAAACTCAGTCCAGTAGGAGGTGTTAGAATGCAATCACAGACGGCTGATTCAGCTTGCACGCCAGTCACTGTATCGTCTCTTTCACTGGTTCAACCTGGGCTTTTCGCCTCGAGGGTTTCTACTACGTGATTTTCTTTCATTAGCAAAGAGGCATTTGGTGCTCAGATCGACAGCTATTTTTGCAGTCTATGCTTCGATGCAGTCATAGGCAAAAAAATTTTCCTGTAAAACTTGTGGATTTTGGTATCGATACTCGTCTGTCTCTGAGTGCCTATATCTACGATGACAGGCTCAATGTTTATCATCCATCCATCCGGTGGCAGATGCTCCAGCATTTCTTATGTTTGCTCTAATTTTCATTTTATTCTGTTCTTATTCATCGTCGGACGTTTTCTTTTAATCGGAACTGCTTCTTGAGCCCTTGTCACCATTGCTGCTAGTGAAGATGTAGTTTGGCACATCGAAGCTTGCTGTGGAAAGGAGAAGGGAAGAAACTTCGCATGCTGCATCTTTTTTCCCTCAGGTGGGAGCTTGAGGGTGAAGAGAGGACACCAAAGTTGTCAAAAACGACAGGAAGGCAATACTAACTGATGGAATCAGGAGTCTCCTGGTGATGAAGTTCCTGAGATTTTGTTCAGCGGAACCCACAACACCCATATTTATAAATACAGATGTATGTGATCTCATATACCAAAACCAACCATGATCAGCATTTGCTTGAAACTCTAAAGGCCCATCAAATATCATATGTTGTGTTCCCCGGAGGGAGGATGCTTGGTGAGCCAGATCTGATCAAGAACAGTCGAGGGTTTAAAGGGAGGGTTTGATTCTCAATGCTTGTCTTCTCCAGATCTTCGATCAGGAGCATTCGATGGTGCAGATTATCTTCTCTCGGTATCAGCCATCCCCGCCATTCACCCTTTTCTTGATTGAGTGTTAGGACTGCAGAATTAATCTGAATTTTTGTGGTTAATAATTAATATCAGATTTATAGAACAGTTATGCATGCCCTGTTAATTAGGAAGCTTGAGGAAAACTGCTAAAGGACCAGATGGGTTGACTTTTCCTACCCTGAAAGGACCAGGTGGGAAAACCTGCTGAAGGACCAGATATGTACACCATCAGGCATCAGGATGTTTTCATGATCAGATGATCTGCTTGGAAAGTAGCTAATCTGGTGATCAATGAACTGTTGGGTTCGATAGACGAAGCATCTATCCTCTGTATTTGTTTGTTTATTTATTTATTTTATTAGCACATGTACGAAAATTTACTCGTTCAAGTTTGAGCTAAGATTATGGAGTCATATCATATAAAGTGTGGGATCATGGTTTTGGCAGGCTTCATGAACAGACTCTCGACTCTTCTCTGGGTGGCGGTTTGGCTCCTGAATCCTAGTGTGACATTCTGCCTCAAAAAATATGAGATTGTTTCTCCCCATGCCCAAACTCGGCTTTTCCTTTTTAAATTCCCGAACAGCCATTTCATTTGCATCTTACAGACCAAAGTCAACTCTCTCTCTCTCTCTAGCTCCAAAACCACCACGTGTAGAGGCTCAGAGCAAAGCCCAGAAAATGGGCTTCAAACCAGGCTCCGATAGGGGTAGAGAGAGAGAGAGAGAAACTAGGTTGGGAGGTATTCAAAAGGTGGGAAGAGAGTGATTTATTTTGCACTTGTCTTCTGGAAGGGAGGGGGGGGGATAAGAGAGAGAAGAGGAAAGAAGGGGGGGGGAGTGGGGAGAGGAGAACGAGTGGCGGGCGAGAAAGGCCGGGTCTTTGTGGTCCAGGAATGGGCAACTTGGGGGGCAAGTGACAGCAACGGAAGCAGTCGGCAGAAGGGCCATTTGGGCATCCGAGATGGGATAAATTGACCGCAGAAAAAAGCTACGAGATCTAGGATAAGTTCTCTCTCTCTCTCTCTCTCTCTCTCTCTCTCTCTCTCTATCGATGTGTCTCGGGATTGTTGATAAGATCTTGCCTAAGACATCATGGGAGCACAATCTAGAGTCAAACCATTTGGCAAGCTCCAGATCCATCTCTCTCTCTCTCTCTCTCTCTCTCTCTCTCTCTCTCCTTAGACCAGAAAAATCGGGATATTGTGTGGTGACTTTTCGCAGGCTGTTGACTGTCCCGGAGGATCGATCATACAGTGCCGTCCGTGCAGAATTCAAGCGGAATTCGTCAGAAAAGACGGCTTCTCTCTGGAAATCTGATGCCGCCGAAAGGAAATCCAGAAAACAGGGGAGTGAAAGGGAAATTCTCTCTCTCAAGAACATAAGACCGCCATGAACTGGGCGCGTATACCCTTTATTGTGTGAATTGATACTCTCTCTCTCTACTTTCCCTTTCTCTCTCTATCGGCTCCCAATGGATACGAGTGGTCCGACAGGTATTCCACCCCCCGACAAGAAGCCACCGTGTCGTCTCTTCGAAGCGTTTTCAGGCCACGAGGCGCCTCCCCTCATTCGGCGGAGAGCCACTCTTTCATGACGTGTATTCTCTGTTAAAGAGAAGGAATTCACGGCGGTCATGAGTTCTAGGGAGAGAATGGAAATGAGCAATTTAAATCATGTCATATCCATGATAAAAAGATCTAAAAGAGACCGGCGAAATCGGTGAGCCTTTAGATTTTTGAAGGCGGCATATCGTCTGGGTCACTTAGAGAGAGAGAGAGAGAGAGAGAGAGAGAGAGAGAGAGAGAGGAGCTTGTCGTGATCTTTCTAGAAAGAGAAAGTAGTATTCCAAATAATGGGCACTTATAGCGAAGACCTGAAGAACATTTATGAGCCGAGCCCCAGGCCGACCCCAGATCTGCGAGTAAATATGAGAACGGACCACTGGGGGGAGGAAAGATGGTAAATTTGGAAACTGGTGCATCCCCATAGTTGCTGAAGGGTTGGCGATCCTCTCATTTAACAGGGGTAGAAAACTGGAAGCAGGAGACTGGAGTACACCAATGGCAGAAAGTTGCAGCGGACAAAACCCTTGCTGCGGGGAACGGAATATGTTGAGGGATTAATGGCGGCAGGAGATTCTCTCCATCACCGTTGATGGGTCAGAGAGGGGGGGTGTGTTGGAGGGGTTAAAGTCAAAAACACCCATCAAGCAAAACCAATCATTCAGCCCTCCATATCCACTGGGGTGGGGGCCTTTGGCGGCCAATTGGAGCCAGGAGGAGAAATCGAAGCTCCCCAGAGAGACCGAGGTGCGGGCTTTGCTGCAGGTCACTTCACCCCGCAGGACTCCCTTCCTCCCCCGCCTCCTTGCGGGCAGCCCACGAGCACAGATTCGGGCGCCGGAAGATGGAGATGATGAGTGATATGACCGTCCTCGTGCGGAGCTGAGGAGGCTACGGGAAGAATTATGCTTGGCGGCTGCGGCGGCGGCGGAGGTGGTGGCGCCGCCACCACGTTGGTATGGTTCAGGAGGGATCTGAGGTTGGAGGATAACCCAGCCCTGACCGCGGCTGTGAGGGCCGGGTACGTGGTGGCTGTCTTCATATGGGCCCCTGAGGAAGAGGGACACTACTACCCCGGGAGGGCGTCGAGATGGTGGCTGAGCCAGAGCCTCCGGCACCTGGACTGCTCCCTCAGGAGCCTCGGCACCACTCTCGTCACCAAGAGGTCGTCCGACACAGCTTCCAGCCTCTTGGATGTCGTCCGTTCTACCGGGGCGACCCAGGTCTTCTTCAATCACCTCTACGGTCAGTGAAAATTCCTTCCTTCTTCGTCTCCATTGAATTTATCTGCCGTTTGATGCGTCCGATTCGGTTCTTCTCTTTACCAATATATATATCTATATATATATATATATGCATGTATGTATGTATGTATAGAATATGAATTCCCCCCTTTTTCGCCGGATTTTCTCATTCCGTGCTCCATCATCATTTGATAACGATGGGTTTTCTCTGTTTCTAAAGATTTCCCTCCTTTTTAGGGTTTGATGGGGAAGGGTAGGGGATGGTGGCTTGAATTTTTGAGGCTATCCTGCAGCTTTCCTAATGAACAGGCGGAGGGTCACGTAGTTCCTTTCCTCATTTTTTTTCACCTCTAGGCACTTCGTCTTTTCTGATTTTCTCAGGTTGAAGTAAATATTGATGCCTATCCATATAAATTATACATCGATTTAACTGGTCAAATAAGGTAGTTTCTTTCATGGCAATCGATTGAACAACCAAAAATTTCTCTTTTAAGGTGATTTGAGGGTGGGGGGAGGTGGGGGACAGTGGGTGTTACCATCTGCTTCTAGTACATCTTCTGGGAAATAATTTGGAGTCCAGGGCCAGATCTTTGAAAGTTGAGGACTCGGGGACAATGGCTTCACAGGAGATCAATACTTCCATCCCGAGGATGCATCCACTGATAAGATTCCTGATAGCTGCAAGCTCAGTGGGGAGTTTTTGGGATGCTCGAAGACTTTCTACGTTCAGTGAGGAGAAGTTTCTCATGCCATAAAGCTTCTCAGAGTATGATCGAGGTAGCCTTTTTGCCTGGAGAAGGCTGATGTATACACTTCCCACTGCCTCAGAGTACTTCCAGCATTGGTGTGAACTAGTCACAGGAAGATTCTTGGCTTGTTATCCCATCTGGCAGCTGATTTTTCTCAGAGCGGGTTTTTTGTGAGAGAAAACAAGAAGCACCAGAAACAAAACTGGGACCTGGCCAATGGTGATAGTTGGTAAATACAAGAAATGGCAGTGGAATCTGCCCAGTGGTTGACTTTGAGTGACGGAGCCTGCCACTGTTTGAGGTTAATCGACTCCAATACAAGGAAGATTTATTTAATAGCAACTGGAGACAAGACTCTCTCTCTCTCTCTCTCCCTTTTTTCTTAACTCACCCACCTCCTCTTGAAGGGTGCTTTTGTACCATTTAAAACAATAGACTTTTTCTAGAACCGTGGTTCTCAAATGAATGTCTCATATGTGGGAGCGATTTGCATGTAGTTAATGCTTCCATGCGAAAATTGTAGTCAATGCATAGAAAAAAAAATCACATGATTTTTATGGAAATTGGTGCTGGGGCGCACCATTTAGACAACCATCACTGAGGGTTTATCTTTGATTTTATTTTTTCAAAAATGTCTGCTCAATTATCTGGCCCTATGGGGTTGAGCCAGTCGGGGGGTTTATTTTCATTTTTATTCTTTAACGTGGGGGATAGATGAATTAGATGAACAAAGAATGTGTGACGGGTCATGAGAAGGTTATTCCCGGTAGGTACTTAATTGATTACAGTTTTTTTAATTCAAAGGTTATCATGAATCTGTGATCTGCATCATGGGCCAATGAGGTGTGGCAACAGATACTGTCATCTCATATCATGAAAATTCAGCATTTCAAATTTTTTTTGAGAAACAGTGCTAGTGAGTGTGGATGGACCTTATCATTTCTTGATAGAATAAAATGATTATTTTACAATCTCATGGAATTGGACTGGCCTATATTAGCAAGAAGAAAATTTATTTTCGCTTTTTACGGCAACTTCGTGGCTCAAGTAGTTCATCTCCTGATGCGTCCTTGAAATTCAGCCCATATGTGTTCCGAGTATTCAGGTATATTTTGGGAATTTTTATTAAACATTTGATGCCTTTTCTTTCTTTTGTAGATCCGCTATCTCTTGTCAGGGATCACCGGTTGAAGGAGCTTCTAACTGCTCAAGGGATAACAGTGCGATCGTTCAATGCAGATCTGCTTTATGAACCTTGGGAAGTTAATGATGATGAAGGTCGACCATTTTCAACTTTTGCTAATTTCTGGAACAAATGCCTCAGCATGCCGTACGATCCTACGGCCCCGTTGCTCCCACCTAAAAGAATAATACCAGGTACGTACATCAGCTATATTTTCCGAAGTTCTTTCTTAGATGAAATATAAATGCAGATGCTGTTATTTTTGCTTCATTAGTTATGTTCTCCCTAACTGTTTATTTGACCCAAATGATTAATGCATCTTCTCTGCGTAGCCTTTTTCAACTTTTTTTCTTCAAAAGAAATAAAAGGTTTACCAATATCCAGCGTTAGTTGATTATCGACTGCCGCATATTGGTCTCCTCTCTGTCTTAATTCCATCTTTACTCTGAAGACCAACTCTGATGAACTTGAATCATTTGTATGAATCTGGCGTCTTGTGCTTCAACATTCTGGCTCTGGGCCAAAAGATGAGCTATAAATTTTTCTCTCTCGGCAGCATTCAGAGATTCTTCCATAATCTTGCTCTTATGTCATACCATGTTACCTTTAATTTAAAATCATAAACTAACTTCATGTTTTATATTTAAAATTATAAACATACTGTGTTACATAATATGCATTTGTATACTCACCCATGAGTGTACTACTACTAGGTGTTCATATAAAAAAAATAGTTGGCAACTTGTGAAACTTGAAGTTAGGTGTTTTCTATTTATGTTAGATATATAAAACATTTTTTCTAGGGTTGTCAATTCGAAATGCATGCTATAACGATTTCAACGGCGTAAAATTTTATTTGTTGGAGATAGATGGGTCCATGATCGAAAAGTATCATCCAGAGATGAATAACCTTCTTGAAAAACCTCACACAATGATTGATATAACTCTTGTATTTCCCTCTCACGCCTTTGCATCGGACATGTGCTCAAGTTGACAATATGGATGACTTCATGCTGCACCGTTTCGACACTGCTGTTTTTCTTTTTTTTTTTTGTTAAACTTGGAAAATGCTTTTGGGTACTCGCTGGTCTGGTACATGCTTAATGAACTAATTTTTGGCACAAATGGTAGGTGATATGTCGAGGTGCTCTTCTGATAACCTTATCTTTGAGGATGAGTCAGAGAAGGGGAGCAATGCTCTCCTGGCTCGCGCATGGTCGCCTGGCTGGCGCAATGCTGATAAGGCACTGGCTGCCTTTGTCAATGGGCCTCTGATTGAGTATTCTGTGAATCGTAAGAAAGCCGACAGCACAACAACGTCTCTCCTTTCGCCTCATCTTCATTTTGGGGAGATCAGCGTCCGAAAGGTCTTTCACCAGGTTCGAATGAAGCAGCTCGTCTGGGCTAATGATGGAAATGTTGATGGTGAAGAGAGCATCAACCTGTTTCTCAAGTCTATTGGTCTTCGGGAATACTCGAGATACATGAGCTTTAATCACCCTTGCAGCCACGAAAGGCCGCTCCTTGCCCACCTTAAATTCTTCCCTTGGGTGATCGACGAGGGTTATTTTAAAGCGTGGAGACAGGGCAGGACTGGCTACCCCCTGGTGGATGCAGGCATGAGAGAGCTCTGGGCAACAGGCTGGCTACATGACCGGATACGAGTTGTAGTCTCCAGCTTCTTTGTCAAGGTTCTCCAGCTTCCGTGGAGATGGGGAATGAAATACTTCTGGGACACTCTGTTGGATGCAGACCTCGAAAGTGATGCTTTGGGTTGGCAGTACATATCTGGATCACTCCCTGATGGGCGTGAACTTGACCGTATTGACAATCCCCAGGTGCATACGCTTTCAATGAATTACCAATTTTCCAAGGATAATTTTTCTCTAGGCTCTAATCAAACATGCAGTCTCATGCTCACAACCCTGATCAGAATTTAGTTCTATGTCTCCTAGTCGATGAGTTCCTATCTTCTTTTCATTGTGACCATCTTGAAAATTCTCAACTTTCCAATCATTTTGTCTAAAACTGATAAAATGAAATATATATATCTCTTTTTTTACCCTAAATGTTATGACGGCTTGATGTTGTCTGGGGCATTCATGTTATTTTCCTTCTTTAAAATGATCTCTTTTACAGTTTGAGGGCTATAAGTTCGACCCGAATGGAGAGTATGTCCGGCGTTGGCTTCCTGAACTGGCCCGGCTGCCCACTGACTGGATTCACCATCCCTGGAATGCACCCGAGTCAGTGCTTCAAGCCGCAGGAATCGAGTTGGGATCCAATTACCCCCTCCCAATTGTGGAGATAGCTGCAGCCAAAGCCCGCATTCAGGAAGCTATTGTAGAGATGTGGCAACTGGAGGCTGTTTCAAGGGCGACAGTCGAGAATGGAACTGAAGAAGGCCTCGGCGATTCTTCCGACGTAGCTCCGATTGACTTTCCCCAAGATATCCAGATGGAAGTTGAACGGGAGCCTGTGAGGGCCAACAATGCAGGGGTCATGGCTCGGAGGAACGAGGACCAGATGGTTCCCAGCATGACTTCTTCTCTGGTCAGGGATGATGAAGAGGTCTCCGTTGATCTTCGGAACAGCCACAACGACAACAGAACAGAAGTGCCCGGAAACATGGGCTTCCATCCAGAGCCTCTGAGAGATGCAGCGAACCAGGGTGGAGCTGCCCCAGTTGGAGAAAATAATAATGCTCATCGGTTCAACCCAATTGGGTTGGAAGATGCCGCGGACTCCACATCAGAGTCGTCGAGCAGTTGGACGGCGAGAGACGGTGGGGTGGTTCCCGTATGGTCGCCGCCGATGGTCTCCAGCCACTCGGAGCATTTCATGGGGGAAGATGGGGGGGGAGGCAGCGGCGGCGGCAGCTACATCCGAAGGCACCAGCCATCTCACCAGCTGATGAATTGGAGCCAGCTTTCTCACACCAGGTGAACTGATATCCATATCTTATTACAGAATCTAGGAGCCAGTGATTTCGCCCCGCTTATGTACATGGTGCCGTTAGCAAAACCATGGCATCTAGCCCATCAGCTCCAAGGAGAATTTTGAATCTCCCTGGTTCCGAGTTCTATCGTTGACCCATCGGCCCTTTTTCTGGTAAAGAGCAGCTCTGGTTAACGAAGATCAGAGCCCCGCCTGCCACCATGGCTCTTGAAGACCGAGAGGTCTCAATTCCATGCACTTGCTGCCGATCCCCAGAGGGTTTAAACTCGTTGGGAGATTTTCCCGCACAACTGTCATCTTCTCTCACAGCTTTCTCTTAATTTCATCCATGCGGTCGCATCCCTCTGATGGCTGGTTATTCTCCACAGGACGAGGAGCTGGGAGGTGGAGAACACCCTGCAACCAAACGCCATCGGCTAGACGATCGTCCGAAAGACAGCGGTAGCATAGCCTGTGCATCATCATCTTTTCTCCCAAGGCTGAAGGATCCCTTGACCGTTCAAATTCGCGGCCGTAGGTGGTTTAAGAGTGGTGTACTCTTAAGAATTCCCCTAGCAAGGACATTTATCTTCTGTAACATATTATTGCTGTACAGTAATAATAATATTCCTCGGAGAGTCCATTGGGCAGCTGTGTGTTCTAGATGGATGATCATCGCCCCCTTTCCTCTTCAGGAGCTGGGAAGGCTTCATTCTCACTTGTTTCCCTTGGGCGCCCATGTGGTGGGGGGCGGTCTTATTATTATAATTGGGAACTGGGTGCATGATCAGATCAAATTTGGCATAAAAAATGACCTTTTTTTCCTCTTTTCTTGGGGTTCTTGCCAGCTTCCAGAGCTGCTACCGCTTTAGACGACCCTCCTACCCGAAAAAAAACAGCTCTCCTCCCCCATCTTCCTGTACAGATGGATTCTAATCAGGGTATCTATGCAGAAATCAGTGTGGGAGAACCTGTGATTTCACAGTATTCAGTGTTTAGTGATGACCTCCAGTAAGTAGATAGTGGACTAACGATAAAGGAAAAGGCCCACTAATTTGTGTGGTTCAAGAAGCCCGGATAAAGGACAGGGGGGGGCGGGGTACGAGGATGCGGTTTCGTCCGACAAAGTGAGGTGGGGTCAACTGCTTGAGTCGATTAAGTGGCGAGCAGATTTGATCGGATCGCAAGCTGGCTGGAAAGGAAGGCACCTTCGTTCTTCGGGTTCTAGCAGCGACTATGATGTTCACTGTTTGTCAGAGAACTCCCCACCGGTTATCTCTCCATGCATCATCATCACACATCTCCTAATGAATATATATAATAAAATGCTGCGAAAACTTAAAATGTATAATAAATAAACCCATGATTTCAACACCACGAGCAGCTTGAAAATTTCCTCCAACTCATCTATCTATGCGCATTAGAATGAATAGCAGGACCAAACACAAGCTTACCAGTCAGTCCATTTCCGTCGGCCACAACTTCTCCATCAATCGGTTCATCACCGATGAACTTCGCCGTTGCAGAGGGGGATTTGGTCCTAGGATGGCCTGGTCCCAACCCCCCCCTTCCGCCTCTTCCGCTTGGACTGTTGAGAGTGATCCACGCTCCCTGGCCCCATGCTGTCCATGGAGGTAAGGGTATCGTGGGATGTGCCGTAAATGGCATCCCCTCCCTCCTTTGAGGATCCCCGGCTTTGATGGGCGGCGTTCCATACCTTCCGCCCGGAAACTGCAGCAGCGAAATAAATCAGTTGATCGGCTGCCGGTCATTAATGCCCGGTGAGAAGACACCGGGCCGGGGAAGAACAGCGTTCAAGGATGCCACTCAATTCATCTCCCGGTAAAAGATTATGTGGGTAGGAGAACGAATTACCCCCGGATCTCTGGCTGCTAAGGCTGGAATGGGTGGGCCGGGCATTTTCGAGCTCCTCAGGGTCCGGATAGTGAACGAAACAAACCCGGCGAGAGATTTTTCCCACTGAATGTGATAAAATGTCGAAATTTCAAGATAAGAATAGCCGATAAGCCTCAAAACAGAGGTCAGATATGAGAGATATTCAAAAATATTTCATGAAAGAAAGATTGATAAACACATTTGCTGTTGTGGATGTCAAAAAAAGATGAACTAATTGCCATCTGATATAAAAATTAAATGCAATTCAAGAAAAAGGTCGAGAATTACATCTTTACATCACCCATAAAAAATTCAAGATACAGTTAAATGCCGTCCAAGATCAGAAAAATGGCCGGCGATTTTGATTAAAAAAAGGTGAGAAAACATCAGACTTTGTGTTTACCCACCGGTTATTTGGAATAATGTTTAGGCGAGCATCAACAAAGTTGATTTGAGGTTCATTCAAGTAGCTCCCAAAACATTAGGGCTTCAACTTATCGTTTGATTTACATTCAGCATCCTAGATCTGAGTTAGCAAAGCGAACCCCAACCCACGCTGCTCGGAAGGAAGCAACTTCGAGTGGCTGTAAACATCAAAATTATATGGAAATGATGTAAGCAACAATCATCTAAAGAATGTTTAAAGTAGAATATTCAAGCTGTGGCATTAGGAAGTTAACTTTCATTGCTTTAGGTGAACAGAACAGAATCTAAATTGCACTTAAAGGATGACTAGAGAATCTCTGACGATTGAAGTCCCTGATGTATCACAAGACCTAAGGTACCTGCCGTTACACTTGTGCAGTAAGCAGCAGATGTGACGATGAGAATTTTTCAGCCTCCTCTACAAAGTGTCACGGGATGGATCACTTCTGGAACACTTTATGCTTCTTAGGCAGAGACAAAGAGGTCCACGCCACGGACCACCAAGGATCTTCATTTTAAGAGGAGCATCACTTGAGAACAGATGAGAAGATAATCGTGGCAACTGCAGATTACGATCTCACAGTCATTCCATCAATCGCATCGAGGAAATTCGACTGTACTATTCTACTTACTCCTCCCCCCCCCCCGCGTCATTACTCGTGAAAGTGATCAGAATCTCATTTCGGCAACCGTCAGGACATGGAATCCTCTCTCAGACAATCAGACCCAAGAATGTAGGCTTAAAAATATTAATAGCAACATAAGTTATACAATCTCAGGATATAGGCTCCTACACAGGCTGCATCTAAGAAAAATTCTTGCCATAGCAGTCACATTATGCACTTCTACCATAAGAGAATCTCAGGAACCACAGACAGATATGTCAGCAATATCTTCACCTCAATCATGCCAATCTCTAAAATTTCTTTTTCCTGGCTACAGCTTCCATACCCTCGCACTCCAGCCCTCCTCAAAGGTAGCCCCCCACAAGCTGCCTCAGGCTATCGTCTGGCGAGTCTGAGGGCCTATGCAATGGCAATTAGTTTCTTGGTATCTTTCTTAAGGGATGAAATTACAGCCATGACCATTTAAAAATCTTATATGCCCTTAGATGCGTTGACAAAAAAGCAAGAACTGCAGGTAGGTATCATGGTCACTTCCACTGACACAGAACCAGGACCCTTCCAAAATTGGGAATAACGTCTGAAAGTAGGACTTCAGATTTTGTGCCCTGTCTTTAACAGTAAGGAGTACATTCCGTGAAATATAAGGAAGCCAGAGAAAAATGCCCTGAGGTAAAAATCACACATACCCTGAAACCGATTAGATCTGTGAAACAAGGATTGACTATACAACCCAGGAAGATAGACTATAAGTTCCAATAATAGAATTCCTTTAGAGACTCAATCTTGAATTAATCCATGATTCCGTGGGATCCCAGGTCTCTAATGCCCGTTAAGCTTCTTATGTCATATGATAACTCAGGTGAAAAGAAAATTCATGCCATTCTATGTAACTCTTCGTGTGGAAACATCAGAGGATCAAGTTTGACGCCAAGGGAAGGGTATGAAACAACATGTTATGATATTGACAAGTTTCATTCAACTAGAACAGTCTCCACTGTCACCACTATGCCTGCCTTTCAAAGGAATCATAGGTACTTTCATACTGAAAATGGCTGATTTGATTTCCATCCAAAAAGCTTCTGCTAAGGTTTGCAGCATTATCCACAAACAAATGGTATCGTAAATATGACACTCATGCTAACGTCAGATGTTTCTTTCCTCCATACAGTAGTCAGTGTTGTACCCGTAATGTCTGGACAGACCGACTTATAGATTGCCAGAGAGATGATTCATGCACACATACATATTAACGATAGAATTATATACGGAGAGAGGGGGAGGGGGGGGGGGAGAGGGGGAGGGAGGGAGGGGAGAGAGAGAGAGAGAGAGAGAGAGAGTAGGGTAGAAGTTTGACTGCATTTAAACATCTTTATGTGATTTGGCATCCTTGGATACCCGAACAGGAAGGAAGCTACTGGTTAGCCACACTTTTTGAGAGGGACAACCAAATCCATTGTGAGTGATTTCTATGGTAGGCCATGAATGATTAGTACGAGCAACTTTTGGACAACAGACTGCTAACCAGTTAGAAATTATGGATGTAGGTAAGAAATTTATCGACTCTACATAGTTACATTTGACAATCTATCAGATAAACCTAGTGTCTTACATAAGTAGTCTTTGCAGATAGATATGGCAAAAATTACAGTCAAACTTTAACGGTGGGAAAAATTATGTAATACCTACCAACTTTTGACTTGGAACTGGAACCTAGAAAGACAGTCGCATCTGGTTCTTGAGCTGCAAAGCTGACCACATCATAGGACTTCCCTGCCATATGAGTTGGGAACATTAACAAGATAGCGAACAGCAGGGATTATACTTAAAACTCCTAATGAATTTATTTCAAGTTTGCGTACATGAAGAATGATGATATACCAGCAGGGATCTTCAGTGCACGAATTTGCTTATCTTGCATAACTTTTTTCTTTTCAAAAAGTAAAATGGAAAACACCCATCGGAAGCAATGAATATTTTTAAATTCCTTTTAAAAGTTAAAGAGAAAAAGAGCTCCCTTTTGATAATGAATCAATTAATGAACTGTAAAGCCATTGCTCTACAATAGTCACTTGCTTGTGATTCGAGTATGCTACCTTTTTTATGTTTTTAATTCCGACAGTTTCTATGCCTGACAAACACTGAAACAAAAACATCACACAGAACCTACATTAAAATCCTAAACCACAAGATAAGTAACTGAAAAACCTCAGCATTAACCCACACTGGTGCATAAAACGCATTTCATAATTGGTTAATTTCAATGTAAGGATTGTTAAATGTCATCTTTTTAAAAATATATTTACAGGTTTACGTGATCTCTCACCAGATGAAGTTTCAACACTTGCTAACTCTCCGTCTTGATGGAGGTTGAGAGATATCTCCTTTCCATCAAAATCATCAGGCTGTAACTGCATCATAAAAACAAAAGAGTACGATAAGATGCTAAAGTTCTCACTGTGAAAGAACCCTAAACTCTAAAATAATAAATGAAGAAAATGACACGCAATCAACAATTAAAAAAAAACAGAGATGACAGAGCTACCTGATTTATGGGCCACTGTATCAGCCAAAGTTCAGTTGAATCTGTCAAAGAGATATCAAGGAGTGGGTTGCGAGAATCCTCCTCAAGATCCGGTCCAGGCTTGTAACTACAACAGAAGGGAAAAAAGAGCAAATGAGCAGCTATACATCAGGGTTTTTCCCACTTTTCCTGATGGCTAACTATCCGTGCACCAATTCCCATTCATAAGCGATGCTTATAAAATTCTCTTTCAGTATAAAGAATAATGGATAAAGAGAAACCATAAATTGGAAATAATCTTTCCATCTATACATTGCATTGACAGTCATAGATAAGCTCATACCCATCATCTGAAGCATCCATCATTCAAGGAACTAGCAGCAAACGAGAATTCTGCAAAGAAATTAAACAGAAAAGATTTAATCTTGATACCATAACTAGCAGAACAGGAACTAGTCACACAATGGAAGTAACAAAAGGAAAGAGACCAACTAGGCTGCATGCGCATAAATGACTCCATACAAACATAGAGACATACTAAAAACTCACAAGGCAGAAGGGAAATATCTCCAGAGGCACAGAAAAGCAATAGCTAAGAGATATTTAAATAGAGGTGGCTGGGCTAGTCCAATTCATAGTCCAATTCATATCAATCAAAGTCAATTCTTCCATGGAAATCAAAGATAGTAAGATTATTAATTATGAAAATAAATGAAACAAATCAAAGAGAAGAGGATACAGAAATGTGTCCTTGATAGTAAGATTATTAATTATATAATAATTTTAACAAGTTAAAATAATGGATAAGATGCATCCACCATGCTTTCCAGTGTCCACATTCACTTTCTCCACATTGCTTAACCAGTTCTTGAATAAACAGCCTGTTTAATGAGTGATAAGTAGAGAAAGCATAAGAATGACGGGCAAACAATGATCTCCAGTGAAATATAGAAGTCAAGCAGGACGTTGAAACCCTAGATGTAGCCTCCCTTATAATAGAACATCACTCTATTTGAAAATTGTTCACCATATGAGAGAGAGAAAGAGAGAGAGAGAGAGAGAGAGAGAGAGAGAGAGAGAGAGAGAGAGAGAGAGAGAGAGAGAGAGAGAGAGAGAGATACTTGAAGCACACATCACCAATGAAAAATGTCGGGCCAATTTTTTTTTTAGTCCATCCTTTTACAGTGTTGTCCCAAAATCCTTGCAAGACACATCTGGTTATATTGAACTTGATGCTTTTCTTCTAATTTAAAATTTCACATATTATGTTGTGAGGTGAGACACTTGAGAGGGAAATACTGTTGACAACCCATATTCAGAGGCAGGCAAAGAGAACAAGGTAAGTAATGACATTCTCCTCTTAAAATGCAAACGTTTCACTGATTCTTAGAGCAGGAAGGCAAAAAGTTGTGAGGTCTCCATGGCCAGTCGCTTACACTTGATTGGGGGATACTAATAATCAATCATATCCATATGGAGGCAAAGAGACCAAGGTAAGGAGTGGCGTTATCTTAAGAAAAAGAAAAATTCTCACGAATTATTAGATGAAGAATAACAAGGGAAGTTGTGAATTCCCGTACAGGTTAATATATGATGCGAATCGTCTGAGACAACGAATTCATCTGATATCCGGCCATGGGGCATCAACGATATAACCAACTACGTCATAGACATCTACAAATCAATGGGAGGTAAGTCTGCACAAGACAAGAAACTTGGTCGTGGGTGCAGAAGCCGCGGCAGAGTCTTTTACACCAACTGACATTCAAACGAGGCGACGGGGAAAAACGTAGTCACTCTGACGGCAGCATCGAACCGAACCAACCTCAGCACAAGAGACGGTCGCGCTGCGGCGTTGTGAATGAAGGGGAGGAGAGAGGAGTTGAGCAACAACAAAAAAAAAAGCGGGGGCAGCAAACAACCCAGAGAAAGAAACCAGCATGAAAGCATCAGAGAAGAACTCCGTCGTGAGGGAATGATTCACCTCCTCGAGCTTTCCCTCCGCGAATCCGCTTCTCTCTTCGCTGCTGGAAGGAAAGCGAGCGGCAGAGGGCAGCGTAGGGCGGGTATGAACCACCCCCGCTCCCCGGCAGCGGGTCGGATAATCGTTGCAAACGTAACGGCATGATCGATTGCGCGACACAGATCCGAAAGTCGACCCGGGAACACCGCACCGAAGCCTATCCGAAGCTCCTAAGAATTCTGTCAGCGTTTCGCACCGCGTTGCGCGGCGCTGAAGTCCCAGGCGTGTGGATTCGTCTCTAGGACGGCGAGAGTCCAGTCGTTGACAAGAAGGATTCTCCCTTCAGTTGTGTCGCGCTCCTACGAGTCAACGATGGCGGCTACCACTTGCAGGCCCAGACTAAAAAGGTGAGTCAACCCCTACTCTGAAAGGTTGATTTGAAGGTCAAAATGTGTGGAACGAGATCATAGTTCGCGCGCAAGCAACGAGAGATTCCCCCTTTGATTTAGAGGGGGGGTCAGGCCAGGTCGATCAAAAATATATATTTATTTTTGACTTTTTTCTACTCTAGAAGCAATAAAAAAGAGTCAACTGGAAAATAATGGTCACAGCATTTTTACTAGTTTTATTTTCTTTTATTTTATAAAAAGACGAAAAGTTACATTCGTATAATAATTGCAAGAGACCGTCGCGTCAGAGAATTCGACCTTGAAGGGCGGGGTAAATCAGATTAATAGATTCATAAATATATAATACAATTATTCCTAATAAGACGGCATAGTCTTAGATTTTAAATAGCGATGTCTAAGGCTTCTTTTCTATTTTTTGATTACATGAGCTCGTCGTGCCAAAGAAGAACGGACTTTGACCGTCAGAAGAGAAGAAAAAGACGAAGAAGAGAGGAGCAGGGAAGATCATCAAACGAGAGCATTCTACCGGAAACATGGGAGAAGACAATTATCCAGAGATTAATAACGGTTGCTTGACTTTGAGAGTCAGGGACCTGAACGGGTGGGGTAGGAACATTTACAGAGATTTTCCCAACACAGTTAAAAACCTGCACCATCAGACTAGACAATCGACCCCAGAGGCCGAACCCACCACTGTTCTATCTATTATATATACGATTCGGACCCCAGAGGCCGTCTCGAACAGGTTCGTTACGCGCATTAAAATCAGCCTCAGTGAAAACCATAAACGGGGGACAGATAATCTACACGGCTAACACCAATATACTTACGGAAACCTTTTTCTTCTCGTCAGGTGATCGGCATGTACGGGTCGTCGCCCAGGAGCTCGTCGATGTCGAACATCGGGTCGCTCTCGATCACCTCTGGATCATTCAGGACGCGTTCTAGCACCACCTGGGACGGGGCACAAGGCGGATTATGGCCGGACGTGAGGGAAAAAAATTATCGATCATGATGCCTGGTTATTACACAATTTACAGCACGAGGGTGTGTGGAATAAGAAGAATGCCTTGTGCGTATATCGTCATTATATATGAAGACCGGCGTTTGCAAAATTATTTTATGATAAGGAGGAAGAGAAAGGTTCCAAACCGATTTGAACGGTTGTAGAGAAAGATGTAAGAGTGGAGGGCACACGGGAGATTTATGTGTGCATATGTAAATATGAAATGGGTTAGAGGAACACTTGGATGGTGAAGGCCGTGCTCTCAATGCTTTGATAGGAATGCGAGGATGAGAAAGGAACCGCCATTTTTACACGCATTTAGGTCGAATTAACAGAAGATTCTTTCTTTCTTTCAATGAATGAAGATGTTCTGAAATAGGAAAAAAGCTGGAACGATGATGAAGATGGAATACCTTTGATTCCTGGAAGTCCTCGACGACTGCTAGCAGCCTCCGGTACTGGTCTCTCGCTTCTGGGTATTGAACCATAGACTTGACCCTATCCAGAGCCTTTTCCAGCCTTGCCTCAGTCTGCTTTCTGCCTTCTTTCAAGAAATCATAGTCATCCTCTTTGGCGGCGTGCTCGTGTATTGCTGGGGACATGGTTGACCCTTCTGGTTTGAAGTTTCTCAAACCGGGCCCTTTCCTCCTCCATCTCAATATTGCCTTCTCGACAATTCCCACAGTCCAGACAATTTTTCTGTAGTGCTTCCTCACTTGGTGGCCGCGAACGTGTGCCTGACCATGACCGCAATAAAGTTCAGATTTCAGACAGAAGAATTTATGTCTAAACTCCGTATCAAATCTAGGTTGCAAAATGAGAGCTTTCAAAGAAGTTGCTCGCTGTTACAATATTTCTCAGTTTTCTTTCGAAACACAGTGTTGGAGTGGACCGAGCACATAGTCAACCATACACTTACGCAATGTGAAGGCATAGCGCGCTATTCATGGGCAATTCCAAAACAATAATTAATCCAATCAATGGCAGATAGAAGGAGATGTGCTACATCGCCGCTCAAAAAACATGTATATTGACTTGATATCGCACATGGAGCATGGCATTTGCCCAGACTGGGTGGCAGTTTAAAATTCGAATCTTGGGTGCTTCGTGTGATGTTGTAGTCATTATCAAAGCTTAACATTTCAAGTGTCAACACTCGTGAGAAAGCTAAAGAAGAACGCAAAACAAAGTCGTCTGATTGCTTGGGTCAGTTAATAGGAAAGGATAAGCATATCATTTTTATTCTTAGTTCAAGAATATTCCACATTCAGAAATAATTATCGGTCCAAAAGTTTACCTAGAGAACTTAGTCTAATATAGAGGGCAATACAATGTCTCAAACGAACAATGGATGTTAAAATTCCTACTTTTTTCGGACGGTCAGGCAACACAAATCATCAATTCCTACACTCTCTGCCTTAGCCACTTTCAGCCTTAATGCTTCTTGACAGAATTCAGGCGATGTTCTGATGCTCCCCTATATTTAGTATGGGCTCTGAACCCCAACGGTAATTCGCTATCAACTTTGGAAACCTAGTGTTCGAAAGCAAGTTTCAAATCTAGTAATCAAAAGAATGAGAAACCACGGAAAAGAATGTCTTGCTGAAGAAACTCTTCCCCTCCAGAAATTTAAGGATAGTATTCACCTGAATCTTAACAATGTGTTGGCGTATGGTCAAGAATTCTTTCCTGCCCTTCCAACCTCGAAACTTTTTCTGAATTTGTATTGCAGCGGCAACAGGCTCATCATGTCGACCAGTTTTCTTTGTTTTGCCAGATATGAGCGAGAGAGCCTGCTCATCTGACATTCCAAATTTATCATCCTCATACTCATCAAGTTTCTTTCTCTGGAATGAATGAATTCTGAACACTTGATGGATGCGTGCAGCAGCTTGAGCAGCATTACGGATAGCGCTAAGTCCTGCTTCCATATTCCCGTCATTCGTACGTAGTGAACTCTTCCTTGCAACATCTTCAGCAATATCTACACCGTGCACTTCTGTCACATTACTGGTGCCCAACTCTTTTAATGTGAGGGTTGAAAGATGCGTTGTCAGAGAAGATTCAGCAAGGAAACCGGCAATGCCTTTGTGCCCATTGCTAGAAGCCAAATCTGCAGGTGTTCTTCCGGATGGGAACTCAGGCGTCGGATCTGTTAGTGCTCCCGGGGCTGCACCCAGAGTAAAAAGCACACCGACCGTTTTTTCCCTGAAATTATGAGGGGGCAAGTCAGGCCAAAACAATGACAAAAAGCTGAGGCATATGACACGAGCTCGAATGGCAATTGTAATGACGGTTCTTTACCTGCCACAATATGCGGCCCAGTGAAGAGCAGTCCAGCCATGCACATCCCGGAAGTCGATACTTACACCTGCAACTATAGTCGGCGCAACAGCCCAGTAATAACCAAGGGCTGCTGCGAGATGAATGACACCCTGCCCCTCTTTATCTAAAACAGTTGGACCTTTACCATCCTCGGCTATTTTATAGATTAGCCAGGCATGCAGCTTTTCCTTCAGTGCTCTCTCAAGTGAAGGATCCATTTTTTCCCCAGGGAACGGATCTAAATCGCTAGTAAGCTTCAACATTTTGGACCACTCATCATCATCATCTTCTCTCAGCAATGAACCGATTTTATTGCTCAACTGGAGCTTCTCACCAGACATGCGTGATACAGGCTCTTGGTCGCATTCAAAATCAAGAGATAAAAGCTTTTCAAAACGCATATGAAGGACTTCGCTTGGATACCCCATATAAGAATCTGATAACCCTGTATATTGAGGATGAGTGACACGATATTGAAATTCCCTAATCTCACTACAAGCTAACCTGTTAGAGCAGGTGACATAGAAATCAACCCTTCCAGATTTATGCGGTGGAGCATAGCAAATAAGAATGCTATCTCCGGAAACTTCAGCTGGAACCTCAATTTCTCCAAACATACACGACCACTTACTGTTGCACACTTCATTTTTATCCACCAAGAATTTGCCTGTAACCCTTACCTGTTTTTTTGATAGAACGAAAGGAAACAATCAGTAAGCTGTGATCAAATACAAAATATCAACCACGAGCTATCTATCCAAATCAAATCCGTAGATCCGATGATTGATGACAGCTCAAAGAGAGCCCCAAAGAATAATCGATAGCTCAAAAATCTTACCTTGGTCTCTACACTTGTGTATGACCAGTTTGGAGAAAAGTCGATAATGCTAAAGAGTTGGTCTTGAGACAAGGAGGGCCCTAACAAATACGTATCTTCATTGTGAGGCATTCCAGAATCTTCAATGACACCTTCACTTTCAAGCGCATCCCAGTAGACTGAAGAACTAGCTCGAATCTGTGACTCATCTACTTCTCCTAATTCTTTGCTCATCCATCTGGTGAAACTGTCATATTTCGTTAGACCAGTTTCTCCTTCACGTCTAGGAATGTCTAATGATAGCTGCTTTATAAGGGACGAGTAATCAACAGCACTCTTTGGAACAGCACTACCTTCAGCATTAGTAACCTGCATTAAGAGAAAATTTTTAGTAGTAGCAGGCTGCATCAGTGGAAAATGTTGCATGAGAGACTTTTTTAATAGAATTAATTGGTAAATGCTGCACAGAACTTGAGAATACATATGGTATCAAATTATTACCATATGCCTGGTAAACCAGCGTAAGTGCACAACTACTAGTCCTAGAACAAGAAGGAATATATTGAAAAGTTTAGGACCATCCTTAACAAACCACTGTTCAGACACTGCTCTTAGAATTGGAACCGTAGTAGCCAGCAGTTTATAGGGGTTATATAGGGCAGCTGTACCTTGACATGGTTTCTGAAGCAAAGGATTCACGGACAATGACCTAATTAATGCTATCTCTCCCTCTAAAGGAAAAACCAAGATACATGCCACATTGGTTATTCTGTGGATAGATGACAGGTCAAATAAACACAGTTATATTATTGCTTCAAAAGTCTGTAAGCATGGCTAGTGGTGACCTACCGACTATGCCAGTAGTTTTCCCCAAAAAGAATGGATTAAAATGCCATTCTAGTATTGTAAATGAAGAAAATAAACACATATTTCAAATATCATTTGTACTTAGATCCCAGAATATAGTTGCATATTTCGCTTAATGCAGACAAAGAATCGGTGAATTTAACCAGTTCTCCAGACTAACAAAACTTGTGGCACAAAACATTGGATAATACTCCAAAGAGTAGCATACCATTTTTGCTTGCCAATCGTTAAAAACCAATCTGATAATTTATGTTGTCCAAATTCAAATAGTTCTTGTATTTGTTACACTGCCATACCATGAATATAGCCATTATGGAACGTTCGATAATAAATCAAGTGTCTCAGATATATTGTGTCTATGGTATCTTGATGCCCAAAGAATTTTATGTTCTTACTACCAGCATACAGTTACCTGCCAAGGTTCTTGAACATTGGAGTCAACATTAAGAATACTCTCATTCTGAAAAATTTCCCCAATATTGGAAGTTTCGCCATTAGAGAAGCCTCCCATACGGGCAGGCTGAGTGGATAAAATTGATGCAGAGAAAGGCATATCAGAACTTCCGGCTGCACAATGTTCCAAAACCCTATCCCATGACGTTAGGTCAGCTTGATTCGGGGGACCACTCATAATTGAGTGGAGCTTCATATCATCAGAAATATTACTGGTACTCATTTGAGCAAGAGAAAAATAATCAGATCCACCATCTAGCCTCGGATAGTAACCTGTGACAATGAAAAAATATACAGCGGTGCTTTAGTTACTGAGGGACAAGCAAAAGCTAGGGCTTTTCAAGTAAGCTGACCAATTAAATGCACCACCTACCTTTGTTACCAGGTGTGGCATCTTGAAAATAAGGATCAAGGACATCTGTTACTGGTCCACACTCGAACTGTTGAAGCTCAAAGTGAGGGCGGTATCTGGAACTTGCTTGATGATTATCTGCTGCATCGAATTTCGCTTTAGATACACTGAAAGAAAGGATGCATGATTGGAAATATGAATCAGTGATTCTATCCCTCTGGCAAATACTTTTGGTTGCAATGACACGATGACATGCCTCATACCTCACTAAAGATGATGCAGACAAGGGTGAGAAAGGATAAATGAATATACCTGACTCAGCATCCTCGTATTCAAATGTCTGTGAGCTGTTTGGACTTTCAGCATCTGTAGCTCGCGAAGGCATGAGATTATGATTTGATATAGAATTCGAGGAAGCAGGACTTTCGAGATTAACACTCCGTGAGATTTCTTCATTTTCTGTACGGTGCCCAAAACTAGGTTTGGTTCCCTAAGAAGCAGCAAGATGTAATGTCAAAGAGAAATATATTATCTACATAAAAATGGAACACAAGTTTGGCTACGCAGAATTTGAGAGGAATAAAAAGGATGGGAGGGAAAGCCTCATCATATCCCTCACATGTAAATTTTATGGTCAAAAAGCTCGGTTCATCCTGAAATTTATTTAATATAACAACGTGATAGCTTCTTAAGACAGGGCTCTTACAAAAACGTAGAAGCAATGAAGAGAATATTTCATGATCCAAGAAGGTTTACAGATTCTTATGAAAAAATTTCTTGCTAGAACATAACTAAGGGATGAAATAGAATCATAATACATTCGCCTTCTATAGCAAATAAAGCAAAACAAATTTTTGGTGTTAGAATCGCATCACTAAGGGATGTAATCGCATCCAAGAAGGTACAAAGTTTTTAATGTTTTCCAAACAGAAAGCCCCCTCTATCCCTCAGCCTTCGTAAGAACAATGCATGGTGGGGTATCAAGGCAAGGGTAGGAACAAGATGGACAATGCCATTGGCGAGGGTGATTGCAACCTGGCAGCCAATCGTGGCTGATGCTGATCTATAACAGTAACACATGCGACTTTTTTTATTCGTCCTTGTTCTTCATGCTCTGTCATGTTACAGGTGGAGTTCTTACCATTTCATCTCTCCTTAACAAGTGCAAGTCCAGATATGGAGGGGAATCAGCCACTTTTTCTTCAGTTCCTTTTTTGTTTCCAATTTGAAAGAGAGATCAGATTCTCCCCATGGCACGGAAGATTTCAATTCAAATCGACCAGCCCAGCAGGACTGTTTTTAATATGATGGCTGGATGTCGAGGTGGTGACGAAGGCAAATGATGCTGGGAGGCGGGGCATCACTTTTGACGCATAATCTGAGACTTGTTATTCTCTTCAATTAACGAGTTTTGAACTGGATATCTGGGTTTTTACCGGAGGTGGAGCATTCCATAGTGCAGAGGAAGAGGAGAGAAGTGCAATGACTACTCCTTGGTTAAATCATAGTTGATCTGCATTCTAGATCACTGTATAAAGATCTTACACTGCATCAGTGTAGGTTCCAAGAACAATTTCGAGATAGACGGGAGTTTGTTTAAATGAAAGCAAAATTAAGGCAAGCTAAGGCAGACTATACAGAGAACGAGACAGTGAAAAAAAACATTTTCTAAAATATCTTTAAAGGGGATTTTAGATGATCAAACGGAAATTTAATAATAACTCTATAAGTTAAATTTTATATCCACACTTCATATTAAAATAATATTTTATTAATTATAGAAAGACACTGCAGTATGCCTGTTATTATACGTTCCTTTAAAAAAAAGTTGTCTTGGCATCAGGAACAATGTTGGAATCTTAAAAAATTGACATGCAGCACTCTGTATCAACCAAAGGTATAAATTTTATTGAACCACTTAAACTAATATTATATTCTCGAAATTGTGAAGACATAAACCAGAAGATCAAAAACTCTATTCTGCAAATCGTGAAGATTTATACGTATAAATAGCTTTTGATTTAAAAATGAAAAATGTCTTTCACAATAGCGAGTTTGATTCTTAGTGAATTCTTTTTTAATCTCTGGTCTCATTAGCTCGGACTTGGTTTGGATTACACGGAAAATGAAGTAGAGTGAAGTGGTAATGGGAGCAGGCAGTCGGAGACAGTGAATATAGTAGAGGAAGAAAGGCAGAAGGCGTCAATGGTTTCTTCCTTGTCTTCCTCTTTTTGCTCTTCCTTATTTTCTATTCCACGAAATTTTTTACAAGAGATATAGAACGTTAGTTATCTATTGATGAAATTATGAAGTTAGAAAAAAAGGTTGTTCCCATTTGGATGAGGGCACAGTGCAGATGGTGCTCACTTATACGAGGGACACTATTGCACTGCCAGATCATGGGTTCCCTGCCACTATGACCCAGATGACCAAGGCATAGAACTCAACATTCCAGGGAGCATCGGCATGCATGTTATTGGAATGCTCACCTAGGTGACCAGGATGACATGGGCATGGGGCCACCTTGTCTCCCAGGCAACACGACCATTAAAATAATGCACCAAAGTTGTAAAAATGTCTTTCTGCAAAGACAATCTTTTTTTTAACAAAGTTTCCCAGTGAGTTTGTGATGGCATGAAATTTCACAATATTACACAGCTAGTAAATAGGTCTAAACCAGAAGTGAATGATGTAAAGGCAGAAAAGCGTGCACACATACAAGATACATCTGATATGAATACATGACGATAACTGATGACTCAACTTGTTTCCTGAAACTATTGTTGCCAAAATGGAACTTTTAATTGTTTCCTCTCCAATATTCTCGAAGTCATGTTTGATATTAGTTCAAATTGGATACATCGACCATCAAAGAATATTTGAATGTGACAGTAATAGAAGCTCAGAAATAGACCGCGCATCAGTTAAGTTGACGGATCATTACTCTCAATGAAAATATTTTAAGATGCATTTCATGTCAAAATATGGGACCACAACACAGAATCACATCAATCTGAAAATAATATTTCATAATCCATGACGAATCATGATTGGCCTTAGGTTTAAGAAAAACCATAAATGGAATAAAATGTCAACTGGACAACGATGGCACAATCAAAAAAATCAGGTGCGTCTAGAGAAAAGAAAATAACCTGCACTTCACGATAATGGACCAAAACAATATGTGTATACTCCCTGCATCAATACAGGACAAATGGATTAGCGGCATACATGATTATCTACCATACTGTTAAAGAATTACAACTTTCTCTCAGTCTGATAATAATAACTCAGAAGTTATAAGATATGACTTGACGCAAAGCATACAGATAAAGATAAAGGTCAATGCTACACAATAACGAGAAAAATATACAAAACAAATAAAATTGCCTTCAAGAGATATTTACCAGAGCCGAAAAATGTACAATTGCGGTCTGAAGGGACATTTAATGTAGATGAAAGAATTAATGAGCGAGTTGTTTGCGAAACAAGTTTCTCCTGGAGCCTATCTAACTAGAGAGAATGATCAGCAAACAAGTAATAACAAAAAATCACATCGAACGAAATTTTAAAAAACGGATTACATGAAAAAGGCAACCAGATAAGCAGAATCGATAATCGCAAATAAAGCCATCCAAATTTTCTGCCAGGTAATAAGGCCTTATCAGAAGAGTTCCAGTAGTATGCAAACTGATATCTGGCTCTGCGATTGAGAAGAGTTGCAGAAAAGTATCATACACCCAGAAGAAAAAAACAAAAAAGATAGAAAGGAAAAAAATGTGAGAGATGGGGAGAAAACATGAGAAAAAAAGGAGAAAGAGATTCTTTTTATGACAACAGGGGTAAGCCATTTTCCTTCATAGAATCAGAGAAGTTTAGGAATTTGCCGCCTGTTCACAGGTAGACTGTTTTACCAAGTCCATTTGGAAAGGTTCAAACACCTTTCATCCTGGTCCAAATCATTGGCTTTCTTTTCATGGGTGGGCTCCAACAGCTTGTATCCTTCTCTAGATTAGTTCATAGATACTGAGCAGTGCCAAAAACAAGAAAAAAAAGGGCAAAATCTATCTGCCTCCTGATTTTCGTTATTTAGTCTTCCATCCTTTCAATCCCCAAAAGAAAACTTCACCAAAGTTATATTGCAACTGCTGGAGAAAAGCAGGCCTAGGAATTTCCACAATCAATATCAAAGCATTAAGTTCCTTTTCAGCTCAAACACTTCCTTGGATAAAGCAACTGAGTCCACGTGAAACATTAAACATCATATCATCATTCTACAACCTGGAAAAGGAAAAAGAACGCATAGCTATAATTATCCAAGCTATGTAAATTCTTACTCTTCTAGCATCCAGTAGGTCCGTCTCTGAAATTTTTCATTGTCTTCTCCATGAGCATAGTAACAATGTAACACGTCGATACTCCCATCCTGCAACAATAAATGAACCTTAAGTTTATAGAGTTATTAAACAACAGCTTGAAAAATGAGCCTATAATAGATGGCAACATGCTTCAAAACCAGTGAGATCTTATTAAAAAGCCTTCATGAAGAAATAGTAGAAAATCGAATCGGAAATACCGAGACAGACTTATTCAATAGAGCAATATACGTAACAGTTCATGGAGGATACGTCATCCTGCATTAGACTGTATCTAAATGAGTTACCGGGCTACTGAGCAAAAGGGTAGCCTTCATCTTTTAGCACAAACATAAAAATAAAAATCGCAACGAATCCTTTTTTATTTATATCATATACTTCACTACTCAACTTACAACACGAAAAATAAATGTGCTACTGATCCCAAACTCACTTTTAGCTTCTCATGTGCTTCCTTCACTGTTTTATTATCCTTTTTCTTCCGCCAGTTGTGGCCATCCTTACGGAAGTACCTTAATACCTTTCTATCAAATAAAAAGAGTGAACCACCTGAAAAAATAAAACGAATTTAATTCTTCATATAGATGTGTAAAATGCAAACACATTCATTCAGAACTTCTAGCATGCAATATTGGAGCATTAACATAATGTTCCTCAACAAAAAGGTGCATCCTAATTTTCATTCAAGGAAAGCTGTGCGTACTCAATGGGGAATTATGTCTGACAATTTGCCATCGTTACAAGGGTTAAGCCAGAGCTCTAAGTACGAAAACATAAAACCGAAACAAATAATTGCACACCAAGCACTCAATACCCCAAAGAAAAATGGGGAAATATGGATACATAGGAAAAACATATCATAAGTTGTTCACCCATTTAATGGCTTGAGGGTTTTGCTGATCCAGATTTTGCAAATGATCTGGATAATTGGCTTCTTCTTCAGGGGAAGTCATGTTAGATGCAAAGCTATTCATCAGTTGACAATTGTCATATGTAACACTGAGCAAAATACATAGCAGGAATTGCAGTAAAAATGGTGATTATATTGAACGGAATGTTCTGTAAACTTAGTACGTCAGGAAGTGAATATGGTCCATTGTCAATATCAGTGTGCCATTAATTTGACAAGGATTAGATGTTTCGTGGGAGAAGAAAGCAAATTCGCATAAAATATCACTTTTTTGTGAAGTCATCGCACAAAGTGGAATTGCACTAAGGCTGATACCTACTATTAACAATCTTATTGATATTCCAAGAGTCAGGCCCAAGCATTCCTTGATTTTATTTAATCCCTAGAACTTAAGGTAAGACATGGAGGAAATGATCGAATAGTAAAATCCCAATGTCATATCTGGCATGAACGCAGGAGTTAGCCTCCAAGCCACACCAATTCATTTCCACTGATCCTCTTTCTCATCGATTTTTCATTATTGAATATGTTATGTCTATTATGTGAGTACTCTCAAAGATGGAAACACAATCAAACATAGGAATTTACAAAATCAATAAGTTTTGCACAGTTATCAATATGGATACTGTGAAACGTACATTAGACAAGCAGACGCATTATATCTCTTTGGTGTAAATGACACTATAAAAAAAACATACCAACAAAACAAGAAGTTTTGAAATTTTCTTCTTGGATCTGTGAAAAGGAAAAAGATCAGCTTTGAATAATTTCATATAACATTTTAGCATCCACTTCGCACAATCCAATATAGATATAAACATAAATAAAATAGATCAGTTGAGAATGTAAGAAATCAAAACACAACAAAGAAGAAATAGATGATACCAACAGAACCACATCTGACACTAGGCCATTGCAAAATCTTTTACAAAGTCAAATATCTCTGATCCCAGTGAACAGTTCAAGACAAATTTTCATGACGTAATAAATCAATAACCAAAAGGCATTAAATACTGATATAGTTTTAACAAAAGTAAAAAGAGTTTATAACATTCATACATACCTAAAAGGAATCTATTTCAATGATACACTCTAGATAAGAAATCAATTATTAATCAATTCCGAGGAGAATAAATTAAAGTCCATACTGGGCGGTCTATTAGGAGGCTCTCGAGCAATTTGAAAACTTCTATAATTCCGAAGAATTTCACAGATTTCAGCAGGACGTAGCCATCGACTTTGGGCTTCTAGAAGTATTTGCTGGATATCTGTTCATGTTACAGTGAAATAATCAGAGCCAAAAACTAACTACTCATACCCAATACTTATGATAGCTAATATGCGGATGCTAAAGCTTGGAGAGTTGTATATCCTTTAAAATAAAGAAAAACATACCATACTCTTCCAGAAAACAGACATCAACCAAGGAATATCAACAACAATGAAGAGGAGTAATCACATGGATGGTAACTTATGACCTAAGGTCGATCCAGAATCACCTCCAGGTGCCAACAAGTTTTTAAAATCTTCAGACAAATACGAATTAAAGTTGTTCCGATTCTGCCTCAGACATGTATTATTTTGTTTGTTGTTCCAACTTTTTTGAAGGATATTTACATTAAGTGTTAGCTTTTCGTACTGTTTTTCAAAGTTAATAGATGACAAGAACGGTCGCATTGTTTTTAACCTGTAATTCCTTTTACAAGCCTTGGTTGGTAAGTTTTAAATTTCAAGGTAACCAGACTGACTTTTTGATTTGTGGCAGCGAAAAACCCAATTTACAGTTTACTATTGACCAGTTTTTGGTCATATTGCCGTTTTCTATTGCATACATATGGTCTATCAAAGCAATTCATACAACTGTTCTGCATCAAATCTTTCAATCACAGCTTGAAGTTTGAAACGACATATTTCTTCTTGATACAAAACGTTAGAAATGATAAAAAGGATATAAAGATAAAAATCTATTTTTGAAAAAAAGCACTTGATCACATTATAGGAATAGTAGAACCCTATAATTTGGAAAATGAGAGGCAACAACTAAATTAATAGTTAAACTACAGATGATGAGTGAGTAGTGTGACAAATGGAGAGGTAAAATTTTATTTTCAAAATAATACCGTTAATGTGGAAAATAACACAAAATAAAATTCCCACAGATGAAAAATTAAAGAAACGTGGAAAAACGTTTTTGGAGAAACAGAGGAAACGGATCATCACATCTTCATTCCTAGTACCTTGGAAGATTATTTTCAGATATATGAAGAGAATCCAGAATAGTAATGTTGATATTTATTAATTCATGCAATGCAGTACTGAAAGAAAAGTTCAAAGGAAGAATGAAGTGGTTCCTGCCGCTACTGGCCAAGTACTAGATTGTGCTCTTGAAATTGGGAGAGGAAAAAGATTATTCAAAGAATCCTGCTTCTACAGGTCGTAACTTTATCAATCATTGCTTATGGGCTAAGCAAAATTGCGTCTTACACAGAAAATCCAGAAAAAGGAAGGCATTGATCAGCCCACAAAAAAATTGGAAAAACATCAGTAGCTCAGAAGAGGGTTCTTTTAGTTGAAATAACACGGTTATGTTGACGAGTCAAGCACGTCAATAGACTACCCTTTTCTTTTGCTGTCCAACTGGCTTTTACACTTGTTGAGGAAATGGGGTTTTATTCGGTGTAATACCCATCGTTCTTTTATTTATATAGAATGTAGTAAAGTGTGATCTTATGCACCTTAAAAACGCAGAGACATATTTTACATGATATTTTAAATGATATTTTATTTTACTCATGAGGATTCCTGTTATCTTGACGACTGCACCACTCACATAACAAGAGTGACATATTCTTATGAATGACATAGAGTGAATTTATCCATGGTAAATTGTTTCATGGAGGATCCCTTGGCCTTGTGGACATTTTTAATCAAGATATGCATATCATTACTTCATGCTTCTATCAGTTTATTCGGTCTGAATGCTCTGTTCACTAAGAAGTATTAACTTCAACTAATTTCCCTCCCTATGTTGATAGTTCAACACTAACATTCATATTAGTATCTCTCTGATGCAAACGATTCATGAGCACGTAGTTTAGCAAAACGTACAAAAATAAGTCAATAACTTTGAAAGGAAAAAAACCTAAATATTCGTCTCTCCTTGATGTCGTACGTGGTTTACTATAACTGTTAAGGGTAGTACATGATCAGCAAACAACAGCATCTGAAACCTTTTGAATAACACGCGATAGCCGTTAAAGCAAGGTTCAATTTTGACGTTTGGCCGCAATAATGACAAATGAGAAGAGAGACTATCAAATCCTCCGGTAAGATTTCTATTAGGCAGCTGAACTCGAGGAGCAGAAATAGCGCGAAAAATCCATTCAAAATCAATTCAAAATCCATCCCTAAGTAGGAAGACCGATTACAACTACAAGACCCTGACAAAGGGTAATGACACCAGAGAAAAAAAATTAGACGGAAACGAGTGCCGAAAAAGCCTTGGGCGGATAAATTTATGATCCGAAACCCTTGCCTAGCTGAGGAGTAACCGCATAACGCCTGGCATCCGCCATCGGGCGTTGACTGCTCCGCTTATCCTTCCACCGCTCAATTGAGGAACTCACCGACGCCGAAAATCCCGCCGATCAGTGCCTACGATGAAGTCAGGCCATGAAGAAAAGGGGAAACATGGATACGGGGCCAGATCCGCGGCTACGGAAGCTCAGTAGTACATACCAGAGAACAGCAGACCCTACGGCGCCCCGAATTCGAATGAGATGCAGAATTGGTCCGGCTGAGATGCAGAGAGAGAAAAGGCCTGCACGAGAGACGGATATGTGAACAAGTAGGCTGAACAAAGAAGCCGCCTATATGGAATCTCTAGCCCACAAACCCGTGTTCAGCTCTAATCTCTACGCAGCAGCCAAGACGGAGCTCCTCTCAAATCGGTCAGTATTTGCCACGTATCCCCTCTTGGGTACGTGGCAACACGAGAGACATTAATTTGGGCTTGGAACAGCAGCTCTGTACATAGGATTAACGTCACGTCGTGGTGAACAGCGTAAAAGCGTGGGGTTGGTGGCGCGACTTGTATAGTATGACCAAAACACTTGGGTCACGTTACATTATTCACAGGAATGCCACTTGATACTACTACAGTATTTCGCCACGTGAATGGAGAACGCCTAACGCCGTCAGGGGCGGCGTTGGATCGATGTCCCTAACGTTACGTCTTTCTGCGAGTTTCCGTCTCGCGGTTGCCTACCGATCGGTGGTCCCCGGACGCGACGTTTTTTATCATAATAGTGAAATGGACATTTATTAATTGAGGACTTTCAACTGTAAATACGTTGAAGTTGAAGAACAAACTTTTAGCAACACGATCTCTCTCTCACGTTTGAGGTCAATAGTTAATGTCAACGTCTCGTGTGCGTTGAACATATAGAGCCTTGAACAACGCCCCCCACGCACATGACCCTTCCTCTTTAAAAAATGGAGCGAGACGGAGCTGTTATTTAACTAATTTACAGTCTTATCCTAAAAACCCACGAAAAAGTGAAGTTATTTGCATCCTTCGTCAGCATGTTCTTTGGGAGCAAGAGAAACGAAGCGTTGACTATGAACGAGAACAGTCAACAACTTATGAATCCCATCATAGTTGCAATGGTTCAAAAGGTTTAGAGCTCTTGTTCGCCAAGGGTTACAAGTACATTCTAAGATGTGGAAGATTCTTACTGGAATATTTGCTATGGATGGGAAATATGGCAATAGTAATGGTGGACATGACTTCTTACACTTGTCAAAATCAAAAGTATCATAATCTGTAAATGTTAGACCGTATCATGCTTGATGTTGATAGCACAATAAATAGATGTCAATGTTAATCATGCAATGTTATCTGCTGCTTTTTCACAATCCATGTGAAACCATATGCCAATTAGGCATATTTGACACATCATTGAAAGTCGTTTGCAACCAAGAAGTACCACAGTTTCCTAATTATGTTGGAATCTTCTTGGGGGACATTTGAGTCAACTCCTTTTTGTATATAATATGCTCCACAAGGAGGGGTTCTTAACTAGAATAGCCCAAAGTTGAATATAGATCCAGATCTAAATCAAAGTATATGTATTTGGGAAAATAACGTAGGCACAATAGAGAGGTCAACCTATTATTCAAATTTAACATGCAGTGACTCAAGCAATACCTTAGGGTGGTGCAAATATGGCTACTAAGCACACCCGATGCCCTTTGTGGCCCCAATGTCACATAAAATGATTTAGATTATAGATATGCAGTAAACTATAGTCTTATAGTGCTATGACCAATCACCTCTGGGTTAGTGAATTAGGAGACAAGTGATACTAGAAGCTTATGAGGCATTGAGTGTCGCATAATGATAGGTCAACAGGAGCTTCATACATCATGATGTGGTAGTGCTTATTTCTATTAGTATATTTCAAATTGTAATTTTAAAGATAGTCAAAATTGTGCAAGAAAGTCATAAACTTGATGTTGACTTTCATTAAGTAATATTTGGATTTGTAGGCATACCCACACAAAAGAGTCAAGATAGCAAAGTGGTGCCAATAGAGGATGAGAGAGAATAGAAACCTTGACTTATTGGTGGGTTCAAAGTGGTTACCACAAAAGTTCTCAATTCTCAATGATATAACAAAACTTGTATGTGACAAGGACAAGACATACATCCTCAAAGTGAAATTAGTAAGGAGCATCATCACCAATATAGGACTGCCTCAACAACCTTGTGCCTTGAACAAAGTACTCTGTCCATTCCACAATCCATATTACATTTGAATAGAAAATTTGTGATTTTTTTCCTTTTCACAAGCCATTCCTATTCTAATTTTCTTTTGAGCCTTAGTATTTCATGGATATGCTCTCATGGTACTATTAGGATTATTGTCTTTTTTCTTAAGTTAATGAAGGACCAAATAAAACCCAAGATTGTGAGGAATTGGCTCTTCTAAAGGACGGATAGGACGAGGGGGCAAAGGCAAGAAGTCCTAATCTAGCTTGGTCATAGATGATCACTCCCTTCTCCATCATCCATCTTATTTCCCTTCTAGCACTTATTTTCTTCCTCCTCTTAGATGGTCTCAATCATTTTCTCTCCCTATCTTGCCCTCCCTATTCATATGCCTTTAGTGAGCAGCCACACTTGCCATGCATCCTTGCCCATGCTAGCTTGTGCTAACACCTTTACGCCACCTTAACCTAATTGCATGCTTTCTTGCACCCCTCTTGCGCATGTGTCTATCTATTTCCATGTTCACCCATCTGTAACAATTTAAGCATCAACCTGCATTCTGACCCATGGACGCATCTCTGAAAATTAGAAAAGCTATGACACCCTCGTCCTTTAGCCACTTATGCGCTACACCCATTTGGATTAAATTACTTAATCTGTATTCATTAGGTTGGATCTTGTTTTATGTTATACAAATACTATTTATTTCTTATTAGACAAAGATGAATTCCTCCATATTCTTCCTCATCTCTTCGAAGACCGACACATGTCTCTACCACACTAATCTGGTGGTCGTTTCTAAGAAACTTCACTACAGTCGTTTAAACTTAGACATGCACCACCAATCTTGTCTTTATTGAAATCATAGATGATTTTAGATGGTTATGAGCAGGTCTTGTGTGAGTATGGGTTGATTCATTGCTCTCATCTTGTCTTAAATAACCATTCCGACTTGAGTATGGCAATGGTCTATTTGGAAAACTAGGCTTCATCATGGTTCAGCTCTTGGTTCATGTAGAACTTGCCGAAGCATCAGCGGTTGACCTCTTCGTTGGTGCATCCCCAGAGTTCACTGCCAGACAATATGAGACATCCAGCCCCTGGTCGGCTAGCTTCAGCCATCTACATTAGGTGAGTTACATCATGCTAGTACCAACATGTTGGTGCCTCTTATCATCCTCACGTGGTCATAGAAACTCTCTTCGCTCTCTCCACCCAGGCCACCGTCAATCTGCATCCACCTAGTATGGCGCAGCAGGCAGGCTAAGAGACCTCGGTGACTGCAGACTCATTCGTCAAGAACCTGGCCCCAGTCCTTGGTAGCAAAATCATCCAGAAGGCTCTTACCATGTTGAGTATAATGTTGGAGGCTTCTCTTTTCTCATGTTTTGGCATCGGTCCCTCGTCGTGATGGAATGTGATATCCTCCTTTAAGCTGGTAAGTTGGCAGGGATCCCCCATTCCAAAGGCTTCTGCACTTTGCTCGTCCCCTTGAGCAGTCTTAGTGAGGGCCCAGGGGGGCCTGCTGGTCCCTCAGCTTCCCCAGTGATGGAGCACTCACATCACTGGAAGAGTGCAAACCCTGCCCTTCGACACGGTGCAAAGAGAAGTAGCATTGCCAAGCCATTCCACAAGGTGCCGATATAACGATGAGATGGGGCAGGAAGTTCAAGCCTTGAGTGTTCCGAATACAAAACAAAGGAGTTCTCCATGCTGCCTTTGGTGTTGCTTTCAAACCGTTAGACCATCGACCCAATGAAAGCCGCCAAAGGAACCAAATGTACCAGGGGCCCTCCCCTTAATGGAGTTCATAATCCACGTATTTCTGTGTCTTGTGGATGTTTGGTTTTCGTTTTCTTTGCCCTACTGCACATAAGATAAGCACGGCAGCTCATTTTCCTAATTCCAGAAAAAATTAAGTTCTATTAAAAAAAAGAAGAAGACCTGGAAATAGGACTTTTGAGTTGAATGCAACAAGTCCTTTAAGATGGCGGGGGTCCTCCCAAGTACTTCTGAGTTGAGTGTAAAATCACTGAACTATCGCACTAAGTATTTGGGGGTCCCCCAAGTACTTTTCAGCTGAGTGTGAAATCATCACTAAACAACCCTCCCCCCCCCTCCCCCGCGGGTATAGAGCAATGGAGAATATCTATTCTATTAGTCAAAAGGGCAGACGATCCACAGACCCATAGACAAGAAAATGACTAAACTCCATACATCTGATCTCAATTTTTTATTGAACTTTACTAAGAGTGAGAACGACGTAAGGCAATCATATTTTTATTTCTATGATAATTTTGCAATGACGTAAAGTGGGAATTGTGCATTCGTATATAGTTTTCAATATCAAAACCAGATTGGCTCTAAGAAGCTAAAAAATGTCAATACTAGTGTGATGTTCGATGGACGCATTTAAATTTTCGTGCGTTATCACAATACCTGAGGCTAAATTAAAGATTTGAGATATGCTCTTGTCTACTTGACTTCTTGAACCTTGGTATTCAGTATTATAATGAAGGAAACGTTACAAGACATTTTCCTACCAACGTTATGAAAATATAAACCACAAAGCAACACTTTGTGTCAATGTGTTAGGCTTAAGAATAATATCTTCTCAATGACTAGCCCCATCCCTAGTCCCAAAGTACAACTCAATAACTACATTCTAAGGTTGACCCTCAATTTTTTTGATACGTTAATTGAACTCACTTTCATTTCAAGGTGTCTTAATGAAGGTCAACTTTGTGCATTTTCTTAATATATGGTAAGATGCCAATATCAATGTCCCCACAATGGCCTCACAAAATTCAAGAAATCTTGTATCAAAGATCAGGATAGAGTATGTAAAATTAGAAAATACCCCGCAATGGGTTAAATTCAATAAACATTAGAATTGTAGTTACTAAGAAGCTATCAAGATCCTAGGATATTGGGCGGGTTAGTTCTGCAGGAAACGACCCTAAAGAAAGATCTTATCTAATAACAAGATGGCCTCTCTGTTTAGTCTTGGCAATCTCACCCAAGCTCTCTCAGGCTAACAGTTTATACAACTCAAAACTCAGAAATCTTCATTAATCCTTGATAACAAGGATTACAGTATTAAATAGCGCCCACATGACATTATAGGGATTACGAGTATGGCTGAGGTAGAGAGAGAGAGAGAGAGAGAGAGAGAGAGAGAGAGAGAGAGAGAGAGGTTCGCCGTTACTTGTTCGGACGCTCCTGCGTCTGTGGGGTCGGCTTCAATAGTGGAAGGAACTATCAGATGGAAAACGTCCCATGGCCGGATGATCTCAAGATTTTGCAGTCGTCAGAACGTCTTCAGCTCTTCTAACCCCCCAGCCACCACAGAAGCTTCGTTTCCTAAAAGGATATTGGTGCCAACATGAAATAACGATGAGTCTCATCCATGATTAGCCGAGGCGCCTACCCACCACAAGGACAGCCACGTGACCGGCGCTGCTGCTGGGTCTGCCCGCCCTCGACGGCAGAAACCTTGCTGAGCTTGTACTCCCTCGCTTGGGCGAGCACGGCGGCCGTCCAATTGATGAAATGGGTCTCGTTGTGGCCGAGCAGCTGGTCTTTGTAGAACAGGCTGAAGCATCGGGGGTCCGTCTTCGGTAAGTCGCAGGCCACCCCGGTGGGGTCTCTCCAGGCCCCCCTGTGGCGCATCCCCAATTTCGCCGCCAGCCAATGGTAGACGTACTGCCCCGGCCCCGCCATTTCGAGCCACCCGTTCGGGAAAAACTCCATCACGCTGCTGTTCTGGTCCATGAAGATCATGTTAGTCAGCTGCGCCCCGTGCGGCGACACCAGCACGTCCGTGTCGCTCATCAGCTTCACCTGGTCGCAGAAGCTCTCCAGTTTCTCCGTCCAGGCCACCGTCAGCCGGCACTCGCCGAAGCCGGCGCAGGCCCGCCGGAAGGCCTCGACCACGGCCGACTCGTTTTTGAAGGACCTCGTTCCCGTTCTCATCAGGACCGTCATGCGGACCACCGGGGACCCCCCTCTCTCGTCGTCGTCGCCGGCGGAGGTGGCGTTGCAGAGTGCTCTCGCCTTGCAGCGCAGCATGTCGTAGGTTTCTCCTCTCTTCCGCATGGACATCCTTCCCTCGTTGTGGCGGAAGACGACGGCCTCCTCGAAGCAGGTCGGCTGGGAGGGATCTCCGATGGTCTCGATCCTCACATCTTGGCCCATGGCCGCTTCGGTGACGGCCCTGACCCAGGGCCCCATGACTTTCTGCAGCTCCCCTCTCGTGTACAGCAACCACCTCGCCGGCGGCTTGCAGCCGCTGCTCCTGTACCAGCTCACGAAGGGAACCACTGCCCCCAGGCCGTGCCACAGGTTTCTGTAATCGTAGAAGATGTCGGAGACGAAGGTCAGTCCCGGGAGGAGGGCAGCGCCGCCAGGTAGGGCGTCCGACCAGGCCAGAGCGTAGGAATTCTTCGTGCCGTCGGCGGTGTGGTTGCGGGAGAGGCAGAGCAGCCGTCCACCGGAGGCCGGCGAGGGGAACCGGAGGTGCTGCGCCTCCTCGCCGTCGTAGGTGTCGTTCAGGGCGGGCATGAAGTACGTCTCCCCATCCGCGGTTAACTTCGCGTCCGTCAGGGGGAGGAAGACGACCGCGTCGCGCAGCCTCGAAGTGGTCTCGGCAAGGCTGGCGGCGCTGCCGCCGCCCTTCACCCAGTCCCATATAGTGAAGACGCTCCACTCTGGAGAAGGTTCGGGGGAGGGAGAGTACCACCTGACCGTCTGGATCTGGAGGACGACATGGATGAGGAAGATGAGGACGATGGAGAGCAACGCCCCGCGTAGCAACGCGTACATTGAGGGGAAGGTGAAGGACGTACTGCTATCCCTATCCTTGCCCATGGTGACGCTGGGTCTCCACTTCTCGTCAAGATCTTTCTTTTATGGCCTTTCTTCTGCAAGGCAGTGACAAGTGGAGGGAGACTTCTACCCTGCCCGCCAAGTCGGCCAAACAGGAACATGCCCACGTGGCTGCTCCATTTCCGCCACGTGGTCTACCGCCTGACCCGCCATGGGCGATGCCGCGCTGGTGGACAAGGATGGAAGTCAACAGGTTGGCAGATAACCGGCTTTCCTCACTCGCTTTCATGAAGATGTTGAGGCCACCATGTTACGCAGATCTCGTGGGAAGCGACGAGTGCAAGCCCAAAGAGCCTGGTCCACACTCGTAAACCGATCCATGTGACCTTCCCACCTGTATCCGCCTTGGTAGGCACGACTGAAGCAGAAAAAAATCGGTTTTTTTCACAACTAGATCTGCACAAGAGCCTAAAAACCCGAACTTTACGCCGATTTATCTACCCTCGAACATGATGTTTGAGTTTCCATGACTTGGTGAACCGTGCCTTGAATATTAAAATTTAGCAAAATCAGTACCCCAATGTATAAAATCTCCGAGTCCTTACCGAGATATATACTAATTATTTAAAATTTATGTCTTGCCCTTAAAGACTAATTTTTTTTTGTAAAGCCTCTACAAGATTCACACTAAAAGCTAAGTTTTACATTTATTTCACTAAAAACTCAAAAAAACTGATCAATTGAAAAAAACGCCTCAATATATAGATATTTTTCTGATCTTTTATTACTTGAGTCATCTTCTAAGTAGCTGCTGCAGCCAGAGGGTAGACTCTAAATATGGCTCATATTCTGACTCTCATGGAGCCACCAGCCGTAGAAAAGCCTTTTTTCCTTCTTTCCGAACGATTTCTCTTATAGCTGGATGATCAGGTAGATTCGTTTATTCTTCTTGGATATTTGAGCTCCTATCTCAATATTCTTAGAGAAAAACCATTTTTAAAACCTTCTCAGAACCGTATCATAATGATTCGGATTCTGGACTTCCATTTGCTAATATCTTAACTGGGATCCGAGCAAGCCGTGGGAATGCTATTATTCTTGTTATCATCATTACTATAATAATAATAATAATAATAATAATAATAGTACTAGCATTCCGACGATGGATGAGCTGCATTCAATGTATTCAGAGAGAGGGGAGTATCTATCTTAAATGATCTTCCTCACTGCAGCAAAACCCACGGCCATGATAATAATAATACTACTGTTAGTAGTATTTCAGCGATGGATGAGTCAGGGTTCAATGTATTCAGAGAACGGAAATATCTATATTAAATGATTGTCCTGAGTGTAGCAGAACCCACGGCCGTGATCTGACGTCCTCCGCAATTCTTTCGGATCCCTACAGGTTCCCTTGCGACGACACTGACTCGACTCTAATCCGATAACCCAATATGAAAAATTAGTGAGTAGATGTCATGTTCACTGGCATAGAGTAAGCCCGAAGGCCCATCCCCCAAATACCAAAGAAAGTGGGGCCCGAACTTTATCAAAACCCCACTTTCGATCGGTTCTTCGGGCTTTTCTCTGGGATTAAAGGGGCATGGGCCTTTGATAAAAGGGGGGTTTTTGATAAAGCTTTATCAAGTCGACAAAATATTTATGGAAAGGAGTTTCCTTGAAATAAAACAATCATGGAGAATTCCCTCAGTTATCGACAAAAAAAATATAGAAAATAATGTAGAAAATAACATTTTCGTCCTTCCTGCTGCTGTTCTTTCTTGGGGACTGCTTGAGCTAATGGCTAACTATTTATCGGAGGGGTGCCTCAAGGTTAGAAGTACGAGTACGAAGCTGCAGTAACAATCTTGATCTTTTAGAAGAGGATGCCTAGGGATTGAAACCTGAGCATCATTCATTACGCAGCCCGCGCACGGCACGGCAGTTGGGACGTTCCATATAGGTTAATTAAATAAGCATTCTTACCATATAATACTAGCTACTCATAGTAGATTTTGGGCATTGGATTTCTAGAAGTACGCTAGCTTATAGTAAAGTATCAGCCAAGAAAATGTAACCGCTGTTGATCTTTTAAAAAAAATTAATACTTGTAAAGAAGTATGGGGTGAAACAGTTAGGTTTTATATCCTTCTCTATTTTTATAGTAAAATGGGGATTTTTAAGAATTGTATGGTTAAAAAAAGAAGATTGAATGTTAGTCTTTATTTTCTTATTTTGTCAGGAAATTCATAAGACTTTTGTGAAAAAAGGATCCATAAACTATATTTATTCTTGAAGTTTGAGTTATTGAAGATACTTTGAGGCTTATCAATGTTCAGTTTTCAACATAGTGAATGTTTGTTTTGAGGCCTAGGGTCACTTATATTGTAAATAAGAAAGACTCTTTTGCAAGGTAGTCATAGACGAGTGTGTGGGGGTGGCTTAGAGCCACACAAAAATGGAGAGAAATCAGAAATAACTGGATTCAGATAAATGTATTCATATTTAAAATTAAAAGTTGAGAGAAGTTATTCAACTTAGATGTGAAGGATGATGGATGGAAGTAGTTAAAAAGGTAGATATATATGCAGATAGAGAGAGAGTGAGGAATTGATTTCTTCTCTAATGCTTACATGTTTTTCAGAATATATTGAAAGAAGTTTCGTGGACTCACACAAATACAAAACTATATTGTAACATATTTCTTTCATAATATGATATATTCAATTCAATCCATTTTTTTGTATGTTCTTCTAATTAATTTGGAAAGCATTTCAACAAAAGCTATAAATATGAAAATAAATGCAGTAAAAAGGCATAATTAACAAAATAAACCTCAAACAACCCAATAAAAAATTTTAAAAATATATTCCACCACAAATCAAGAAACTCAGAGAAGTAAAGGATGAAAAAACTATCACAAATATATGATTTCCTCAAGAACACATGCCAATGAGTATGATGCACCATACTAGCACAAAAATGGACTAATTTTTTTTTTTGCCTCTAAAAAATGAATTGATATTACCCCATTGTTAACCTATAGTTGAGAAGGAAGAAAAGTCAAAACAGCCCTCAATAAATGGCATTTTCAAGAAGGTAAATTAGTTTAGAGGTCATGAAATGGACTGAGATATTAGCATTTCCTTTGGTAATGTAGAAATCATCTTTTGAGTCTCCTAGTGTGGAAAGGTGGGAGAGACATGTTAAATCATTTCCCTATTTGTGATTGGATCATATTGTAGATTTTATCAATTTCACCCCCTCTATTCTACTTTTTGTCTCCTTTATTTTGTCTCTTAATCAAAGTGTTTTCATATTTAGATCTTACCATTCTAGTATTAGAGGTAGATGTAAGGATCGATTGGTTGAAGATGATTGATTCTCATATGGAGACATTCGAAAAATAAGTCATTAAAGAAGTATAATAGAGGATGGTCAACAAAATGTCATGAAGATTCAATCATATTATCTAGTGCATGAAGGAATAGTTTACCACATAAGGCCAAAAAAAGATATTTAGATCTCGATGTTGGAATGTCTAACCTCTTCCAACAAGATAGGCAATGATTCTTATTGTGCTTGTCCTCTTTCTTAGTGACATGATGCAACTAGTTATGCCTAATTTAGTTCTCTTCCCATCAACTAGTTAATACTTTATTAGGAGAAGAAATATTAGAAAAAAAGGGAGGTACACATGACTGAGGTCTATTTAAACTTTGTTGTAGGACTCAATTATTTGGACATCATGAAGATAGAAGACACCATATAAGATTGAGATGTAATGGTAATAGTAGACTATGATATAACACACAATTTTCTTTAAATTGAATTGATTAAACATCTCTAATCATACTTGTGTGATTTTATCAATTATAACATTATTATGGAAAAAGAATTTATGTGGGAGTGATTTTTAACATGCAAAGATTGACCATAATTGAAAACTACTTATTGTTGGAATTTGAAGTCATTGATATAATTTTCACCATGTAATGGCTCAAATCAACTAGGTGGATCCACTTACATTAGTACATGTTGACTATAAAGTTGTGGATCAAATTTAATAAAAATCTTCAAGGGACATGCAAACTTGTGCAAGATAAATATTTTTCTACAAATTACAGAATGAGAATTGAAGACAGGCCCATTACTACTTATGTCTCCTTGTGGAGGTGAAGGAGACCTAAATGATATCTCAATTTGTAGTTAATCTCCAAGACAAGCTCCAACTCAATTTTCTTTTGACTTTTTTAACTAATAAAGAAGTTTAAAAAGAAACATGGATCATGTTATTTTTACGCATAAAATTAAATATTTGGTTCAACAAATATGTGATACTAAAATTTTTCAACTTTCCAACAATCCATACTCTACTTTGGCATTATGGCTCAAGAAAAAAGATGAGAATTGAAAATTTTATGGAGAACACTAGGCACTCAATAAGATGATTGTGTCAAATATGACTTTTATACCTAATTAAATCTCAAATTTAGTTAAGATCAAATAAAAATCAAGAAGATGATACTCACAAGATAACTTTAAAGACATGGCATTACAAATTTAATGTAATACCTTTTAGCTTATTCAATGCATCAACCACACTTCAATATTTAATGAATAAGATTTTCACCCCTATTTATTTCATTTCATCCTAATTTTCTTTTGATGAATTTATAACATAATACAAACATAAAATCACATACTACAAGTATTTTCAATTTTAGTTTGGAGCACATAGAAATACCTCTTTAACTAAAAATAGTTGAAATATTAGGAGTATTTGGATCTCAACAACATGGATAATTTTGGATATTAAAAGATTATGTAGATAACTAATTTAGCAACCCCCAAAGAATAATCAAAGGTTCTGGAGTGTTTTGGATTTGATTAGTTACTATTGCAGGTCGATAATAGGTTATATAACTATTGTTTGGTCATTGACTTAACTATTGAAAAAAGATATCTACAAATAGAGCTCTAATGTGCATAAGTTTTTTGATAACTGTAAATAAGTCATGTTTATTACTTCGGTACTCACCTTAATTTCTCTCAACCCTTTATTTTGAAAATTGATGTATTAGATTATAAAGTGAGAACCATGTTGATGTAACACAAGAGACCAATGTCTTATTACAATCAAACATGATCAAGTGAGATTATAGAAGGAAAATAATTGTCATTATGATGGTTGTACAAAAATGGTGTCAATACATTCAAAAATCAATTGTTCATTATTTACATAGATCAATATATTTTGAAGTATCTAATAAAGTAATTTTAGTTATATTTTAAATATCACAAATGCCTTATTAAACTTATAGGCTATGACTTCAAAATCAATACAAAGAGGAGAGGAGGAATAAGATAGATGACACCTTATCTAGGGCCCCCAACTTGATTGAATCTAGGACAACAACAATATCTCAAAGCTACTTGTTCGATACCCAAAGAATTAAGACAAAATGGTAAATAACTCCAAGTTGAGAAACATCATAAGAAAAATCTTTCAAGGTTAGAGTCCTACCCCAACTATTCTGTACACAAAATATCATTACTTTATAAAAATTGATTGATACTTTCTACTAATTCTACTTTGGTTCTTTTTATTTTATGAGTCATATAACAACTCCATAAAAGGACATGTTGGGTACCTTAATATCTTTACATGGGTTGCTATGTATGTGTATTGAATTAGAATGAAGAAAAAAATCAAATAGCATGTGGATAAATACAAGATTTACTAATGAAATAAGATATCTTCTTTTCCATTTCTAGGGTTACTTCAACCTCCCTTAGTTCTCAACAAAATTTAAGAAGACATCTCAATGAACTTTATTCAAGGGTTTTCAAAATTAGTTGGATACAATAGAACTTTAGTGGTGGTAAAGTATACTTATTTGATCCCTCTTATGCACCTTTTCACTACATAAGAAGAGTCTGATATTTTTATTCTAAAAGTCATACATTTACATGGCCTATCTAACGCAATTGTGACTATTAGAGATTGAGTTTACACTAAGATTTTTTATACCAACTATTCTAATATTTTTTATTGATCTAAATAAATAGTAAAAAACAAAACTTAAGATGAGCTCATCACATTGCTTAGAAATAGATGATTAATACAAAATTGTCAACATGTTTTTAAAAAGTTATGTGCATTTCATCTAACATGTTTAGACCTTTTCACTCATCCACCAAAACCACTCTTTTTAAATTGATCTATGTCAAAGATCTTGTTGTCTTCTTACAATATGAGTATTCTTATTCTCCTTTAGTTGTGGTAGATCAACAATTGTAGGAGTGGGATCAAATCCAATCTCTCCCAGTATTGCACATCAATTAGGCACAATTATAGATGAAGCAAAAGATTGATAAACACAAGTGCCATGCTCAATTTCAAGAGGGAGACCTAGTTTATCTCTATCCTAGACCCTACAAAATGAAGTCATGAATTAAGAAACTAAATAAAAGCCAATGCTGAAATTCTTTAAACCCTACAAAGGCTTGGTTCTTGTTGGATTGGTTGCCTATAAGTTGGATCTTCTTGCCCATAGTTCTCTTTATCCCATGTTTCATATTTTATAACTTTGTAGGGTATTAAGACATTGATTGTGATCAACATTTAAGTGAAGACATGACTTAAGATTATTTAGGAGTTGTTGCAAGTGGGGTCATATTCTATTAGAGGTTTTAATCAAATGGGTGCACCTTCTAGACTTCAAAACTTCTTGGGAGCCAACAACTTCCATTCAACTCTAGTTCCTAGATTTTTACTAGTGAAAGAAGTGGTGGAAAGTATTGACATGACTCCACTAATAATCTATAGTTAGAGAAAGAAGAAAAAGAAAAATCAGAAAAGTTTTCAATAAATAGGGTTTTTAGGAGAACATATTGATCTAGGGCTATCAATCATACTAGAGTATTACAATTTCCCCTAGTAATGTAGAGATCATCTTTTGGGAGTTATATTATGTAGAGGTGAGGGAAACCTTTCAAACCATTTCCCCACTGGTGATTGAATTCTATTGTGGATTAATTAATTCTACCTTGTCTACCATATTACTTATTCCTATTCCTTAATCAAGGGGTTTTCTTAGTCAAATTGTACCTAAAATCTATTATAAAGAGTACAAGGGATATATGGGGATACATGTTTATGACCTAAGTAGGATGAGAGTTCAATAATCTCAATTGATGTAACTTTGAACTTGTTTATACAAATGACCCCAAACAAAACTATAAGAGAGTTTCAAACTAACTTGTGAAAAGTGATATGACAACATATCTTTGCCAATATGAATAAATGACAAGCATTATATCTATTTGTGGGTTATTGTCTTAAGTTACTTATTTTCTTCACAACTTTGGACGATAGCATAAAACACCAGAGAGGAAATAGATTTATTTCCAATCAAGACTACATGTGATCACTTTGACACCAATTAGGCCTCAATAAGCACTTAGATATTGGCATCCTTTAGCACCCAATGAAATAAACTAATTTTAATTGTTAAAAAAGCAATATTCAACCCACACTAATTTATCTCCTTCAAAATCATCATAATTTGAATCTATGAATCAAGTGATCAGACAGATGGTCAATGATTTGAGGAAAATCCACACCGTCCAAATGAAGGGTATATATTTTTCCATTCACCATAAGGGAAGCATCCAATTAGAATAGATAACCAACATAATGAAAAGGTTATATGCTTATGATCATTTTCACACTAAGCTGTTATTAGGCCTCATTATTCTGGACTCCTTTCAAGAGTTATTACATCCACTCGCTGTCCAAAAGATCATTACATAAATCGTATGTCTCCATTACTCCTACTTTCATTTTCTAATCAATAAAATTCAAATATTTCACTAACATTTCCATGCATCTTCATAGGCTATATTTAATATTTCAAAATATTATATTACATGGGCTTTGTTCATTTACAAGTAACCATCCAAAATTAGAGATTTTTAGCGGTGTATTTACCCTTCTATAATTCGTTCGGGTTTTGACCTTGTTGAACGCGGTGTAACCGGAGCATTTAATCCGTCTTGTATGGTAGACGATATTAAAAGTCTAAGAGATGAGAGGGGGCTATGTGGTGCTGACGATATCATTTTTTTTCTTCCTGGGGTTGAACGTCACGATCCTGTGCAATCTTTACCATGAAAGAGAGGTTACGGACAAATTTTCACGGCTTTCAAAGAGAAAGGTCTGGTCCTTGGTCCTCGCCTTCATCGCCTGATATCGACTGGAGGACGAGAACGTACAACGTTTCGGCTCTGAAGTTCTGATCGTGATAGTTGACGAAATCTCTGCCCGAGAGACAACGGGTCAATCTCGACAGGGGCTGTCGTGCATCCGGAGGGGTTTACGCCTTCACCTCCCGAGAGACTGAGAGGTGTTGCCGGAATTACCTCTCAGGTCACCCAAAGTCCTGCGTGATCGACTCAGCGATGTAAAACGGCGATTTCCCTGAAGAAAGGCGGGAGTTACAGTGAGGATTTCCGCGTCGGCGCGGGAAGCGGTGGAATGGAAGGGAAGAAGGTGGAGAAAATCTCCCTCCCCCACTGCTCACGTCTGCCTTTTTAGTGCACCGAGAATGGGCCGGTAAGTCAACAGGAGAGACGACCGCTTTTCCCTTCAAAGGGGCTCTCTACTAGAACGAGTACGCAGGATTTCCGGGGGGCGCAGTTCGGAAGTTCTCCCTCTTGCTGGAACCTTTTCGTCTTGCCGCACCCGTTCCGCCCCCCCCCTCTCCCCCATCCGATCGGTGAGTCCATGCCGGTCGTGACCGAATTGATGGTTTGCTCTTCGCTCTTTCCGAGTCTAGGGGATTGATCGGTATCTCATTCTGGGTTTCTTCTTCCCCGCAGGGTGGCGGAGCTCGTGAGGAGCTTGGATCTCTGCTAGGAGTCGATGCGGCGAACCTAGGGGTTTGATAGGGAAAGGATCTTCGTATGGATAAGTTTTGCTGCTTCAAGGCATCGGGTCCTCAGGTGAGGAGGAGTAGCTCTGTTTCTCCTTGATTCTTCTCTCCACGCGCGTATACCGCTGCAGGTGGATGATCAGGCCATGGAAACTGTTGCTGCGGTCCATTCACCGCCCTGCAGTGCTGCTGAGCGGGAGAATTATCTTGATCCGCCCATGTCTTTTTTCTCTTCCCCTCTTTCCTCTCGTGCAAACCCCCTTCTCCTTTCTGATGAACCATAGAAGTCGGGCTCCGAATTCCAGTTGCAGCCCGTGGGGGGTTTCTGTGAATTTTCATTTGGACCGGAGACCGATCTTGTCTCCCTTGCTTCTGCAGAAAATTTAGCCGATTTGCCTGTCTAAATGCGAAATTTGCCTACGGTCACCGGGTCCTTCTTCAGTCGAGTTTCTTCTAAATCTTAGGGCTCTATCCATGACTTGTTGACTTTGCTACTGCAATTAATTAATTAATTGATTCAACTATGTTAAATTTGTTAAATAGGAGAACTCTGTCCTTGATCAGGCTCTATCCAACACGCGTTCTTATGTTTCAGCTGGTATCTGTTTCCTTTTGTAAAATCTATCATCATCAACATCTATTTGACTATTTACCTCAGGGCACAGTATCCTTTTGCCCTGCAGACCAACCCTATTAATGATGGGTCCGGTCGCATGATTTAAAAATTGGATGAGAATGCTGTCATCCTGGTTGTTTCTTCCCTTTGGTTCTTTGAGCCTAGTAGAGATTATGGTCTTGTTTTACAGCCGTCAGCTCAGCCTTCATGCAGCGTTGGCAAAGGGAAGAGCAGCCAGAGCAGAGTCAAGATGAGCTTTGGGTACAGCCTTGTCAAAGGCAGGATGAGCCACCCCATGGAAGACTATCATGTGTCCAAGTTCATCAGGATCAAGGGTAAAGAGCTCGGGCTGTTTGCTATTTTTGATGGCCATTCGGGAGACGGTGTGCCTGCATACCTTCAAAAGCATCTCTTCTCCAACATTCTAAAGGAGGTAATTTGGGCAAGATGGATGGAGGCCTTTGAGTTGTTTTACCCTTGCCGCCTGATCCTGCTCACATCGATATTTCTGTGGCTTTAGGATGAGTTTTGGACCTTTCCTGAGAGGGCTATCTCAAGAGCTTTTGACAAGACAGACCAGGAGATCCTCTCCCACAGCTCTGGTATGGGCCAAGGCGGTTCCACCGCTGTTGTTGCCATCACCATAAACGGTCAGAAGCTATGGCTAGCCAATATTGGTGACTCCCGAGGAGTTCTTGTGAGAGGTGGGCAAGTGATACAGGTGACGATTGATCATGAACCCATCACAGAGCGTGAGAGGATAGAGGACAGCGGTGGATTCGTTTCAAACATGCCAGGTGTTGTTTTTTATCACCCTTTCTTGGATTAATTCGGGTCTTCTTGCTTTTCATATTCTTATATTTTTTTCTGAAATTGTGTGCGACTAGTCAAATAATCCTGTGTGATGGGACTTGGATAAAACCATATCCTGAAGAGTTTTCTCTTTGGAATGCTGTCGTAGTCATTTCTTCATGTTCTTTTTTTTTTGTCTTTAGGGCTTTGACGCCCATCTAAATGGAAGGTGTGGGGGGATTCTCAGCTTGGGCTGAATTCGAGCGCCGCTTTGTAGAATTTACTCCTGACTGCCGTTTCCATTGGTTCTAGTGATAAAAAAATTGGTCTTAAGGAGATCTTGTGAAGGTTTTATTTGAAAATCCTTCTCTGCTAATAAGAGCATAAAATCGAATGCCATGATGAACACCGTAGAAATCTTTATTATGAACAAGAGGGAAACGAAGTTAAGTGTTGCTATGGACAAGAGGGAAACGAAGAAGATGGTGAAAACTGTCTCAGGTTTGCAAGATTAAAGTTTGTTGATCAGTGGATGAGTCAACTAATGTCTTGATTCACCCTGAAAAGGAAACAGAGTAGACGGCCATTGACTGAATCATCTGACACTCGAGCAAATCAGTTTGAACGGGTAATCTTGAATCGAAGAAGCCTTACATCTCCATCTTTGCTCCATAGGAGCTCTTTTAGGGGGACGATTAGAAGTTGGGTAGAGAGAACTGCGTCAAAACATTTTTCTCTCTCATCGTTCATTTGTGAAGACTTTTGTCTTCTGCAAAGAGGCTTGGCTTGAGGTTGAGCATGAAAGAAAATGAGAGAATGATCATTCATGTAGAAAACCCTGTTGCATTCAAAAGCCGTGAGAGGGAGTGATTTGCAATAAATGGCGGGCACCATCTGTCATCTCTTCTTTGTCAGAATTGGCCGCTTAGATTGATTACTGGCCATTTTCCATCTGATTTCAAAGCTGATGAATTGTGACGAGTCATTAAATTATAAAAATGCAGGATCGGGCATTGAATTATCTGATTTCACTTGGATTGACCAATTCTGGGCCAATCTCGCTCGATTGCTATTATGCACTCAGTTCCATAAATTAAAACGTGTACGCGTGTGGTTTCATACCACGCTTTTAGTGCATATGATCTCTGCCAGTTATGGTTGAATACTTGGCTTAAAATTTGGTTAAAAGTGTTAAAAACACAAATATATCGACTGATGAGCAACATGAATATTAACAGTGATGTGAATATTGATAGTTGGGTCTCTAATCATTGGTACTCTTAAATTTCGGAGATTTAGCTTGCATTGTTTCCCAGAGCATGATGGGAATCGCATTCATTTTTATATGACAGATTCTTTGCACTTCTCTTCGTTCATCCAGGATGCGTTAACTTCTGATAAAAAAGGGCTAATTTTCTGCCCACCGCCTGCCATTGGACGCAGCTTAGATCGATCTTAGTGGTGCTCTTGTGTAATGGCTTAATGCATAGAATAATCGTGGCTTATTGTCAGCTGTCGGATAATTGCCTCCTTGAAATCCAAGAACTGATTTATTATTGCATATATGATTTAGGAGATGTCCCAAGGGTCAATGGTCAACTAGCTGTGTCCCGCGCCTTTGGAGACAGATTGCTCAAACCACACCTGACCTCGGCGCCAGCCGTACGCGCCGTAGACATAACCAATGACACCGTGCTCCTTATCCTTGCTAGCGACGGCATTTGGAAGGTTCTTTCCGTCCCATCACCCAGTCCTCCATTTCCCAGACACTCCTCCCCAGTTCCTCACTCTCTCTCTCTCTTCCGTGGATAATATATATATTTCAGGTCATGAGCAACCAAGAGGCGGCTGACATTGTGAGGACGGTGCAGGACCCGAAAGAGGCTGCCAAGCGACTGACCGATGAAGCGCTGAGAAGGGAGAGTAAAGACGACATATCCTGCATCGTTGTCAGATTCAAGGCATAGAGACCCCCACCCGGGTGTCTGAGGCTTCTCCCTTCTCCTCTCTGCCCGTTTCTTTGTCGAAGAAGCAAGACCAGAAACTTCCTCCTCGCCCGGAAATCATTTGGTCCTTGGTGACCCAGTTCCAGGATCTTGGATTCTTTTTGGGGATGGGTGGAGGGAGAGGAGAGGAGAGGATAGGAGAGGAACCTCGTCTGATCGATGGATTGAACCGATGTCCTCTGGTCTCTCTGGTTTCTCTCCCCATCCCCATCTCAGTTTCTGCTTGGGTTTGCAATCTGTAACCTCATGGATCCCAGGGAGATTTGTACATATGATGGGCAGCTCTGGGTTGGAATTCCTTTCAGTCTTCTGTCTGCTACATCTAGCCACCACTGCTGGAATAATCGCATTCTCATGCTGGAAGAAATTATTATTGCAGACATAGTCGTGGTATTTTCTCCCGGCGTGCGCCATCAAGTTGGGGGCAGGGGTACATTTGCGCGTGTAAGAAAAGGAATCACCCTACACCCAGAAACAGTCTGACATTTTAAGGATAGAGGACTAATTATTATTCTAAGAGGGTACGGTTATAAGTTATTAAGAGGCCTAGGGCCGGCTTTAGGGCGTGGGGTGTTATAAATATCGTTCGTCTTCCTCCCATTTTCCCTGTCGCCGTGGTTGCGCCGCTTGAGGGAGTGATCGGGCTCCGGCTAGCTGCAGCTATCGTGAATCCGGTCTGGTGATTAACTGTAGACGTTCGTCCTGTTTCTCCGCCATTTCCGCACCTGCTGTCATAATGTTTTGCTTACGTCGTCGCGGGGGGATGGCGTGTGGTTCTTGCGATTCTGCCTCTTCTTTCGGCTTCGAGATTAGGGAGGACGGTTTCGTCCTCCCAACCTTCTTGGTGGCCTTGTTCTGGGGGCAAACATCGATGGCGCCACAGCTGAGGGAACGATAAGCCCTGGGGCAAGATTCACTTGCCCTTGGGCTCTCCCCCTGCTCTGGTATATTTCTTCTCAGCTCGGCACTGAGAAAGGCCTCCTGTCGATTCTTCCACGATCATTTGGTTCTATTTGAGCAGAAATCCACAGTCCGAATGTGGACGCATACGGATTTCTCGTCTTCTTTTCGCATTCGTGATTCAAGTGAGTTGTGTCCTGAGCGTGTCTCTTTCCCCAGAGCTTAGCATCCAGTAGACTGGCACAGGATCTGGTTTACCAGGTGCTTCCCTCTTCACCTTTCATTCTTCGAATGCTGAACAAAACGCATGGATGAAGCTCCGCCCTCACAAATCCGAGGGGAAGACGAGAATCCCGCCGGGGGGGGGGGGGGGGGGTGGGGGGCTGACCTCACCAAGAAATTCGCTAGTCAAAATATTAGTAATTATATGTGATTAAAATATATTTATCTTTACCAAAACGCTTAATAATTCCCCACAATCGACTTCCAAGATTTTTTGCTGTACAATTTTATTGGGTGTCTGCTACAGATTTACTAAATTGTGGCATACATTGAGTTATTCCCCAAGGCCGTACCACTAATGAAAAAAAACCTTCGGAGGGTGTCGCGTCGCCATCAGGAGGATGTGCAGCGACTACCACGAGGCCTTCAAGCTGAGAAGCGCCGTCGTCAAGGAGAAGATAGTGGTCCGGCACCTGACCGGGTTCCACCATTTCGGCAAGGGCTCTTGCTCATACGGAGATTACTGGTGAAGAAGCCCCATCCTCAGGAAGATTCAAACAGGAAATGCTCTCCAGATTTTTTTCCTTTTCTCTGATGAAGGATTACATTTGTTCAGTGATTCCCCACCCTTTTCTCTTGGGCTCTTCTTCTTCTCACTGGATCCCCCCTCCGCTCCTCCTCCCGGACTTCTGAATAAGCAACTGAGAAAACTGGCGCTCTCTATCCATGGGAGATCAGCCGTGGGGTACAGAAGAAAACTGAAAACTCTCCCTTTCCTCCTTGGGCAGCGAGGAAGACGCCCTTACCCACCAAATAAGGAAAGAAGGAAAGCGACTGGAAGGTGGGACAATTCATAAGTTTCTGCCCTCTTTCATCACGATTCGGCTTTTCCTGACCTAAGTTGAGGGGTCTGTTGACCCAATCTTAGCTGAATGCTGACTTGGTTCAGGTTGGAACCAGCACTCGGTGCTTCCTTCTCCGCCTTCTTTGCCATCTCCATGGCGTGCCCTTTGGGGGTCCACCGGAAAAGAAGAAACCACGGGGTCGGGCACATGATCTCCAATGACATGTGGGAATCAGAGGGGCGGCGCTTCACCTTATTAGCGTGTCCGCTGCCATGGAGACCTTGATCTGGAGGAAGATCTTCCCTTGCAACGAATGCCATGCTCTGCGCTCAACAGACATCATCTTCCAATAATCAAAGGTTAGTAAAAATAATGTGAAAAAGGGTTCTTCGAAAAACAAGTGAAAACAAATCACAGTACAAATATGAGAAAAAAAAAATGCATCTCCTAGGGCAGAGTTTCTTCTAATTAGCTGTGGATATAATAAAAATGATGATCCTTTGTGACTAAATGGAATTTGTTGTGGGATATTTATCCAAATCAATTACTTTCAGAAAAAAGAAAATTAAAAATTGGAACAAATAACAACAGGCCCAGGATTCTTTCGGCCCTGCTGAATCAGTCTGATCTGGACTGCGAATTTCAGCTCTTAGTCACTAAATTTAGCTACTCCTTAATAATGACGAAAAGCGCATCCTCTACTGCATTTATGAAATTATATCAGAGCTTATAAGATTTAAACGGATTCCCGTCATTCATATTTTAAATGTTAATTATTCCATAGGACACAGTTTCAATGAAATCCATGTAAGAGCACCAGTGTGTATGAATACTTCTGCAACTTCCTCGTGAAATTCCTGCATTTCATGCTGAAAGTTTTCATCAATGACAGGAGCAGCGCCAACGCTTAGGAATGGGTCTATCTGCAGTGTTTATGCTGCCAGCTGTGAGAAAAAATCATCAGTATTATGAAACTGGAGGTAAAATTTAATGAGGATAATGACGAGATACACAAGAACCATTCTCTGCAGGAATGTCAGTTTTTCTCTCAGATTTTCCACTAAATCAAAACATTCTCCGAAATAAGTTTACCAAATGCATGCTGGGAAGTTGGATAATCCATGAACGAATGAATGTTTACTAAAAGGCACTGTTGCGCTGCTACATACAACAAGATGTAAAAATAAAGAATAACACAAGGATGAATTGCCCTATTTATGAAAGAGGGTACTAAAGAAAAAGGAGTAAATTGTTCACTAGCTAATCGGTGAAACATAAGAAGACACACCTCAATGTGTATATTAAGATATAAAGATGAACCAGGTTTTCTTCCCCTCAACTAATGGCATCCCTGAGACAATATCATAAGGTTTAGTATGAAACAAGAACTCAATAGATCCCAATTGTTATATATTTCAATGAAAAAAGGGATTTTTGAGGATGAATCCACAAATTTGGGACTGTGATTGCAAGTAGCCATAGCAATCTGCCAGGACCATAAAATTACAATTATCTTCAATGCAACGACATGTACTCGTAAGCAGCTTTTTTCATTCTTATCCGATCCGCGGTACAGGAACATATCGGTCAACGGAATAGAGAAATAAGATACAGACTAAAGGATGGTGCATGATAATGTCAGAAAACATATTTTCCTCAAGAATATCATCCAATCACTATAACATTAAGAAGACTGAGCCAACTCGGAGGACCAAACTGCATAAATTCAGTGCTAGACATCTGTAGTCCATTGCATGGAAATAAAATAGAAATGGTGTTTACTAAGCGAGATATAGACAAACCTGAAGAAGAAAAAAAAGAAGTGGGTAACTAGATTCCAAATTCGAAGAATCTCATAACCAGGGCCAGCTAAGAGGCAACTCGGACTGTTCTGAACCAGTATTAGATGATGATCAACCCAAAGCTGATGCATGATGCATGGTAGGAATCAATGCATCATGTGACAACTGCCCAAATCAAATAAAAACGAAGGACACATGTATGCTCAGATACTAAAGCTATAGTAGTGGTGTCAGAGGTTAAAAATAACGTCGGAGATAAGTCGCCAGTAATGGGAGCCATATCTAGAGTTCTGGCAAATATCAGCACCTAAAGTCTGGTAATTTTAAATGAGGCGAAGGTGTCCTAGAAGCATTTTTGAAGTGGGTTGCACGCGCTGGTGACTAGAAACTTTTACAGATAAGGATGATAATGGGACACCTAAACTTTTGGGACAAGGGACAGACTGGTACAAAGACACTGAGGAGACATGATCTAGTGTCTGTCTATCGACCTCCACTGTTATGACGGAGAAAATCTCGAGTATGGCCAACCCAAACCAACCTTCCTGATACAGCATACTGAATCTAGATTTTAATCCAATATCCTAGAAACCGTGCATGTCTCTTTTATTCATTTTCTGACTTGCGAAATATATTTTGGGTAATAAGAGGCCTGGTTTCACTGGCATACACCGTAATAAGAGATTATTTTAGCTCAACTATAAGATTAAAACATACTAAATTGTCCCTGACATTGAGGCTTGCCTTCACACCTTCGACGCGAAGTGTTGTCTGCTGAATGGGTAATAGAAGAATGGGATGGGGAACTCCATCATCAAGAAGGTCCATGAGACTGACTAACAAGCATATCAAATTGATGGAAAATAACGGATCTTTGAGAGGTATAAAAATATAAAAAACTCGATATAGAATTTTACGAATTTTACATCCGCAAAAAGCCGGCGTGGACTGGACCAGGGCCCGAGTAGGTTGCGGCGGCTCAGGCGACGGGTTGAGAAGGAATGACGGATCGGACGACGGGACGACCGTTGGAGCGGAACGGAGCAGAACGGGGGACGGGGCAATAAAATAGCTCGTGGAGGGCGACGGTTATTTCCTGAAAGCCACTGGAGTTCGTGTTTCCCTTTTTTTGACCAAGAGCCTTGACAGCAGCCAATGCATGGGCGCTTCCTCAGACTGCTTAGACATGTCA